TTTGCACTGATGAATTTTGATGAACGTTGTCTTAAAATTGTTACAAAGCTATGTGCACGTCTGAATATCAAGGAAATGTGTGCAAGTATGACATTTACAGTTTTGACTGTTAACCCTAGGTTATTTTAGAGAGGTTATTTTTGTTGTAGATCTATGCAAGAAAGAATTTTATTCCAATTAGAGGTTGTGACTCTTGTTTCTCAACCTGTTTTTATAGTATACCAGCAGAAAGTTTGAATATAATTTTTAGTATCATAAAAGAGAAATATGAACCACACAAAAAATCTGCAAAACATTGCTAGGCATTAAAATCGGTCAAATATGTCATTTGAACTGATGCAAGTTAATACTTTTGTCGCCTTGATGTTTTGTTTTTTTCCAATTTCTTTCTTTTTTCTTTTTTTTTTGAATTGGTGTATGGAATTGGAAATATTAGTGTACAAGTATTGTTGTATAAGAAATATTTGCAGTGCTTGATGGTGGTGTCTGCATTAAGTTGAATGATGAGTGCATGAGTATGAAATGGTTCTGCTTGAAATTGTAGGTCTAATCCATCTGTCCTATTGAAATAAATAAAATTTAAAAAAAAAAAGGCCTTATAAAAAATCTTTTCATCTACCTTACCTCAGTTTAGGATAGTCCACAAAGCATTTCTTTGGGTGTTTTTCTAATGTCAATGAAAATTTTTTCAGAAACTTCAAACCAAAAAGTCAAAGTTCATTTCACTGTTACAACTTAAAAAGAGGGATAAAAAGAAGATACTATAATATAAGACAGATGTAATGTGTAACTAAACCTACTTTATGAATGACAAAATAAGACACCTTATGTTTGACATTTCAAATTGTCACATTTTGACTATCTGTATCTGCAAGTTTGAAAAAAAAACATTAAGTAAGTAATGGTAAACATCTATTACTATGGTAACTGGAAAAAAACAAACTATTCAACTTTTAAAAAAAAGTTTATTATGCAGTTTGTTGCACCTGTAGACAAGTTCAACTTAGTTCAAGTAAATAAAGGTCAATCAATTTCAATCAAGTTCCCTCCCTCTCTGAACATCAACTGATTGCTTAACTGCAGCTTATTTATTTATATCAGCAGGTACCTGTACAGTGTAACTTCTATTTACATTTATTAGAAAACATACTGGATACGGGTACTAGGGGGAAAATTTATGTTGGGGGTGGGTGGATGATAATTAATCTCACAGGTTTGTGTTTGATTTGGGCAAAAGTTTTAACATTATCTTTAGCAAACTCCCCGGTAATGAACATCTATTTTATGGAAAGCCTCGGAATATGTTATGCTTTTGAAGATAAAACAAAGAATTTCTAAGCAACTTAAACCACTGAGCTTCTCAATCAAGGTTTATCTTATTAAAATAAATATTCCAAATAAATTCCCCTATACTGTATACACTGTAACTGTAAGGAAATAATTACCGGTACATAGTAACAGTAAAAGTGAAAACCAGTTTTGAATTTTACATTTGTAATATGTAATTATTTCCTTATACTATACCGGTATATAATGAATAATAATATCTATTCTGCTTAAGTGACAATGGCAAGAAATAAAGTTATAGTAAAGCTGATTTGAGCTGTAGCTTTGGTGCAGTAGTGTCTGTGCCATTCAGTCAGTACGATAGGGCAACAGCCTATGGCAGGCCTGCACAACTCACTTGTGCGGGCCAAAAGAAAATAGGACGTGGGGGAAAACCATTAAGAAAATAAGAATAAAGAATATTTCCTTGCTTTGCGGGCTGCAAAATGGGTGCTGGCGGACTTATGTTCATGTGGCCTGGGGGCTGTATGTTGTGCAGGCCTTGCCTAAGGCATTTGCCAAGGGATTCAAAATTTAACTCAAAAATTTAAACATGCACTTGTTATCTTGTCATAGACTGAGGACAAAGAAAAAGCAATGTAAAATCACCACCCCCCTAAAAAACTTAAGGAGCGTTATACTTTTTTTTTTTAGTTTGGCATCAGAGGAGAGTATATTTGATCTACATCTTTGAATCTAAGGTCATCACAAATCTTTTGCAAGCACTGTCGCTAGTCTTCTATGTCTAGTCAACACACCACTTGAAATTCTTCTAGTTCTAAACTCAAGAAATAAACACAATTTGAACAACTGTAAATTAAATGAGAAACATGGCTATGGAAATTTGAGAACTTTCAACCTTGAGAGATTTTTTTATTTACCGGTATATTAAAAACAAAATCTCTTTTATTTTATCAATAGCATTTTACTAACTGAAATTTAAATAAAGAATATGAGAATATCATGGTAAGATTTATTTACATAAGTATTATAATATATCTCTTTTTCATTAATTGAAACTAGTCAGTGTGGAAGGTTTTAGATTGTGACTAATTTACTCCTAATTGAAGCTTAGCTGCTAAAGCGAATGTTGGTGTATTCCAAGTCACAAAATATTCAAAAAGCTGGATCTTTTACAAATCACAAATCTTAATTGAACAGAACAACTTATCAAATTAGAATTTAATTTCCAGAACAACTTCCATAATGCCTTTTTATTTATTTTAGAAAAATATTAAAATTTATATGACAAATAAAGCCTCCACCCTGACCTTTGTTCCCACATTTATAATACCGGTACAAAGATAAAATTACTTCAATAAAATTTATTTTTTGTTTACAAAAATACTTTCAATTTCTAGCATGATTGATTATTGGCCACTCAAAGTGTGAAATGCTGTGATATGGCAATATATTATAAATAAGGTGATATGTCTATTTACATTAATAACAAGGAGGTTAGCTGGCGCATCATTCCTTGTCTTTTTAAGCTGTAGGTGAGAGGTCATCTTTTTTTTCCAACTTAATTCAACTGACAGCTAAAGAAAAAGTTTGTTCTAAGGAAGATGAAATTTTGACATAACAGCGTGCGCCCGTCTGGGAAATAAAGTATATTTATACCCAGGTTCTTAATTAAATGCACTGTTCGTAGCCATAAGGCATAACTTACAACCTCCCACAACGTGGTTAAGATTTTATGCATGACAGAATGCACATCAGTTAGAATAATGCACTGTTCAGTGTTAGTGTTATTGTTTAATATATTATGAGGTAGTGCAGTCTTTCCGAATAAATTTTACAGGTGACTGACTAATGTCAAGATTAACCCTTTACAGTCCAAACCTATTCAGCCTTGTCTACTCCCAGCGCCCAAGCAAAGGGACATAACTCCATTTTAAATGAAGGTTCTTTATCTAATTAATTTACAGAAAATAAACTACAAGCAACAAAAATAAAATAAAAAATACCTAAATACAAAGAAATGATTAAATCAAAAGTTAAACCTAAAAATAGTTTCAGAGACCCTCCCACTCATGAAATAGTGTAGCTTCATTAGGCCTAAGTTCTTTCAAAAGTGTATCCAAGGCTTAGATAGCCAATTTTTACAGCGAAAAAATCGCGACTTTTAAAAAAAATCACAGAAAATCAGCCCCTAAGCACACCGCGGTCAAACCAGTATCAAAATAAATGCCGACAACGAGGCTTTCTTCCGGTAGAACTATAAATAGTAATGCGCAATGGATTTCCGCTGTGCTAAGAACGAAAGTAAACAACCTCGTGACGGGCGGTTTTGGCCGCATCGGACTGTACGCTTAAGGAAAAAATCGGCGCATTTCGGGCGCATCGGACTGTAAAGGGTTAAGAGCCTAATGAAAAGGTTACGGTTTTTGGAGAAAAACAAAATAAATCAAATGAAAAGGTCCCTGAAAACACCGAGGCTGTGTAAAGACTGATTTAAAGATGCACATTTCTCAGGTGGTCTTGCAACTTACTTCATTATTTAAAAAGTGTTTTTGAAACATGCTTTAGCAAATAGAGTAGCTTCTTGGGCAAAAGTGTACCTTTTAATTAATAAAGTCATGAGATAATAATACTAATACCGTACTTAATACCTATGTACTAATATAAAAGTTTTAGAAAATTTGTTACATCTCTTAGAAATCGTTTTTGTTTTTAAAGCGGGCAGTGTGGTGGTGGTGTAAATTTTAAGTTAAATACTGGGAGGTCTGCATTCAGGTTGAATCAATAGAGTTAATTGAAATATACACAAAGCAGAGAAAAAAATAGCCCATTTGGCTCTTGTGCTCTTTCCATATCTGCCTCATACCCACCAACCTGGCTAACGTTAACTACACAGTCCTCACTGTTTCATAGTTGACTTTGATTGCCCTCTTAATCTTAACATATTTAACTTATTTTTAATCTTTTATTTTTTCCTGTTTATCTCGGGCGCAAATTCTTTCATTGCACAAGACACTTGCGTAGCTTATTAGGCCTACCCTTTTCTTTCAAGTATCTATATCAGTATCATCAGCTAAGTTTGTCTGTCTCTTTATTTTTGCAGTTGAAAGCTTCTTATTCTTAGGCTTCTTATTCTTATTATCCTTCAAGTTGTTCTCTTCTCTGTGTATATTTCTTAACATTAATATGCAATGCAAGAACCTATTTCTGACCTCTTTTGGTTAGGCTGATGAATGTTCACAGGCTTATATCTATTCTTACACGGTTGTCCTTTTACAATACAAGTAAAATTTCATCCCAACATTGTACCAGTGTATGGAAGTTTGAAAACAATTTGACAGGCTTCATTGCTGTAGATTTAATTTAGTGAATCTTTGATATGTAATTCTTTGTGCCATAAGCTTTGTATGTATACATCAGCATTATTGTGCTATCAACTACATTTTCAATATTAAAAAAAAAAATGAAATTTTGAATGAATATTGATAATTTTAAAAAATAATAAATTCCACATTGGTTTTAATACATTGAAAGTAGCACTACAGTGAAATAAATATGACATGTCATATGTCTAGCTTTTAAGAAAAAAGCTATACATCTATATTAAATAAGTTAACCCAGTCAAAAAAAAAAAGAATCATAAAAAGTCAAACCAAGTCAAAACAAATATTTCAGCATTTTATCTCCCCCCCCCCCCCCCCCCCCCTTNCCCCCTCTCCTCTTTTCCCGTTCATTAAAATTATTTTTAGTGTTATAAGCTGACTTCAGATTCAGAGCAGAGACAGTACCCTTGTTTTCTGAAATTTAACTACCGGTATTTGATTAACAAAAAGAAAAAAGAAGTGATTACAGCATACACTTGTCTATAAGCGGAGGGCAGTTGTTTTTTTATAAACGATTAAAAAATATGCTATGACTTGTAGATACGTCAGGGTAAAACTTTGGGCTATGAAATTCTTTAACTTTAAAAATGTTAAATGTTGTCACATTTTACTGAACACTGCTAGAAGCTGCCCTGTATACAAAACTATGCCCGGTGTCATTTGGCCCACATTTTCTCAAAGACTATGGTGTCAAGTGACATCAATCACTGGGATTTATTTCAGTGTCTTCTCTCCTCCCAACAATAGAGGCTGATGGGCAGTCAGCAATGATGCATATGGCTTGATATCAGATTTTAGTCAACAAGTATCAACAGCTGTTATATATATCAGTATTAAAAATATCTTTTTCAACAAGGGATTGTCCAACTCATAATATGTGAATACAAATTAACTTCTTGAATATCAAATTTCATGTTAGGGTGTAAATAAAATATATAACAAAACAGCTCATCCAGGCAAAGGACTAGAATTATGGAGTCTGTAAATTTGGTATTTTTATGATTACTTTCACCATTGCTAGAGAAAGCACCTCATTTGCAATAAAAAAATAAATATACATTCGTTTAAACACATAATACCAGTAGGGTCACAGGGTCAAATCTATCTCCAAACTATGTTAAGTTACAGCTAATAAATTACAATATTAAATATCGCAGATTGTTCCTCAAGAGCGATCCCCGTTGCTGGTGACCTCAATCTTCTTTGGCGTTGCCAGGGATTCCCGCTTGCTGAAATTCTCCACATCTTTGAGTAAATTTCTTATATCGGTACCGTCAACTTTGGGTGAAACTGATTCTTCTCGTCTCTGCATCCCCTCTCTTGTCTTCTTCAATTTCCTTTCCTCAATCTGCGCCTGATGAGGTTTAAAAGGCAGAGGCACTTTGGAACCGCTTGACTTAGCCACATCATGTGTAGCATTTTTTACCAATTTGTCTCCATCTTTAGAAGCTTTAGGCTCCTTGTATGAAATTTCAGTCTGCCCGTCCTGCACTTCATCAGCAGGGGGATCGCTATGTGCATCTGTACAAATCTTAACTGGGCCGTTTTCCACCCATTTATCATCACAGCCTGGTGCTTGGTGGCTGCATAAAGTGTCCAATTTGATTTTAAAGGTGTCAGAACCACTGCTGTAGATCCCTGCAGGGTCTCCTTCTACTAACTCACAGTTTGTCACTAAGGGAGACACAGCATCTAATTTTGAAAGGTCTCTAACCTCCAGGTCCACAGAAGAAGACGGAGATGTCTTGCTAGTTGCGAATTCTTGATTGGAGGCCTCGAGATTTTCCTTCTCTAGCCTTTTCCTTCTTTCCCCTTTCTTGTCTCTCAAGGAAGGGGCACGAAGAAGACCTTTTGTTTTGATCAGTTCGGAGTCCAAAGGATTGGTTCGACTGGCTAAGATGGTCTGCCTCTCTTCTTCAGCATCACGAATGGCATGCACTCTGAAATGGTGTAAAGTAGAGAAAAATGTAAGACAGTTCAATCTTCCAGTTCATCAAGAAAAAGAGTTGGCACACAAATAAACAATGAGCCATTCTAAATTTGTTTAAAATGTATGATTTAAAGATTTTTTTTCTTTTCTGAACCAATAAAAAGTGGTCTCAAACTCAAATGGCTGACCCACACAAACACGAATAACATGCTATTCCAGTAAAATGACTCGCACCCATAATATGTAATCTTAAATGACTAACTCACACAAATAAAATGTAGGGTCATGGTGAAGATACAGATATTTAGGGCATGCCATTTTTCTATAACAAAAGTCCAACCTTTGCTGGCTGTCAGGTTGAACAGAGTTGATCTCCTCCAACAAGTTGGCCATTTGCTGGTCTTGCTCCGATGACTGGTTGGACTGACCAAGCCTGAGGGGGGGGGGAGAGAATGTACACATTCAATTGGTTATAAATTACTTTTAGGCTAGCTTTAACACTTCAAAAACAACTTGCTAGATTTACTCGATGGTCTAGACATCAATTTGAATTTTTTTCTATTTCATAATTCTTCATTAATAATTATTAATATCAAATCCTGAAGAGTAAAATATTTTACATTCATTAAGTGAGGTATACGATATTGGTAATATATGTTTGATTTTTTTTTGGCTAGAGAAACACTTTAGGTGTCAGAAGTTTAATTGTTCTAGTTTAAAAGTTGTTATCTTGTTCAGGAATTTTATCCATATGCTGAAAATGAATATATATTGATACAATGCCACATAAACAGACTGCACTGATTTCAATAAAAGAATCTTGTTTTATCTTAATGTGAACAGTTCTGAAGCTGTCTGAAAAAGAAAAAAAAGTGAAAACCTACTTAGGGGCCAGCCTCTCTGTTACAGCGGCGATGGAGGACACAAAGGACGTGAGCTGTGAGGCTATCACTCTCAGATGTTGGCTTTCTTGTTTCAGTCTCATCACATCCTGGATCTGAGCTGAATGCATTCAAGCAAAAAAAAAATCATAGGACACTCATTGATGTCGGTTCATTTGGGATATTCTGTCCGTTCCCAAGACACACACTAAAGCATTTGGTGAACGATCTTTATCTTTCTGCGCCCTCAAACAATGGAATTCTTTGCCACTACACATACGCAATATACCAACCACCCAGGCCTTCAAAACTGCACTAAAAACAGATCTTTTTAAATTATACTACCCTGACTGATTCCACTCCTCTGACCGATAAACGATCATTGCTGGCTGCCGTCCATGGTTTGCCTTGTAAAAGTTATGTGGTGGGGTGGGTGAATATACATTGTTGTTCTTTATTTCATAAATGTATTTTATTTTAATGTCATGATTATGTCTCTTTTGATAAAATTTTTATGTACAGTGGGGTGAGCCCAGCCCTAGGCTGGGGTACTGTGCTATATAAGACCTCTTCTTCTTATTACAGCTCATTTATATGGATTCAAAGAGACTTGAATAAATGACAAGCAGCTATATCACTTGAAAAGTTTTCTTTTATGGCATCAGTGCAAACAAAAACACACAACAATTTTCTCTATGTCTCAATTATTTTGTTTGAGAACCTGGGATCATATTTAAGATATGAAGTTGCTTTGAGGGCAGCATAAATTTAATATTAGTAATCAGTGTTTGTGTCTGGGAAAGCCCTTCAATACATTTAATCAACTGGATTGAAGACAAATGTTCAATACCTTGATAAAGATCTTGCTCATTGTTCAATCTCTCTAGACTTTCTTCCCAGTGCTGGTAAACAATGAAAAATAAATTATGCATAAATATTCCTAGAAACTGAACTAAATGATTAAAACAAATATTTAAGAAAAAAATAAATAGATCAAGTCCAGTCTCTATCACTTCAGTGTGTCTCTACAACTTCAGTGTGTCTCTACAACTTCAGTGTGTCTCTACAACTTCAGTGTGTCTCTATCACTTCAGTGTGTCTCTACAACTTCAGTGTGTCTCTACAACTTCAGTGTGTCTCTACAACCTCAGTGTGTCTCTACAACTTCAGTGTGTCACTCACTTCAGTGTAGCCTTTGACAAGATTGAAATATATTTTCTCTACATTATAAGCAAAATTTGTCATAATGACACTCCAACGAATATCTTCTTTAATACAAATTAAATATAATTTTTAACTTTTCAACCTGTATGAAGATATCGCAACCGTATTATATTTTCTATGAGAAATACATTTTTTACCTTTTCAAGAAGAGGTAACTTCTGCTCTAGGATGTTGTAATGTGAGTCCAAGTTATTCTGGATTGTCTCTATACTACCAGCCAGTGTCATGACCTCGTCTTTCTTGGCCAGACACCTGCGCATGGTCAAGTCACGCTGCAGCTCCTGGCATTGGACTTTCATATGTTCAAATCGTTGCAAGAGATCCTGTACAAAAAGAAGAAGATCAAAAAATCGTTATGACAGGTGCTTCACAATGTTTATGATTGAAAGAGTTCTCATGTATTTATAACAGCCTGGAACCACCAGCATGTTCACTTGACCCACCAGCATGTTCACTTGACCCACCAGCATGTTCACTTGACCCATCAGTATGTTCACCTGACCCACCAGCATGTTCACTTGACTCACCAGCATGTTCACTTGACCCATCAGCATGTTCACTTGACCCACCAGCATGTTCACTTGACCCATCAGCATGTTCACTTGACCCATCAGTATGTTCACGTGACCCACCAGCAATTTCATTTGACCCGTCAGAATACTCACTTGACCCACCAGGATTTTCACTTGAATCATCAGTATGTTCACTTGACCTGCCATTATGTTTACTTGATCTGCCAGCTTGACTCATCAGCATTTGCACTTGAACCACCAGTTTGTTCACCTGACCCACCAGCATCATCACATGACCCACAACTTTGTTCATTTGACCCAGCAGCACATTCACATGACCCACCACTATGTTCACCTGACCCACCGGCACATTCAGATGACCCGCCAGCACATTCACATGACCCACCACCATGTTCACTTGAACGATCATTATGTTCTCCTCGACACTTGACTCGCTCCTGTCCTACATGTCCCAGCTGGGAGGAGGGGGAAGACACACAGGTCATTCAATACCCTTCAATCACATTAATTTACCAAACTTTGTTCTCTACATCCTAAAGCTGACTTGAAGATTTTAAAAAGTCACTTACCCTGTGAGCATTCTCAAATTCTCGACAGTGTTCAGCAAACTGACCCTTCGCGTCAATGAATTTGACTTTGGCTCCGTTAAGTCCATTAGCACGCCTGGTGTGATTCGGGGTCAATCTGTTTATAACCGGGCTCCCCGGACATGATGTTCCTGTGTGAACTCCATTCACCCTGGATTGATTCAACCAAAAATCATTTTATCAGAACAATCACAGCCACTGATGGCTACACCTATTACATTATATCACTAAGCCAACTAAATTATATAGCTAAACCTACTACATTATATCTAAGCCTACTAAATTATATAGCTAAACCTACTACATTATGGAACAAACATAGCTGAAACAATGACCTGATGTAATGTTCTCATTGAGTAAGTATTTATAGGTTTTCCCATCTTCCTGTATTGACATTTTCAAAGGCAAGCCATATCATAAAATAGACTTGAGCAGAAAGAAGGTGGCGTTCAAAAACAAAACAAAAAAAAAACTCACCCATTAGACCCTGCAGTAGCTAGAGTACATCTCTGCATAGGAACATACAGCAGTGGTTCTAGACTTCTGATCAAAAGAAACATTTTTTTCAAGTTCCATATAATCCCAAAAAAGAAATTAAATAATGTAATTATTTCCAATATGAGAGATCTAATGAGCTTCTCTAAGAGAGTCAAAAAAGAGGGCAACAATGTCTGGAGTATTGCATTCAATTTAATCAAATGTTGCTAACAGGTTAAAAACCTTCAGCAGGACTGACAGTGATTGTTTAAATTAAACAAATAAATAAAAAAAAAAAAAAACAAAGGAAAAAAAGAGAAGCAATTAAAGATTCAGAGGAGTCTCAGATTGTTGAAAGCTGGAAGTTTTACTTTTTGGATTAAACACTTCAGCAGGACTGACAGTGATTGTTTAAATTAAACAAATAAATAAAAAAAAAAAAAACAAAGGAAAAAAAGAGAAGCAATTAAAGATTCAGAGGAGTCTCAGATTGTTGAAAGCTGGAAGTTTTACTTTTTGGATTAACCTTAAGTAGACATTGTGATATGAAAATTCTAAGTCAAATGTTTATGGTAGCATACCAAAAATCAACATAAGATCATTTGAAATATTTTGAATAGAGGCATGGAATGTTTGTTTTAGGGCAAAGGATGATCTGGTAGACTCACAAAAAGTGAAATACTAGCAACTAAAACTTACTTAAAAAACTCAGTTTTATAGGCGGTATCAATCTGTCCACTTTGTGTGGGATGGATGGGATGCTGCTTCTGTACTATGGACTTCAACCTCTCCATTAAAACCTGTTGGGTAAGGAAGTTAAATAATAATAAAAATAATAATAATTAGTGGTCTTTTATAGTGCGGTACCTCAGCCTAGGGCTGGGCTCACCGCGCTGTGCATAAAATATTATCAAAAGAGACATAATCATGACATCAAATGAAATACAATTATAAAATAAAGAACAGCATGAACCCCAGGACTTTTACTAGGCAAACCATGGTCGGCAGCCAACAAGATCATTTATCTAAAATGGCACAAGTTAAAATTAACAGCAACAACAAAACAGGGTCTGTATTTTAACATGAGAGTATTTTAACACATGAGGAGTCTGATTTAACATGAGTGTTTATTTCTAAGAATATGAGCCTGTAAATAAACATAAGCATCTGCGTTTAGGCAGCACCTTAGGCAGGTTCCAGGACAGAGTCAGCCTTAGATAATTAGAGACAATACAATTTTAAAAAATATGATTTTGCTTTTGGCTGTATGTATGACATACATTCTAATTCAAACCTTTTATGAGACCTACATAGGATTATGAATCAAGGTGGGAGAAAAGCAAAGTAAACAAACACGTAACAAACAAAATCCCTTACATTTGCAAAGTCTAAGAATTCAAACTTGGTTGCTGATCCCCTGAAAGCACTTGCAATCACCAGATGTACATGCAGAGTAGGAAGAAGGGCAGACAGTGACTTGAGTTGTGACCGAAATGTGGCCTCTTTCTCTGAATATTGACTGAAGACATTAAAGATTAAAAAGTTTAACTACTGTACAATTATATTTCACTGCAGATTTAGAACCTGTAACAACGGCAATACATTGTTACACCTACATTTGTGATAAAGTTTTTAAAATGTGTTCATCTTTTTTATTTAGACAATGAGTTTGATGTGTAGTCTTTTGGTTGTTTGTATAAACTGCAATCAACCTATTTTCACAATTAGTGTATTTTTTTTTACAAAAAAAAACGGGATGATTTTTGCTTACCTGTCTACTTTCTGCAACACCATTGCTTTTGTTTCCGCTAACCTCTCCAGCAGGTTCACATACAATTCTTCTATAGCTGCCCTCTCTTTACTGGAGTTAGTCTTTATTTCCTCCAGCAGTGCCTTGAACAAAAGAATCCCCTCACGGACCGAGTTTTGGAGTTCGCAGAATGCCTGAAGATCAGCAGTAATTGTTTCTTGTAAAAAATGGGTTTCTAAAAAAAATTTTTGGGCTAAAATTTTGCAAGTATTACTGAAGTACCCTTGCATAACCTGCCATTTAGTGTGCTATGCTGCCTGGGAGAAAAAAATTGTACCGGGTATTGAAGTTGTTGGAAGAATAACCTCCCACTCCCCTCAGTTTTCTTAGGATAGTTGGTCAACTTCTGAAAGTGCTTAAATAATGACAAGGAGAATCATGTACCTGGACTCTGAGATCTAACTTCTTGAAACTCTGTGTATATGCTGTTTCTAAATCTAGACAATGTCCCCTGCTTTCTCTGTGAACAATAGAAACAGTTTCTTGTTTGAAATACTGGTAACAGTTTATTTCAGGCCAGAAAAAAAAAGAAGTATTAAAGATCAGGTTATGAGAAACAGAATCAGGTTGTGAGAAACAGAATCAGGTTGTGAGAAACAGGATCAGGTTATAAGAAATAGGATCAGGTTATAAGAAATAGGATCAGGTTATGAGATACAGAATCAGGTAATGAGAAACAGGATCAGGATATAAAAAATAGGATCAGGCTATGAGAAACAGGATCAGGCTAAAAATGAAATAGGAAAACGAGGTACGTGGAAGCTTGAATTAGAGAAGAGGACAAAAAGATTAGGACGTTTCAGCATAGAGCCTTCTTCAGCACACAAGACAAATGAAGATATCACAAAGAACAGAGCACAGTAAACCACTGTTATAAGAAACCTGATGACGGTGTTAAAGAACACTGAAGTCATGCCAAAATTTATATTAGAAGGTGATTTTATTTGTGGAAAAAATATTGAAACACACTTATGGTCGATGCTAATAGTCTTAAGCAGAAAATACTTAAACTTACATTCTCATGTCTCTAAAACAGTTGATACATAGCATAATTTTCTTCTCAGCAGAAAACATTATATATGATTCTTCATAAAGTGCTGTAAAAAAAAAAAAAAAAAAAAAAAAGTGACTTCATTTATTGAAACCAAAGTAAAGAGATTATATTCCAAATTACATTTATTAAGTGGCAGATGATTTTGTTCCTTTTCAAATGGTTACATAAAGATATACAAGTAATGTAAACATTTATCCAATGAAATCAGAATTTAAACACAATTGTTTTAAAATATATGCAGTAATGAGGTCAGTGGAACATGCAGATGTTAAAGTGTTCAGCTTCAGGCTTGAATAGTAGTTTAGCTTCTGCTCTCTATAATATAGAATAAAAGGGGTCATCCTTATATTTTTAAAGAGGTTTTGGGGACGGGGAATGGAAGGCAGAAGTGGCAGGATCTGTATTTCCAGACTCCGTCAAACTATTATGAAGAGGTGGCAGGGAATTCAAAAAACGCCATTTCTAAAAATAGCTTACTCCAGCTGCTATAACAGCAGCCCGGTTGCAATGAAAAAAAAAAAAATACTTACAGCACTTTTTGTGAACTTCTCTTGCTCGTTTTGTCAACAGGACCATGTCATGGCTAGAAAACATTTTGGCACGATGAGTCTCTTCGCGACATTTTGTACACAAAGGCTGCATGCATGTGTTACAAAAAAACATCTGTACAGCAGTCTAGGGAAAATATGTTTAAAATTAAAATTTTGAATAGATTTTATGAATGATTGAGGTTTAATTCAAGTTTTAAAATGTTAACACATGATTAAGTATCATGTTGAAAAATGTATGTACACTAATATTCTCCTTTCCCAAAATCTAGAGTTAACCTTTTCTATAAGGAGGGTAAACATTACTATTGGCAACAGTATTGCTAAAAATACAAATCAATTCTACTTTATTTGGTTGCAAATGTTTATATATAATTAGTTTGCTTGCATAACAACAAATGACATAGTAAAGAACTTATAATTATACCAACAAATCTTCTTCTTCTATAAAGGGCCCACGATTAATTTATTGATCATTTTGGCTCCTATGCATGTAGATGGGATTTGCAATGTTTCTGTTCCTGGTGTTGATGAGGAAATTTCACTGATTTCCAGTGCCACTTTGTGAGGGAATCATGCACTAGGGGTTTGAAGGCTTGAGGCAATAGACACAAATGTATCTAGTGTTGTCGCCTCAACCGTTCCTTTTCAAAGCTTGTTCCAGTCCCTGATTGTCTTGGGCAGGAATAAGCAACTCCTATACTGGCTTCTTGCGGGTATGACCCAGAATTGCCTCTCATGGCCTCGTCGCTGTCTAAAGGGGGGAGAGGGACGAGTTTCTGTTTAATACTGGAAGAGTGGACCAGCCCATTATTTATCTTGTACATCATGGAGAGCCTGGATTGTCGTCGTCATTCCTCCAATGGTGACCAGCCTAGTGTTTCCAGCATGCTGCCAACACTAGAGGTATTCCTGTAGCGTTTTAGGACAAATCGTGCTGCTCGTCATTGGACCGCCTCCAACCTGTCAACGCTCTTCTGGGTAAATGGGTCCCAGACTGAAGATGCATAATCTAAAACTGGACGGACAAAGGCTTTATATGCTCTTTCTTTTACACAGGAGTTGTCAATCTTTAGAGTTCACCTTAAGAACCCCAGGGTCTTGTTTGCTTGGTTACATACATTGTTAATATGCTCGTCCCAGCGGACCTCTCTTTGAATGGTAACATCCAGGCACTTTACGGAGGAAACTGGCTCAAGTATATGGCCACGCAGTTCGTATTGGTAGTGTAGAGGAGTACAACTTCTAGAGACTGATAGTATCTGGCACTTGGCAGGGTGAAATTCCATGTCCCAGCTTATCTCCCACTCAGCTAACAGATTGAGATCCTGTTGTAGCTGGTCCTGGTCAGATCTGTTGGCGATCGCCCCATACACCGCTGTGTCATCTGCGAACAGTCTTGCTTGTGATGTCAGTTTCTCGGGTAGGTCATTAATGTATGCTAGGAACAAACAGGGGCCCAGCACTGATCCCTGGGGGACCCCTGAATTCACATCGACAAAGTAAAGAACTTATAAACATAGCAACAAATGACATAGTAAAAAACTTATGAACATAACAACAAATGACATAGTAAAGAACTTATAAACATAACAACAAATGACATAGTAAAGAACTTATAAACATAGCAACAAATGACATAGTAAAAAACTTATGAACATAACAACAAATGACATAGTAAAGAACTTATAAACATAACAACAAATGACATAGTAAAGAACTTATAAACATAACAACAAATGACATAGTAAAGAACTTATGAACATAACAACAAATGACGTAGTAAAGAACTTATGAACATAACAACAAATGACATAGTAAAGAACTTATAAACATAACAACAAATGACATAGTAAAGAACTTATGAACATAACAACAAATGACATAGTAAAGAACTTATAAACATAACCTTTAATTGCAAGTAACTTAATTTAAAAAAAAATTGCTTTACAATGAAAAGCAAACATACAGCGTCACAATTGGCACACTGAGCTCGTTCTTCTGTTGATGATTCAATCATGAATTTGAGAAGTAAGTCAGGTGGAGGTAGAGAAGATCCATCTTTTAGTGTGTGTAGGTAACTGAAATTTTAGTAAAATATCAGTTGCATTGAATGCTGGAGGGGTTAGATTTTCCATTACCCATTGTTTAAACTTTCCTCAATACATCTGACAAGAGTGTGAATTTATTACCATTATCTTACACAAAAGAGCTTTCAATCTGGAAATTTGAGCTATTCATATATGCAGTTTTCACTGAAGCTTTTCATCTTTAACCTTTGACTAATCCACATTGCTTTCAAGGTTGTTAAAGTGCGAACTCCACCAGGTGCGCAGCAAAATAGTTTTGGTTGTGGCCTTTGAAACTAACTTACTGTACTGTGCAACAAATTTAAGTTGCTCAAACAATTTTCTTTGGCAAACTAGACTGACTGGCTCAAAAGTTAGCTGCCAAAATATATATATAAGTGTATCTTCCTTAGGCTCAAAATCATTTTCCCTTTCAACACTAAATATAAAATAAGTCTAATTAATGCTTTTCAATTATGAAATAAATTGGTTACTTTAAGTTGAGACAATAAATTCTAAACTACTCCAGTAATATTAAAAAATTAACTTAAGAAACTTTATATAACTTACCCACAAAGTGGACAAGAAATCTTTCCTTCTGATGCCCTGCCACGCAGACAGTGTGCACAGAAACTATGAAAGCATCCAAAAATGCAAGGCTCTTCATAAGGTTCATTACACAGGTAGCACAAAAGAGGATTCCGAGGTGAAGGCAGGAGTGGTTCATCAGGGTTTTCCATTGGCTGAAAAATTTCTCCTGACATACTTGTATCCAGGACTGGATAAAGGAATTACTTATACCAAGTAATGTACTAGAGCATCAAGTTTGAGGACGAGGACAAAAAAAAGAAAACATTTATTAGATGAAACACTTAAGGAAAAAAAAAAAAAAATTTAGTCTGAATAAGTATGACCTTGTGATTGTGTATATTGATTTATTAAAAAATTAAGAATACTTTGCATTATGATTATGTTCTATATCAAAACTGGTATTAATACCTTTACAGATATAGATATTTTTGCATTAAAAGCATATTTGGTTGATGTGGTGGTTATTTTAAAATTAAAATGATCTGCAAAATCGGCCAAGCCCTAACTTCTGTGTCTCCCCCCAAGCCCAGACTGTACTGCAGTAGCCACTAATCATTAGCCTAATTAATGAATGCATCTGAAGTATCTTCACTACTCACTACTACTACTAGAAATTAGTCCAAGACAATTCAATACTTTTCAATACTATTGACTATTGAATTGTAAATTGACAATAGTGGCTATGGCTACTCCAGCTCAACTCACTGGCAACAGACGGCTTTATAAAATTTCCCAAACGCTTCCTTATTACAAAATGATAAACAATTTCAAAGAATTCATTATCTCATATTGTGAAGAGCCCACAATAGTTCTTTTATTATTCATTTTATTTGGGGTATTTTTGTCTGCACATACACAGAGCATAACCGGAAGACGGAAGCGAAAAAACGGAAGTAGCCAAAGATGGAAGGGTTACCCATCCTACCGAAATCTGAAATAAAACACAGTTTTTCCCGAAATGGAGAACGATAATTTATGAATCGACATTATGTTACATTATAAACAGCATTAATTAAAATGATACATTTTGTTTTAAATCCTCTTTTAGAATAAGTTATACAAAAGAATTGGATTAAGAGTTGTAACGTCCTTATAATATAACCCACAAATGCGCTTTATCCATAGAAGAGGCTGTGTAAAAAATTGTGACATTTGACCGGGTCAAGAAGACGATGTTGCAATTTTCACTGGAAGTTGCGACATCAAAAGGCATGGGTTAGATACGTTCATGGATAATAAATTGGTCCCCGGTCAGCAGATCGCTGCTCCGTTTTCTCCACGCAGATTATGAACTCAAATGCATGATATAGCTTGTCCCCAAGGGCGTCACAGATTTCATCGCGTAAATGTCGTATTGTCAACGGGACTACATCTCCATATGTTTCTGGTGGGGTCTTCTCCCTTACCCTTTAACCAATTTTTACACTTGAAGTTGTCCTTCAGTTAGAGCAGGGGTCGACATCCTGCGGCTCTCCAGTTCCATGTGCAAATATTAATAATTATATTGAAATAAAAATGTTAGTGGCTCTTTAAAAACTGGGAAATTTTGTAAATTGTAACTTTTGGCTCTTCTGTCTCAAAAGGTTGCCTCCCCTGAGTTAGAGGAACCACCTCCAAGGTTGATGACTATGATTACCATCCACTCGAAGCGCCATTTTTTTTTTCGTCTGGGCATTGGTGGGGTTTGAACTCCCGCCCACGTTTTGTATTTCATGTTCCGGCTTTGGCTCACGAAATGGACTAAAAATGTTCTTTTTTTTATTTTTGGTTCTGGTAATGTTTCATTGCTGCATCCATTACTGGCATCTTTGCAACGGTTGGGGATATGATGTTGCTATTCTAACAGCCCCTAGCTGATGCCAGGGCAGCCTCGAAGCTTTCGACCGATGTCGAGATCGCAGTGGCATCGTTCAGGTGGTTCCATGCTATTATTGTGCGTGGGAAGAAGGATTGTTGATACTGCACTGTGTTGCACTGAGGCACTTTGAAGCATTTGCTATTGTTTCTGGTGTAATTGTTTATGGGGATGTCAGTGGTAAAGCCGTGTTCAGTGAGCGTTTTGGGACGCGTTTTGCTCTGATCAGTCTACCCGGCTTCTGTGGGGTGAGGTACGTGCCTGCTGGGATGGCCGGCACCAGTCCCATGATCAATTTATATAAGAATATCAGGTGGGGTCCCTCTCGTCTGTCTTTAAAAGGGAGGGGGATGTCAAATCTTTTTAAGAGACCAGTGACGAAGCCAGGAGTGTTTGAATTGTAGTAGCGAGCTATAAAACGCACCGCGTTACGTTGAATTTGCTCCATCGTGTCCACGTCTTGCTTAAGGTGTGGGTCCCAGATGATCGCACCATATTCCAGTAATGGACGGCTTCATATGACTTATCTGTGTACCTGCATATTATAATATACATGAACATGCATAAATCTACCCATCACACACGTTTCTGTGTATAAATTGAGATTATCCAGATAGTTGTTTCAATAAAATAGAAATACTTACGCCTTTAACTACTTGGGCATATACGACAGCAATTGAGCTTTTGGACTAAAAATGTGCATTAATAATCAATGTGTCTATTCAACTTACAGTAATTAAAAAGTAATAATCATGAACACTTATTGACGAGTCAATATGTTAGGCAACTGTTAGGCACTTTAAATAAATCACATGGATCAAATATGCCATTTGTATTATGGCAATGTTATCAGTAAACTTTTATTGTAGTTGTTTGTGGCTGGTAACGTTTCGCCTTCATTTGTTAACAATTTCAATGAAATGGGAATGAAACGTGTCTTCAAAAAGTATCAACTTTATTTTGTAGACCATGACAAGATTTAAAAAAAACAAAAAAAACAACATTTTTTAAATTATCATTTAAACCAGCGGTTCTCAACCTGTGGGTCGCGACCCCTTTGGGGGTCGCACGACCCTTTCACAGGGGTTGCCTAAGACAATCTGAAAACACAGAGACTCTACACTTATGAAGTATCATCGAAAATAATTGTGTGGTTGGGGGTCGCCACAAAATGAGGAACTGTAATAAAGGGTCGCGGCATTAGAAAGGTTGAGAACCACTGATTTCAACCATTCCATTGTGTCATGTCATCATTAATTCTCGTTAATTTGTATTTTACCAATGCATTTAAAAACTCATTTACGGGATGGTTAACAATCGCACCTTTAAATCTACACCAATACCACCGGCGACCTTGAGTTGGGTTGGGCCGTCACCCATGAAAATCAGAGCTACTTGTCCTACCATATATTCGTAACAAGTAGGCTATTTGATCTTGTGACCTCGGCCTGCACTTAGCTTTGATATTTTATTTACGTGCCTTCCAGTCTATATCTTCCATTTCCAGATTTGGGAGAAGAAGAAAAACTATTTAATTGAAATACAGTAGAACCCGTTATGTCGAGGGACTCGTGTTTGACCAAAAAAGCGTCGAGCTAACCAATGATCGAGATAAACGAAAACCAAAGGGCGGCAATACTTTAACATGTGCTTGAAATTTCTTTACGTACCGGCACATGATGTGGGTTTATAAATAAGATATACATGCATTTGTTTTTGGAGTTTTTTTTTTAAACACAACAATGTTACCGCGATTTGTTTGATGAAGCGATCGGCATGCTATAAAAATGTACATGACATGTTTGCTAACAATACAAGGCATATGTTGGGTGCCACTATTCCGAATTATCCCGGAATTCCAGATTCATGAGGCTAAATATTTTTCAGCTCCAGATTCGCGAGTTTTTATTTTCTCTCGCACTGTTCAGTTTATTCAAATACGGATTCTGATTTTAAACAAAAAAATCAACATGTAAGAACGCGTGAAAGCCTATTTAGTATTAAGCGACAAGCGGGTTCGCTATAAATAGAACATGCACTTACTTACTTACTTTACTTACTTATGCCTTTCTACCCCGTCTGGGGCATTGGCCGTCTACAAGAATTTTCCACTCATCATGGTTCTATGCTTTTCTTTCCAATTGCTTCCAGGTGTATCCCATATTTTGCGTATCTGCCTCTAGCTCGCGTCTCCATGTATTCTTAGGCATTCCTCTCTTTCTTTTTCTCTGTGGGTTCCATGTTAGGCATTGTCTGGTGGTGCTTTCTGGGGTTTTTTTTGGAGCGTATGCCCTATCCACCTCCATCTTTTCTTTATGATATCTTCATCGATGGGCACCTGGTATGTCCTTTCTAGTAGATCTTTGTTGGTGATAGTATTTTGCCAGTTGATTTTCAGGATCTTTCTAAGGCATGTGTTTATGAATGTCTGCACTTTCTGCATAAGGCTCACTGTTGTTTTCCAAGTTTCTGCACCATATAGTAGGACTGTTTTGACATTTGTATTAAAGACTCTGACTTTGGTTTGCAGTTCAGCACCTTCGACTCCCATATTTTCTTTAATAGCACAAATGCTGATCAAGCTTTTCCAATTCTGGCCCTTACGTCCGCATCGGATCCACCATTTGTGTCTATGGTGCTGCCTAAGTAATTGAAGGACTCCCCTTCTTCCAGTGCCTTTCCTGCCAGATAAATATGCTCTTGGTTGGATGAGTTTACCTTCATGATTTTTGTCTTGCTTTTATTTATATTTAGTCCAAGCTGTGCTGCAATGGTGGCTACGTCTTTTGTCTTTTCCTGCATTTGTTGCTGGTTGTGGGACAGAAGTGCAATGTCATCTGCAAAGTCTAAATCATTCAGTTGTTCCCAGATTGTCCACTGTATCCTATTCCTCTTTTTGTCTGTGGATTTTTTCATTATCCAGTCAATAGCAAGGATGAATAGAAATGGGGACAAGAGGCATCCTTGTCTGACTCATGTTTCGACTGTAAAGGAGTCTGTGAGTCTACCTTCGTGGACCAACCTGCATGTATTTCTTCATAAGAGCTCTGAATGATCCTAACTATTTTCTCTGGTACTCCATAGTACCGAAGACGTTTCCACAAGGTTTGTCGGTCCAGGCTATCAAAGGCCTTTTCGTGGTCTATAAAATGTATATGCAGGGGAGAGTTCCATTCGATGGACTGTTCTACAATGATTCTTAATGTTGTAATTTGGTCTGTGCATCATCGGTTTTGGTGGAAGCCAGCCTGTTGATCTCGTAGCTGCATGTCGACCTGGTCTCTCATTCTATTCAAAATAATTATGTTAAAGACCTTTCCTGTTACAGACAGCAGTGTGATTCCTCTGTAATTTGCACAGTTGCCGAGATCCCCTTTCTTTGGTATCTTGATGAGGAATCCTTCTTTCCAATCTTTTGGAATTCTCTCTTCTTCCCATATCTTTTCCAATAGAGGTTGCAGCATGTTGACTATTGTATCTATATCAGCTCTCATTATCTCTGCTGTGATGCTATCCGGTCCCGGTGCTTTCCCTATTTTGAGCTGCTTGATGGCGAGAACTATTTCTTCCTTATTTGTTGCGCTTTATTCTATTTGTAAGTCTTCATTTGCATTAAACTCCACCAAGGCAGGTCCCAGGCCCGGGTACAAAAGGAGGAGGGTTGGCGTGAGGCCAGCTACTTCACCCGTAAAAAAAAAAAATTGCTACAGAAACGCCAACAAGAAAAAAAAACAAACAAATTTCAGCCCTGAGAAGAGAGGACTCTTTTTCTCCACGAAGAACTTTGAAGCCTTTTGGTCAAACCCAGGCTATACTGGAAGCCTCAAAGTCGAAGACCCTCCTTTTTAAGGAAACAAACATAGGCACGTAGGACGTCATAATCATGTATTAAACAAGGAAAGCAGCGCAGGTGGCAGCAGAAATGAGATCTTACAAACTTACACTGCTTGCCATCTTTTAAACAAGATGGATACAAGCTGGAAAAATAACTTTGGCCTCCGGAGAAATGCTAATGTACTCGGGGCATGAGGAGGAAAATGCTTTGATGTTGTCAGGCACAGGATGCATTGATTGGATGGGAAGCCTATGACCAAGGATAATAACAGCAACCTTCCGAACCAAGAAAAAGAAAATAAAGATGAACATAATACAGTGTTACGCACCCACCAACGATAGCAAAGAAGAAGAGAAAGAAACATTCTACAATAGACTACAAGCAATAAAAGAAAAATTCCCAAATAAAGACCTGAACATCTTAATGGGAGACCTTAACGCCAATATTGGAAAGACAACAGTGGATATGAGGAAATCATGGGACGCCACGGTGTAGGAGAGAGGAATTAGAACGGAGAAAGACCAGCAGACTTCTGTGCAACAAATGAGCTTGTTATTGGAGGAAGCGAATTTCAACATAAAAACATCCACAAGATAACATGGGTATCCCCAGACAACAAAACGCAAAATCAAATAGATCACATATGTATCAGCAAAAGTTTAGAATGTCTCTATAAGATGTACGAGCAAAAAGTGGAGCAGATGTCGCATCCGATCATCATCTGATTTGGGCAAGAATCAAATTAAAGTTAAAGAAAAACTAGGAACAGCCAACTGCTAAGCGAGCCAAATTAAATGTAGCACTTCTGGCACATGAGCATAAAAGAGAGGAATTCAGTGCTACTTTAACTTTAAGGAATAAGTTCCAAGCACTGGAAGAACAAACAGAAGATGACCAAGTAGAACATAAATGGCAAAATATAAAGATGTCTGTAATATCCACTTGCCAAGAAGTTTTAGGATCAGTGAAGCAGAAACAAAAAGACTGTCTCTCACTCAACACACTGCATTAAAGAGAGAAAATAAATGAACAGCCGCACCAGGGCGGAGAAAACGAATGCGCAATAGAAATATAAAGAAGCAAACAAGAAGGTAGAAAACAGCATTAAAAAAGATTAAAATGCCAACATAGATGGCCTAGAATCAACAGCAGAAGATGCAGCCAGGATGGGCAACTTGAAAGAGCTCTACGACTTTACAAGATAACTGTCAGGGAGATACACAAGGCCGGAGAGACCTGTCAAAGATAGAGAAGGTAGATCAATAACAGAAAGAAAAGAGAAACAAAATAGATGGGTGGAATACTTTAAGGCACTATTAAACAGACCCCACCGACAGACGCACCAGACATACAACCAGCAAATGAAGAAAAAAAAATAAAAAAAACATGTACTTGACCCCTCTCTTTTGTTTGCAAGCCTCTCGCTCCTTGCTTCTTGCTGTGTCAAGTTAATTGTGCGGAAAACGATATTGTAATTTCATTTCAATTACTACAGTTTGAAGTAAGCACGTTTCTGTTGAATATAATTTTCAAAAGTAGGCGATTAGTCAGGGTTCAGTGACATAAAAAAAGGAATCGACATAACCGAGGAGAAAATGCTAAGACAAAGAGAGAATTTCGCGGTTCCACTTTAAAAAAAAACGTCTTTAAAACAGGGTTGGCGAGTTAACCGAGGACGAGATAGGCGGGTTCGACTGTAGTATATGTATAGCCATAGCATTTGGTTCGCTCGGTAGCAGTGTGGTGAACACAAATTATTTTCGATTAGAACCAATACAACTGTATAATATATATATACATATATATATGTATATATATATATATATACACACACACATTGAAAGCAATTTAAACTATTGCATTGTTCAAGTTAAAGGGAATATTTTGAATATTTAATATTCATTCTTCAGCCTTTATATCGTCTAAAACCTTCTTCTTTTAAAAATGGGCCGGCACTACGTACATCACGGCGGTGTACCTAGCAAAACCAAAGGCTTTAGCCTGCGTACGCCGCATCGGTACACGCAGTACAACCAAGGTCTTTGGCGGTCTTTAACTATTTGGCCTAACAGGTACTCGTAAAATTAATTTTGTCTAGTTAAAAATAGTTGTAAAAAAATTCATTTGATGCCTGCAAAATTAAACTGAAGTAGAACTTGTATTTTTTTTAAAATTGTGCGCCGAAGAGTTGGAGTCCTGCAGGCACGCATGGAAACAATGTTCCTGTAACTGTACTATTTTTTAAAATAAGAAATATATTATTTCGGGGTTGGGAGGGAGATATTTGATAAGTTCCCACTCTTTTGTGGCAAGTCACCAATAAAGAGCAAAGTATTTGCTAGTATTTTACTGGTTGTATCTGGCAACTTCGTAAGTAAAACGCATTTTATATCCTAACGTGGCGAACCCCAACAGGGAGGCATTAGTATATTATAGGAGGACATATAACGGTCTCTGGGGACAGTGTCATTATTATAAGGGGTTTGAAGAAGCGGTCTACCTTGGGCATATTTGTTTCTTTAAATGGAGGGGCACCATTTTTAGCTAACTGATAAGTTTTTAGTGACATTCGGTGGCCAAAATATTGCCATTGTAATGTTAATCATGATATGTTAATAAAAGTAATCCACTTTATTATTTCTTCTTCATATATTGCAATTCAAATATTTTCCCCCCATTTATTGTAAGTTTTATCCAACAATTGTGAATATTAAAGCCAAAAAAAAAAAAAAAAAAAAAAAAAAAAAAAAAAAAAAAAAAAAGGCAGCTAATTTGAAATTAAATTTTCTTTACGGCAGCATGAAGCCCCTTATTATTATATTCATTAAAATTTTTATGCGATCAGGTGGGGCGTGTGGTTACAAAATGTTTGGGAAGCACTGCCGTAAGTGTATTGAAATTTATGTGGTGGGTCCTGACCAGTGGCGTAGCGAGGCAGGTATGGGGGGTGTGACCGCACCGGGTGACACCATTTTAGGGGTGACACCCGATTGAAAAATTGCATATTTACAGGGCACACATTGCTCGCAAAAATTGAGATTCATAAAAGAATAACCGATCACACATATATTTTTCACAAATGTAACTAATCCAAATGCGCGCTTTATTAAAAGTTCAAGGTTGATGCTATACTGTGGACATATTTTAACAAGAAAAAATCGATGATAGAAGTTTGGGGGGGGGGGGGTGACACCATGAGTTTACCGCACCGGGTGACACCAACCCTAGCTACGCCACTGGTCCTGACACTTCTTTTTTTTTTCGCCAGTTTTTTTTTTGTTTGTGTCCAACGAAATAATTAATTCACAAAAGAAAAAATCGATGATAGAAGTTTGGGGGGGGGGGGTGACACCATGAGTTTACCGCACCGGGTGACACCAACCCTAGCTACGCCACTGGTCCTGACACTTCTTTTTTTTTCGCCAGTTTCTTTTTTGGTTCAGTCCAACGAAATAATTAAGTCACAAATATGTCACAGGCAAATAAAGATGTCTGAGGCTAACAGTTAATATTGTGATATCAAGCGATTGTAAACAAAAAGCAATAGTATGATTGATGATAAATAAGAAACGTTGCGGTGATTTTTTAATAGACTTCTAACAATATTTCAATATCATGGATTTCACAGATATTGTCTTTATTAAATGTATTATTATAGTATAGAGTAAAATAAAAGAGTGTCAGAAATTCAGGATAATTATTAAATGTAAATTCTTTCTGCCTGTACGCAAATATATATTTAATTAAGATGAAAAAAAGCTCGCTTAAGCTTAGTAAAACTCGATCAGTATCTAGGCACTGATCCCCAAATATGATATCGTCTTGCGTTTACTCTACCACAAGATTATATTATACAGCTTTATCTCGAGACCAGGCCAATGTTAATTTATTTGCCAAGGTGTAGGCAGGCTAGGTCCATGGTTTGTTATGTACATCGTTGTGGTGTACGCAGCCACTTCGTTAAAAAAGGAGTCTTGCGAACAAGACTAACTTAGTAACTACGGTTGTGTGTAGGCTATTCGTAAATGAGGGCTTTAATTTAGAAACAACGTTAACAGAGGTCTTGCTTCTTATATTTACAGCCGACGGAAACGTATCCACTTTGTATTCATGATGGCTTCTCACTGCTCTCCTAGAGCTGTATGTATTTCCCAATAATTAATTAGAAAAATTGGAAAGTTTAAATTTGCTTTTATTTCTTTGTAATATTGAAATCCGCCTTATAATCATACGAAAGGAGATCCTTTGTTTTAACTGTTAAATTAATAAATAAGTAATGGAAATTTAAAAAATAATAATTCCACTGCCGAGTCCACTGACCACTGCCCTCTCACTAGTAGTAGTCTAATTCGGGTCTCTTGCTTGGCTTGAACTCTCTCTCATCTAAGTCTACAGTTCAGCTGAGAACTCTTAGGCCCCTCTTATATTGCTTACAAAACTTAACCCTAAGTGAGGCTTAAGCTTCACCCTAGCCCTAAGTCTAAGTTAGGGTGACCAAATCATGAACTGGAAAAAATGGGACACACGCAAAGAGTAGGAGGGTTTGGGGGGGGGGGGAGGGGCGATACCCTCCAGCTATAGAGGGGTCTTGAAAGGGGGGGGGGGCTAAGAATAAGAAGAGCAATTAATAGGGCCTACAAAATTGCTTTTTCACAGTCGCAAAGCTAGGATCTATAATCAAGGCTGTAGTGTATGTGAGTGCATTAGGAAAAGATGGCAACCAAAGCTGTGTTGCAGAGCTTTGTGCTTGGCTTAAAACATCGACAAGAGGATGTAAGGTTCAAAACTGCAATTGATCTTCATCACTTTGTTGTGACTGAGCTTCGGGAGATGCAGCAGGATGATGTGGCATCATTCATGGATGATTTCAACCACCATATTTTTGAGATGGTTTCCAGCTCAGATGTTAATGAGAGAAAAGGTGGTGTTTTAGCCATAGGTGAGATTTTGTTGAATTTTTATTAATTTTTGTTTTCAATCACACTTTACGTATTAGCTGTGTGTATTTATTTTTATCAAATTTATGATTTGTGCTTTCTCTTCTAATTGAGTACATTACATCCACCCATCTTTGAACAGGCCGTTTCATTTCCTTCAAATTCTATTTACAACTTTTACAAGCATTCTTTTTAAAGAAGTTGGAAATTTGATCTACTTCTGATATCTTCAGATTTCCACAGATTGTCTGTCTGCTAATACTTGTTCTTGGTTTCCCCAGAAATTTATGTATTTTATCAATTTACAGTGACTTGATTTTAAGAATTGATTTACATAAATAGGAGCCAGAATGATCAATACATTGATCATCCCTTAAGATATAGAAGAAGAAGAATTTCTGAAATTTTATTTTTGTGGATGTATTCTACCATTTTACACAGTCATGAATATGAGTGAGAAGGGATTTTCATTTGGGTTTCATGTTCATGGTTGTTTTATCTTTAGTATTTTAGACTTGGTGTCTAGGTACCACTTTCCTAGATTCAGCTCCTTAGTTAAAAAATATATTTCCTCTAAATTTAAATTTGATTTTCATTATCACAGTTAGTCTTCTTGGCGGAGATGTTGGTAACATTGGAACTCGCATGAGCCGCTTTGCAAATTATCTAATGAACCTACTCCCATCAAACTCATACGACCTTGGGGTGATGGAAATGGCTGCGAAGGCTGTTGGTATACTGGCATTATCTTCCGGCACATATGCAGCAGAGTATGTTGAGTTTGAAGTAAGAAGGGCACTGGAATGGCTTGTCTCTGACAGAATTGAAGGGAGGAGACAGGCGGCAGTAAGTCATGGAAATAGATAAAAGCAAACATCATGAATTTTATTTTTGCTATAGGATGGGGCTTCCAGGGTTGATAGTGGAAATTGCAAAATGTAAATAATAATAATAATAATAAGTGGTCTTATATAGCGCGGTACCCCAGCCTAGGGCTGGGCTCACCGCGCTGTACATAAAAATATTAGCCAAAGAGACATAATCACGACATTAAAATAAAATAAATTGATGAAATAAAGAACAGCGTGTAACCAAAAACAACAAAACAAATGTATATTCACCCACCCCACCCCAGAACTTTTACATGGCAAAGCATGGACGACAACCAGCAGGATCGTTTATTGGTCAGAGGAGGGGTATCAGTCAGGGTAGTATAGTTTAAAGAGATGTGTTTTGAGTGCAGTTCTTGTCTAATTTTAAGTAAGGATTTAAAAAAATTGTATTGTTCTTTTCAGGTTTTGGTGTTAAAAGAATTAGCAGTTAACACACCCACATTTTTCTATCAACAAGTACAACAATTTTTTGACTCCATATTTTTTGCTGTAAGAGATCCCAAGGTAAATGTATAATTATCAGAGTAGCCTCGAGTATCTAATTAAAAAAAATGTACTTGTTATTTAGTGTGGACCATGTCATTCTACACGATTTACTTTTTACATAAGTAATCTCACAGGAAATTAATGCAATTTTGCACATTTAGAAAATACATTCAGATATTATTTTGTGTGTACAGCTAACACAAATGAAGGACTAATTTGGAAATATGTGTATTGTTCTTTCTTGCAGCCATCCATTAGAGAAGGTGCTGTAGCAGCGATGAGGGCTGCTCTTGCAGTTACTTCTCAGAGAGAAACCAAAGCCTCTCAGAGATCAGTGTACAAGGTGCTACAAACAATATCATTATTAAGTTTACATTAAAACTGTTTCATTATAAAACATACATATCAACTATTTGATTAAGTCAAATACATTGCACTAATTGATTATGTAACATACAATAACTTATTCATTATATAACAAACAATTCTAGATTTTATTACATGTCGTCCAAAATAATTTCTCATTTGAATCCTTAAGCAATGCTTTGATGAAGCGCTAAAGCCCTTTGATGAGACAACTGGACGAGAAAAGAAGATGACCAGAGATGACTGGATGCATGGCTCATTACTTATCATTAATGAATTGTTGAGATGTAGCAATAATGAGGCTGAGGTAAACCAGTTTTTTTAATCATTAAGTGTTGAGTGAAGCAAAGTCTGGTTTTAGAAGGGGTATTTCTGGGGTCATGGGCCAGATAAAGATGGTGGTGGGCCATGAGTTGATTACCCCTCTTTCTAGAGCACTAATTATGTAAGGCAGATTGAAAATTATTTGAAAGACTGAGAGCAGTGATTGTTCAAAGACTGCAAACTCTTGTTTAAGATGTTAAATTTTTTTTAGATGTGAATCCTCTTTCTAACAGTAGTTGTAATCGTTACGAAAGCTGGCTAGAGTTAAGTATCTATAACTTTTACGGGCATTTTAAAACACTGCTTAAAGCCAGTGTTGGGCCAAATTGAGTAGTAACATCTCATACCACTTTGTGGTTGTATGTGATAGTTTTCTCAGCTGTGATAAAAGTGATAGTTTTCTCAGCTGTGATAAAATTAAGTTGTTAGCAAATAAGGGTGATCTAATGGTGACTTTTATAGAGAGAAAACTTTCAAGGATCAGTAAAAAAAACAAACACAGTTGGTGAACTTAAATCACACTTACAGGTCAACTCACATGTGGCTAAAAGTGTCCTCAATCTGATGTCATATTTATTAAATGAAGTGATGAGTGAGAACACTGGTTACAAGGAAACAGGGCCATATTCATTGTACTTGCTTTTAAAATAGCATTTTAAAATGTATGTTATCAGGAAAATTAAGTAATTTTTTTAGATTAACACAACACACCTAAAGATTCTTATTTTATAATGAAAAGATATGTAAATTTTAAATAATAACCTTTTAATTTTATTTTGATCCCCAGCGCTTGCGCATGGAAGTGGAAGACATTACATCAGAGCAAGTTTTTCATGAAAAAACTGCCAGGGTAATTATATAATAAATCTGTATAGCAGACCTGTTTACTCTTACGATTTTGGCGTACAATGTACGATTTTGAGACGTCTTTTACGATTGTACGCAGCGACCCGCCAAAACTACAATTTTCAGAGAGCCGGTGAAAAAAAAAAAAATTCCGATTAAAATTCGTTTGTTGTAGTTTTAGCCTTTTCCAAGAAAAATCTACTGGTGAATGGAACGAGAAAAACGATTGGTTGTAATTTTTTTTAAAGTTGGGACCATCCTTCATTATATTATGTGCGCACTGAGAGGGGAGGTGAGGGCTGTTAATGAAGGAGATTTGCGGCATACGGGACGCATGGGTGGGGGGTTGGTAGGAGTGCCAAAGGTTATAAAAATATCACGGCAAAGTATCGTATTGATGGCGATGATTGTCATAGTGTTGCTTTGTGTGTCACACTGAACTAGTTAGCTGTGTCACCGGTAATATTTATACTGTTCACTGCCATCCCCTTTGACTGCTACCAAGCGTGTGACGTAGTTGTGTTCCCTTGAACCGCAGCAATTGTGAAAACGGAGAAAACTAGAGACGATATGATTTTTACAATAAAATACATGATCCCACTGTTCTGCACTGGAACGTTGGATGTGGGCATATTTTATAAGAGCTGGTCAGCGGCATTTAAAAAAAATATGTGTAGAACTCGCAAAGCAGTTCTTTACCTCAGCGATCGTAATACGACAGTTTGGTATCACTACTAATACTGCCCCCCCCCATCCCACCCTTTTTTTAAACGGAAAAAAATCAGACGACAGCTCAATTTTTTTCCCCAGTAATGACGGGGGTTGGGGGGGGGGGTTCTGCCCGGTGGAAATAACTTTCGTCACCAGCACGGAAAGACAAATTACTGACTACAATGTGTTAAAACTATGTCATGTTCAATTTTACAACTACAGGGATCTCTTTATGAAAAACACAAAGCATAAGTAGCTTATATGAGTAGGCCTATATGCTTACTGCGAAATATTGTAATATTTTTTTATAGCAATAATAATAATAATAAAAGGCCTAATTAGAATTCACAGATTTTCAGATGACGGTTGACTCTATAAGAGACAGGATAATTACCTGATTTTAATGTTACCATTAATGGAATCAGCGATCCTTTTTATTTTCGGTCCCCTAGTTTAGTTTACTTAGTGAGTATTTTACGATATGGCCTCAACACAAAGAAAGGCACGCGAAACCGATGATGAAGAAGAAACTTCTACCGATAAACATCAGCTTCAACAAAAGATAAAGAAAGTTTATATTCTTGCTTCGATATAAGACACAATTTACTGTGTTGAGGTTTTCATAGAAGGGTCCATCATATGCGCGCTGCACATTCTGCAAGTCGGACTTTTCAGACAAAATGAGTGGTGTGGATTTAGGAGATAGTGTGTATGGCGCGGTTCTGAATATTAAATAAATCTATACATTCAACACCGTCATCCACATTTTCGTAATGTCAGTTGGGGGGAGGGGGTGGAGGGGGGAGAGAGAGGATGTTCCTCGGCAGAAAGTGCATGCAGTATTTAAAAATACTCAATATTCATCCCGAAAGTCTGAAAGTCCTAAAATAGCACATTAAGATCTCGAATGCTGTAAAATACCAGACAATGTTTAGTAGGAATTACTGTCGCGATGTTGTCAAGATGTATTTTCACAAATGAACTCGCTAGCTCTACCTAAACTCAGTATTAGAGAAATTACAGTAATGTTTAGTCCACCGAATATAAAGGCCACGTGTCGTGTATAATTCGGTGGGCTACGCCAGTGGTGCTAAAATTTTCGTTTCCCTGCGCCTATGCCACACTACGTTTTTGTCAAATTCTAAACATGTACAATTCGAAATAGCGAATACACCAATAAAATAAGGGTTGGATAAAAAATAAATATAACGTGTATGTAGGTCACTGAGCGCCATCTGGAACTGCAAACAGCAATTGCTTAGTGGGTTACTGTTTGCACCACTACCGAAAGTTGTCACATTGGTTTAAAAGTGTAAATAAAATAATGAATTTTTAAAAATATTTCGCAATGCCCCGATGAAGAAGCCACAGCCACCGGATATATACAACGGATTTTGTTAAGTTTATTGGGGGGGGGGGGCTGCTGGTGTTTTAAAGCTCACTGTACCGTACACACAAAAAAAAGGGGGGTGGGGTCCCATTTTGTTACCGGGTAATTCATTCTTATTTTAATACTTTTTATTTTATGGTTATAGTAGGCCTATATGCTTACTGCGAAATATTGTAATATTTTTTTATAGCAATAATAATAATAATAAAAGGCCTAATTAGAATTCACAGATTTTCAGATGACGGTTGACTCTATAAGAGACAGGATAATTATTGTATGCATAAATGTAGGTGCAGTCTATTGACCCCCCCCCCTCCCCTTGTCATACACATCCTCAGCGCGTACATAATGCGTAATAGTTTGATGTCCCTTTGTTTTACGTAATAGTTTGATGTCCCTTTGTTTTACGTAATAGTTAGATGGCCCTTTGTTTGACGTAATAGTTAAATGGCCCTTTGTGTGACGTAATAGTTAAATGGCCCTTTGTTTTGCGTAATAGTTAGATGGCCCTTTGTTTTACGTAATAGTTAGATGGCCCTTTGTTTTACGTAATAGTTAGATGGCCCTTTGTTTTACGTAATAGTTAGATGGCCCTTTGTTTGGCGTAATAGTTAGATGGCAGGGGTGGACTTCAAGCGGCCCTGGAAAAAATCAAAGCGGCCCGGGAAAAAACCCAAAAAGCGGCCCTATCTTCATGACTTTTATTTTTATTATATCACCGGTCCTAGCGGCCCATCGGGAATCTTCCTGGTGTCCCGGCGGCCCAGTCCACCCCTATTAGATGGCCCTTTGTTTTACGTAACAGTTAGATGGCCCTTTGTTTTACGTTGACAAGGTGCGGCTGGGGGGGCGGGTTATAAATATTTTATAAGACTTTTTAATGTTTATTTTGCGTACCAGGTATGTTATACATAAATGTCCCATTTCCCAAACAGCTTTGGCGTTCGAATTTGTCTACATTGACGGGTGTGCACATTGCCTGATTTTAATGTTACCATTAATGGAATCAGCGATCCTTTTTATTTTCGGTCCCCTAGTTTAGTTTACTTAGTGAGTATTTTACGATATGGCCTCAACACAAAGAAAGGCACGCGAAACCGATGATGAAGAAGAAACTTCTACCGATAAACATCAGCTTCAACAAAAGATAAAGAAAGTTTATATTCTTGCTTCGATATAAGACACAATTTACTGTGTTGAGGTTTTCATAGAAGGGTCCATCATATGCGCGCTGCACATTCTGCAAGTCGGACTTTTCAGACAAAATGAGTGGTGTGGATTTAGGAGATAGTGTGTATGGCGCGGTTCTGAATATTAAATAAATCTATACATTCAACACCGTCATCCACATTTTCGTAATGTCAGTTGGGGGGAGGGGGTGGAGGGGGGAGAGAGAGGATGTTCCTCGGCAGAAAGTGCATGCAGTATTTAAAAATACTCAATATTCATCCCGAAAGTCTGAAAGTCCTAAAATAGCACATTAAGATCTCGAATGCTGTAAAATACCAGACAATGTTTAGTAGGAATTACTGTCGCGATGTTGTCAAGATGTATTTTCACAAATGAACTCGCTAGCTCTACCTAAACTCAGTATTAGAGAAATTACAGTAATGTTTAGTCCACCGAATATAAAGGCCACGTGTCGTGTATAATTCGGTGGGCTACGCCAGTGGTGCTAAAATTTTCGTTTCCCTGCGCCTATGCCACACTACGTTTTTGTCAAATTCTAAACATGTACAATTCGAAATAGCGAATACACCAATAAAATAAGGGTTGGATAAAAAATAAATATAACGTGTATGTAGGTCACTGAGCGCCATCTGGAACTGCAAACAGCAATTGCTTAGTGGGTTACTGTTTGCACCACTACCGAAAGTTGTCACATTGGTTTAAAAGTGTAAATAAAATAATGAATTTTTAAAAATATTTCGCAATGCCCCGATGAAGAAGCCACAGCCACCGGATATATACAACGGATTTTGTTAAGTTTATTGGGGGGGGGGGGGCTGCTGGTGTTTTAAAGCTCACTGTACCGTACACACAAAAAAAAGGGGGGTGGGGTCCCATTTTGTTACCGGGTAATTCATTCTTATTTTAATACATTTTATTTTATGGTTATCGAAGTCAGGTTTGAACTTTCACCAGTGATTTTATTTTGACCAGTGACAGACTGGGATAATGTGATCAGTACGTTAACCCAAATAGTAATTGATATGTATTAGCAGATACATGTCTGCAAAACAAAGTGACCGCAGTTAACAGCTAACGTCAGTCATCTACTGTTTACCTACAGTTCCATATTTTGACGCCAGCTTAACTCGATTCCACTGAACACGCTATAGGAGGAGTTATTGCATACATTAAATATACTGTATTTTTTATTTATTTACTATCAAAATACTGCATTGTACGATTTTGAGATGATGTTTTACGATTTTAGGAGTTTGGGGGTAAACAGGTCTGGTATAGATTTAATATTTTTTGAAATTTATTCTGTACTTCTTAACTCAAAAGATTATTTACTGATATAAGCTATTTCATATTAAATTGAGCCACTTTTATAATAAAATCAGATAATTTAAAAAACCATCACAATTTTTATTTTAAAAAATCATTTATAACATTAGTTTGTGTTTTTCCTGAAAACCAATATTAAAATCGGGAATAAACAACAGATAATGGACTGCGTTAAATAAATATATTTTACTTTAATTTTATCAATATAAATAAATTTAAAGATCAATAAAAACATATTTTATGAGAAATGCTCATTTTAACACTTTGGGTTTTCTAACATATATGTTGAAATTGTCTTCTCATCCCACCATGTAGAATAAATTCCTATTTTTATTACAGGAAGTTGGAAACAAGACCAAGGGGCACACAAGCGTGTCTGCCCTGCAGCAGATCCAGCAGAAATCATCCCCCTTGTATGTTTTTTGTCCAGGGGCCAGGGAGAGTCAGCAGAAGATCCCCCTGTTTGAGAGCAAGACCTGTAAAGATTTGATGAATGGCAACTTTGACAGGGTACGCAGATTATTTGTTATATAACAACTTTTACTTTTAGTTTAGTATCATATTTAGTAGTTTTGAATTACATATTCAAATAGTTTCTTACTGGTTATTTTCTTTGAAGTCCAGGTTTCACAGACTTAAAAAATTATGTCAAAATTTTGTTCAGATCTGCAACCTGATGCTGGCTCACCGCACAAGCCGAAGCATCTACGTCCAGCAAACACTTCTGAGCTCACTGCCTCGTTTAGCTGCATTCAACCCTCAGCTTTTCATTAGAATGTAAGTATAGAAAGTTTGGTCGGGCTAATTTTGAACAGAGGAAAAAAATCCTCTTTACTCTTAGTTGGTTGATGAAATCACTTTTGTACTTCCAAGAAGTGAAGAGTCATTTAAATTCTTGTAGAAGGATTTTCTTTCTCATGCTTTTGCGTGTTTGTTTCATGGAAATGACTTGAACGTCAGGGGCCTTGGGTGAATGGACTAAACTATTAAACATAAGGGGCCTTGGGTGAATGGACTAAACTATTCAACATAAGGGGCCATGGGTGAATGGACTAAACTATTCAACATAAGGGGCCTTGGGTGAATGGACATATGGGAACTTGGGTGAATGATCAAAATATGAAACTTGATTAAATTTCGACTCTGATTGGAATAAAGGGAGAAACACATAAATTAATGCTGCCAAAGAATTTATTGTGGAGCACTTGTAGATAACCATTTGCTGTTTACTGTTACCAGATTTCTAGTGATGAAGCCATCTTGAAACTAATAGATCAGTCGCGGTAATGTTGGTAACCAGCCTGACTATTGGCTAATTTTTTTTTTTCTGGGCTGTGATTCTTAAGTGCAGAAAACAAAATAAATTCTCAATCTAAGATTTACTCTCTACAACATTTGGTCAGTGCTCTGTAAACTTTCAGTGGAGGCAAGTAACCAAACAAATTATTCCGTTCTGGAAAAAAACCAACAGAAAATGGGATTGGGAAACAAGTGTTTGATTTTGAAACCTAAATTCCCAACTCACAGCATGCTCAAAACACTAATTTACCATTTTCATTTAGGAAATTTACTTAGCATAAGATAAATAGTTTCTTCTTGAGAGTGAAAAAAGTATAGCTTCACCTGTTGCGCATAACCGGAGATTTTCATTTGGAATGGCCATTAAAAAAAATTAAGAAATAAACTAAAAAATGTACATTAACTATTTGTGTGAACTTCCTGTTCATTTCTCGTTTGCCAATGGATTGTTCATCCAGCTGAGTTAAATTCTTGTCAGTTACTCCAGTTATTTTTTTTTACTGACAATGTATGCTCACAGTTCCTGTGATAACTTTACTGACACTGTATGCTCACAGTTCCTGTGATAACTTTACTGACAATGTATGCTCACAGTTCCTGTGATAACTTTACTGACAATGTATGCTCACAGTTCCTGTGATAACTTTACAGACAATGTATGCTCACAGTTGCTGTGATAACTTAAGTGACAATGTATGCTCACAGTTCCTGTAATAACTTTACTGACAATGTATGCTGACAGTTACTGTGATAACTTAACTGACAATGTATGCTCACAGTTGCTGTGATAACTTAACTGACAATGTATGCTCACAGCTACTGTGATAACTTAACTGACAATATATGCTCACAGTTACTGTGATAACTTTACTGACAATGTATGCTCACAGTTACTGTGATAACTTTACTGACAATGTATGATCACAGTTACTGTCATGACTTTACTGACAATGACATGCTACAGTGACCTGCCACAATGTCAGATATTTTATTTATATTTCCTTTCTTAATGAAGTACATTAGTGACCTTCTTAAGAAATTTGCAGTGACGACCATAATCTAGCTAATGGTGACCTACATAAACAAAGTGGCCAGTTTAATCCACTGATTGCTTGGCTGTTGGAATTAATGGGAATTTAAGTACATACACATTCAAACACAGATATGAGGTTTACAGTAGGTTGAGGAACATACGTTTATGTTAAAGTTTATATATAATATTTATTTGTATACCTATGACTTTATCAAGTGTATTCAATTTTGCCCCGAATATGAAGCAAAACCAAACGTGGTGTGATAAGGTTCAGAGTTGTAATTTTAACTGTCTACCTTTAGGAGGTCATCTAGTGCTAGGCGAGATAACCGGTATGTATGTACTTACCTAACTCATTCTGCTTGCAGAGCAATCTTGATTATCTTCATTTAATTTTTTCTCCTCCTTTTTTCTAAATGAATAAATGTCATTGCTGTTAATATTATTTCCCCCCGAACCGTTCCTCCAGCCCCCCCCCCCGCCAAGTCTGTGGCATACATGCTTGATGTTTAAAATGATGCTTTTGTTTTATAATTTTTTGTTTGTTTCAAAGTCCAGCAATGGCGGCTCAAACTAATTAAAATATACTGGTTGCTTGTTCTAATGACATTACAGCAGATTTTAGTCTGAATTAATGCTTCTGGCTGTGACGTCATAGTATGTCTGCACCAGCAATGAACTTTAATTACAACTCTGCATCTCTATATGTAGAATAGAATTTTTCAAAAATAACATTGCAACCACACATTATACGTTTCTCACAACACTCCACCCCTCTTTCCCCTTGTTGACTGAGTTCACATTTTTCCATTATATTGAATGAGATAGTATTTCCTTTCTGCTTATGGGCCACAAAGTCAAAATTGAAATAAATATTTTTAATAGGAGATTAAAAAAACAAAACAAAAACTCATCACCGGGTTACAGTTCCTGTACAGTGATTGTTGAAAGCTTTGAACAAAAATGTTCTCAAATGTGTGCACGGGCATCCTTATTCCCTTCAAAACACATTTTTTCTACTGCAATACAAAAGAAAATGCTTGTCGAGCTAATCACCCAAAATTGTTTTCTTTTCAAAGGCATGTTATTGGCTAAGTTTTACTGTATTCATTTTCACATTCTCTCCTCATTTTGCATACAGAGATGTTTACAGTATTCACTGATGTCCTTTTGTTTGCAAGTTTAAATATTTGAGTGTTTTTTCTGTGGTGTCATGTTTGATATTTAAAAGCTGTCTGATAAATCTTTGTATGGGGTTTAAATGTCTGTGCTTTCTTCATAAATTTTCAAAAAAATTATTAGGTGATTGCTAGAGTGAAACAAATAGTTTAGATCTTGTTTCTCTCTTTGATTGTGTATAAATCATTCTACGAAAACCCTACTAAGTGTCAAGGGCTTTCTGAAAGTTCATTGGAAAACTTTCCGAATTGAGTGTCTCATGCATTGCTTGTCAGAATTACATACAAAGGGTCATGAAGAATAATTTTTTAAAAATACTATGCCATCTGTGACTATATACCATCATGGAATATTCTCTAAACAATATAAAATATTATTACTATTATTATTATTATTAAATTTTTTTTTGTTTTTGGGATAATTCTTTTTGAGTCTCAAAATGTTAAACGTCATGACTTTGATTGAAAATCCCTCTTGACTTTTCATTTAACTGAACCGAATCATTTATGTTGTGGTCATCTTAGTCTGCTGTGCCTTCCTCTGACAAGACTAAGAAATTCTTCACCATGATCTATTTACATGACCCTTATCTTTAGTGGATCTGTCTCAGCAACATCATCCTCTACTCTAAACTTCAGTATCATAAACTGAGCTTACTTAAGGTAAACTTACTTAACTAACTCAGTACCATAAATTTAAAAGATTCTTGACCAGGGGTAGACAAATATAAGGCACCCAATCACCATGGCGGCTTCAGAAAATGTCTTTTCTCGACACTTGATCCAGATTTTCATAGCCCATATTAATAAAATAAAACATGGTCGAGAACTATGTTTATTTTTGTCTATCCCCTGTCTTGTACTATACACTTTTCCCTCGCAAGCATCCCTGCTCAAGGTTTAGCGTTATAACCTGTGCAGTGGTGCACAGGGAAAGGCTGGATTTTAAATTCTGAAGTGCACAAAGCTGACTCATTTTTATATGAAATATAAGAACAAGGTATGCTAAACTTGAATTCATAGACAGGACAAAAAATTTAGACATTTCGGCGTAGAGCCTTCATCAGCAAACAGGAATTCAAGTTTAGCATACCTTGTTCTCAAATTTCATTTAAACAACTTGAATGCAGTCCATCAATTATTATCTTTTATGACTCATTTTGAAAGTGAAAGCACAGTAAATTACTACAGAGTTTTATCTTCAGGAAACACAGATACATTGTTTACTATAACTACGGTTATAATATTTAGTTTTTTACCACAACTGCGGTTAGAATTTTTATACCATAACTACAATTAGAATATTTAGGTTTTTTTACCATAACTACGCTTATATTATATATATTTTTTTTACCATAACTACAGTTAGAATATTTAATATTTAGTTTTTTGTAAACTATGACTTTGTTACAATGAGCTATAATTATTCAGATGTTGGTAAAGTAATTCCGTTGGCATTCCAGTGAAAAAAAATCAATGGCACATATTTTCAGGGCTTCTTCTGATTTTCCAGAATGTTTAAAAACAAATTCATTAAGAAGCTTAACCGTCGCAACATGCTATCAAAAATATAAAAGTTTACATTTTTTGTTGTTCTTTAAATGTCAGTGTACGTTTTTAAGAAACATTCACTATTCAGGTTTGTAATTAAGAAACCATGGAAAAACAACAAATAAAGTTTGTTAAATAAAATTTTTCTTAATATTTAAAATACCATCCATCTTTTTACCCATATTAATTTAATATTTGCACTGATTTAACATAAACATGGAGCTTTAATAATGTAGTTACACGACCTAACATAACATTTTTCTGTATATGAAGTGGTCTAAGCATTTGTAAAGTGAATCCGTTTTTTTTAATGTATGCATTGATAACTTTAAAATTTTCTTAATATGATGGAGTTGATAATGAACAATGTAAGTAATATTATGGATATTTATTTTTAATTTAGGTCAATCTGTTTGAAAATGTTTGCTACATATCCCTTAACACATCTCACACCTTTGTCTTGAATCTTTAGGGTAGTAGTTCTGAACCCATTTTCAATCACTGTACCCCTTGACCTTGCGGCTGACACTTGTACATTTTAATAATGTTCAGAACTCCCCTGCCTTAGAGTAATTTCCCCCGCCTTAGAGTAATCTCCCCCACCTTAGAGTAATCTCCCCCGCCTTAGAGTAATTTCCCCCACCTTAGAGTAATCTCTCCCGCCTTAGAGTAATCTACCCTTGACAGTTAGCTCAAGTGAGCTGCACCTTCCCAAATACATTCGTAAGTATTGACACCATCAATGTTTATTTTCAATGACTTTTGAAAAGAACAAATAATTGATTTATACTATTTTTCCAATGCAATACCAAGTGGAATGTTTCTAACTAGAATGCAAATGTATATTTTAAATGTAAAAAAAAAATGTCTATTATAATTAAAAATGTTTCTTTTCTTTTTTTTTTGTTTTGTTCTCAGGCCGACCTCAGAGTAATTATACTATTTTGAGATTTTTTAAATTTTTTGCTTCAATTGCTAAAAATTTCAGTTTTACCTCTGGCCACTAATATTAGTTGATAATTTCATTTGCTCCAACCTTTCAAATCTAGAGGGATAAAATTATTGAACTGAACAATAACATATACATATGATAATTTTATAGAACTTAATAACGCGACTGATGACAATTAGCGCTAATTTTCAAATCTTCCAGAGTGATAAAATTATTGAACTGAACAATACTATTATGATAAGTTAATAACTTGACTGATGATAATTGGTGCTAATATTTCAAATCTGCTCAAATAATCAAATAAATAAATGAAGGGACTGCTTTCAAGCTATGTAAAAGAATGAAATAGTGAAACGAGGTATGTGGAAGCTTGAAATAAGGTAACAGGACAAAAAACAAGGACGTTTCGGCATAAAGCCTTCATCAGCCAACAATAGAAATGAAAATACAACAAAGAAAAGAACACAGTAGAAAACTCAAGCAGTATTCATTCGTCTCTCCGGAAGTGGGAAAACAGGAAGCGAGAGAAAATAAATAAATATTGGCACTGTGAAAAATAAAGTCCACAATAATAATGGGCCAGAATATCCAGGGATACATCAACAAACAGCAATAAGAAAATAGATGAAATATAGGGAAACGGAGAAACATCAGTAGGATATTATTTGATTAATACCATATGGAGATATGGTGCCAAACAGCTGAATAAATTTATTTTCCATTTTAACCCTATCTGGTGTGTTACTGCATGAAATCAATGCCGTAATGGTTACATCCAAAGCACCTTTATGTTCTTTTTGGTTGAAATGAGAAGAGACCGGGGAAGGTTTACATTGCTCAATATCCCTTAGATGTTCAGTAAACCTATCAGCCAATCTTCTCCCAGTTTCCCCTATGTAACTTGATTGGCATCTACGGCAAACAATCGCATATATTACATTTCTGCTGACACAGGTGAAACCCTCTTTAATGGTAAAAGTACCTTTAGGGAGGCCAATGCTATCAGTTTGGAGTGTAAAGGGACAAGTTCTGCAGCGGCCTCTTAAGCATGGTTTAGTACCAACGTAAGACGGTTCAGATCGAAGGCGACTATGAACCAGAAGATCACCTAGATTTCTGTCCCGTCTAAAGACAATCAGTGGAGGGGATGAGAAAACCCTGTTGGTATCAGGGTCAGCAAGAAGTATGCTACGATTTTTTTTTAAGCTTATTTCAAGCTTCCACATACCTCGTTTCACTATTTCATTCAAATAATCAAAACAGTCTGTATTAACAATAACAATAGGTTATGTGAATTATTTATAATAATTTAGCCATTTTTTTTTTTAAAGTATGTGGAAATCCCCCCCCCCCCCCTTTTTTTTGTTTAGCAAAACAAAACATTAATGAATAGGCTTTGCATTCTAGATGAGTCTTCCTAATGGGGACATTATGTGTAGCACAAACTGTATCCTTCTAAATCTTTTGATTCTTCTTTGCATTCACGTTTTCAAGTTGTAGTTCTTTGACAATAACAGTTGTAACAAATAATTGATAATTTAGACTTACTAGAGGGTACAGCAGTTAAATTAAACTTTTCATAATCTAAAATTTGAGGAGCCCTCTGAACTGTTAAACTGAAATTTGATACTGTTAATTTTATTGGAACTTTTAAATATTTTTATACTCTAGATTAATTTGATGTCTTTGCACAGTTAAGCTATTCAATTTATTGGGTGTGTCCTGGGATACGTTTAAGAACAACTGTGCACATTACAATATATTGTAGAACGTATTTTTAGAAATGAAATAACAGTTGCTCTACAATTGTAGGCTGTCATGTAGAGCAAAGTTGAAGCTTGAATTTTTTAACTGCAGTTTTGTTCTTGTAGAGGTGTCAATAATACTTAATAAACTTATGATTTTTTAAAATTCTCTAACAATTGCATCAAATGATAATATATACTAAAATATTGATCTGCTTTGAACTATTGAATGATTTTATGATAGTTCTTCATTTATATCCACTAAAGGTCTTATTATACCCACAAAAGTTCTTCATTATATCCGCAAAAGGTGCCATTAGTCATCAGTGATTAAAAACAAAGATCTATAAGTCATTTTCTAATTTTGTTGTTTTTTTGAATGGGTTTGGTAGGGATAGGGCTAAACATTCCCACCCCCTCCCCCAACCACCACCAAAATTTTAAAGGTACATGAAACTAAGCTCAGCAGGGTCACCATCTTCTAGGGTATAATGTAGCAGTGTTATATTAAAACTGAGATAGGTAAGGGAACCCATCTTCTCAGGTATAACATAGCTATTGGCAGTGTTGTATGAAGATTTGGTATGAAGAAAATGAACTCCTTGGGATCAGGAAGGGCTCAGCTAAGCTTTAGAAATGTTTTGGCTATAGAAACCAAGAAAAGCTCAAAACTGCTGTTCACAACATTGTTTTATGTTAGTGGGTGAACTTGAACTTAACCAGTAGAGCTGCCATTGGCTAGTGGGTGAACTTGAACTTATGCAGTAGAGCTACCATTGGGTAGTGGGTGAACTTGAACTTGTGCAGTAGAGCTGCTATTGGCTGATGCTGTGAGTGCACACAGCTGCTTCTTTAGAATTTCATTCTGCTGTAGGGTGTCATAAAGATGCTAGTATTGCATGTAACACAAAATAATTGTATTCCAGTGATGAGTTAAAAAAAGGGTTTACTGTATTGTTGGGAAGATTTGTGCTGAAAAGCAGGGTATTGGGTGGTAGTGTGGTGGAGGAGCTGTAAAAACTAAAATTAAATGATCAAATCCAGGTTGATTTCTTTGTATTAAGTTTTCAGTCCTTTTTTTTTTTTGCTCACATTTTTTTAAAGCAATAAATTAGATAAATTTTTGATTGAACATTTTATCTGTTAAATGACCGTGACCTGTTTTGAGGATAATGCTGGAATGGAACTTGTCAGCTGGAAACATTTTTTTCCCTTAGGATTTGACTTGCCTTGAAGATCTTTTTTGATGAGCTGGGATTATGATTTTATGACCGGTTGAAAGTGTGTGTAACAATTAGGGCTATTTACACTATTTTATCAATTATTATATTTTATCAGTTATTATATTTTATCAGCTCTTATATTTTATCATCAAGGCTGTAATTTAAAAAAAGCTGAATTGTTAGCTATATTTAAAAGGAAAGAAAGGGAAAAGGGAACCAGTTTTTAAGTAGCGGCAACATTTTTATTTGTTCCTCTAATCATTGGAATTCGGTGAAGCTTCTCAATGAAGTCATGGCAAGTCTGTTTGTGTCGACTGTGATGTGAAAGCTTTGCTGCGTGTAGATGAGTGAATCGGTTCAGATTATCAAAGATGTCATATGACCTTGATAAAGATAATCGGGACAATTTTTAATTCAGAGAGTATTGTTAGCTGGCTGGATTAACCAGGGCACTAACCATTAGACGGAGACGGACACACTTCCATGTCATGAGATGCTGAAGGAATGCATTTTTGCATTTATTTTGTTTTATTTAAAGGATAAATGTTGCTTAGGAAATTAATTTCAAGGGAGGACCTCATGTAATAAAACTTATCCAGGGAGACAATCCTCTAATAATGTTTGATATCAAATAACACATATCCAGGGAGCAGTGGCGTAGGAAGGAGGTGCAGGTGGGGGGCACTTTTTTCTTTATTTACAGGGGCGGAATTTTTGGCCATCTGCAGTTTTTTTCCTTGAAAGGTGGCTGCAAATTTTTTAACAACACCTCCCCCCCCCCCCACCCTGGGCAACAGTACCTTAGTTACGTCAAAGGGGGTGCAGGTGGGGGGCACTTTTTTCTTTATTTACAGGGGCGGAATTTTTGGCCAACTGCAGTTTTTTTCCTTGAAAGGTGGCTTCAAATTTTTTAACAACACCTCCCCCCCCCCACCCTGGGCAACAGTACCTTAGTTACGTCACTGCCCCTACAGTTATAATTTTGGACTCAAATAACACTTATCCAGGGAGACCATCCAACTAACGGTCACAATATTTGATGTTTAAAGAATCTGCTCAAACAAAGTGAATTTGAGCACATCATTTGAAGGGATTCCTTTAACGATTGAAAAACTAATATTTTACTCTCAGCTGTTTTTGCAACTCTTGCGGTACATGGTGTGCTTGTGTTGCTGTTGAGGCTTAGATTAAATGAACTATTCCTCTTCTCTAGCTGGCTTGGCTTTCTTTATTTAATATCCATTCACAGATGTTAGGAATGATTGGTTTAAAATTTCAATTTATTTATTTATGGCTAAATACAGTGTGCAGTGGCATAAATGTCTTTATTATAGATGCTTACATAGATGTTTATTATAGAATTTCTATGATAGATGTCAGTTATTTTTGTGTGTAAAAAAAATGTTTGAAATCTTACTTAACATTTACAGAACCAGTTATGTCTGATGTGTAAACAAATTTTTAATGTGTGCTTTGAAAATGTAACCCCCTCTTTGCTGAACCAACTCTTTCAAGTTTTCAAAGCCCTTTTCAGAACGTGGGATGACAAAGAAAAGTTAAATATGCAATGATAAATATTACTTTATTAACAACTTTCACTATTGACTAACATATGACATTAATATTTCCCTTCAAATTATGCATAATTGTAATATGAATATGTTTTGTGAAAAGTGCACCCAAAAAAAAACAATAGAAAAAAACAACAATTCTCTCTAATTTTTCTCTAGCTTCCTCCAAGACACCATTAATTTTCTGTTGGGTATTCTGAAGAGAGAACGGGACAGAGGCTCTCAGGCTTTCCTGGCCATTGGTTTCCTGGCCATCGCAGTTCAGGGTGAGATCCTTTCCTACATGAGTCGCATCATGGACATCATACGGGCATCCTTGCCGCCACGGGACCATGCCACCAGGTAATGCTTACCCCCATTACTATTGCACACCTGTTTACCCCCCCTGGTTAGTGCCAGAGTAGTTTTCAGCTCTCAGACATGCAGTTTCAAGCCCCAAAGAGTAGTTTGGTCAATTAACGTGTGGGTGTGTGTGTGGGTGGGGGGGGTGTTTACAATCAAAATACAAGTTGTTTGAAGAAATCCACTCAGCTGCTTTGCTGCTTATATAAGTTAACATAAAGAAATATACAATTTATGGTTGTCCGATGTGTTGAAGGATGTCATTCCTATTCCATTGCTTAAGGTGTTAACACAAAAAGTGCTGCAACTTTTTACTGAAAACACCCAAACTATTTATTTTTAATTAAAAATAAACCAAAGAAACGAGAAAACTCCAAAAAACATAGTTTTTTTAGGCTCGTTATAGTGCAGGAGTTTTAGGCTTAATAATGTAGTTACTCCTGCGAAAGCTTAGGGGGTAAACGGGTCTGCTATTGTTGGAACATGATTATTCAATTTTAATTTAACCAAACTGGCTGTTTCCTAATCAGCCAATTGGGTATTTAGATTATATTACAAATAATTATAAATGTTTGAAAGAATGTATGGTTCAATAATGAGTGCAATAGGGCGCAAAATATAATTCCCGATAACTAGGCTAAATGATATTTAAAAAAAATAAAACGCAACTGCGTTTGGCGCATAATATTTTGTTTTTGGAAGATGAAATCCTCTCAATTTAAGTATGGTGTATAAATGTTCTGTTTAAAAGTGGTTGGGACAACAGAATATTTAATATAGTTCATGGGCATGAAATGAAAAGTGTGCAGTGACGTATCATGTGGGGGAATGGGTGCAGCAAAAAATTGGGATTCTTAATTGTGCGTTACTTGAGTTCATGTTTTGTCTAGTGACTTTAGTAGATGGGAAGTTTAGGCAATGCTGTCGCCAATGTTTGGTGGGCTATATCTAGTTTCTTATAAAAAATGTTGGGTAGGTTAAGAACCATGGTTACAGTCTTGATCTAAAAGGCATCTAATCTAAAAGGCATCAAATCTAAAAGGCACCTAATCTCTGATGAAAAAACAGGATTAATTTATTCTCCTAGGATTTTTTTCAAGCATCCATTTCCATTCAATTACTTTTACAATTCCTTCAGGTATCCAAGACTCAAAGTTGTACCCAACAAGAGTTTTTGTCCAAAACTTTTGTATTTCATATGTGTGTCAGTAAAACAGAAGGCTCAGTGGAAAGAGCTATTTAAAAGAGAAAGCATATTGTAAAGAGTTATTTAAAACAGAAGGCTCATTGGAGAGTGTTATTTAAAACAGAAGGTTCATTGGAAAGATTTGTTCAAAAGGAAGACATGTTTAAAAAAAACCCCACCATTTTTGTGTCTTTCAGGAAAAGCCGTCACTTTGTCGTGGATCCAGCTGTGTTTACCTGCATCAGCATGTTGGCCCGGGCCATGGGCCCCCAGATGACAAATGATGTGAAAGAACTGCTGGACAACATGCTGGCCACAGGTCTCAGGTCAGTTGAATCAAGGGGAGAATCATATGTTAGACCAGTGTGTTTGATTGAGGAAATCAGAATAAAATAATTAATAAAAAAATCTTCATTAATGAACCTTTCTTTTTCTCTTGGTGTGAAATAGTCTTTGTGAGATAAGTTGATTATGCATGAACTGAGACATCTAGCAGCATGGCTGTTTGATAGGGATGTTCAGTTGGATGACACGCACTTAATTGTTCTACACAGCAATGAAGGTGGTAGTTTGATAAAGGTAGTTTTGTTCTTTTAGTAGATTAGTTTGTTATTTTTAACTGTTCCCAGCCCGGCACTGACGGCTGCCATGAGGGAGCTGGCCACTCAGATACCACAGCTCAAGAAGGACATTCAGGACGGCCTGCTCAAAACACTCTCACAAATTTTGATGGGGCAGACCCTGAGGCACCCTGGAGCCCAACCGGTCCCACCCCCACCAATGTCAGGTAGGTGGTATATCTCTTTGGTCCGCCCCCCCCCCTCTCCCAGGCAGCAGNCAAGTAGGTGGTATATCTCTTTGGTCCCCCCACCAATGTCAAGTAGGTGGTATATCTCTTTGGTCCCCCCACCAATGTCAAGTAGGTGGTATATCTCTTTGGTCCCCCCACCAATGTCAAGTAGGTGGTATATCTCTTTGGTCCCCCCACCAATGTCAAGTAGGTGGTATATCTCTTTGGTCTGTCCCACTCCCTATTGCAGGCAGCTAGTGGTCTACAAAGTGGTGCATAGTAAATTTCTCAACTGTTCATATTGGTTTATATCTATTAGGAATACACATTCAATAGCAGGACTATAAATTTGATAGTAGGACTACACATTCCATAATAGGACTACACATTCAATAGAAGGATGACCTACTCAATATTTTTGGACTAGAGGCGTTTAACTGTCTTGGTGTCAAAATGTGATAAATATTATAGACTCACCCCCCTTGTCTGTCACACATTTAATTCTTTGCCCTACACAGAGGTAAACTGGTAGTGACCTTTACAAATGAAATTTGTACACCAATGAAGTGCATTGTTCCACATCTTGTATAGGCTTGTCTATGAATTGTTGGTTTTGTTTATTTATATTTCACCATCTTATTACACTGATCCATGTTTTAAACATTCATCCACCCACCAGCACCACCTGTGAACGACACCAGTGACGTGACCAACGTGACCCTTGCCCTGAGGACGCTGGGCAGTTTTGACTTTGAGGGCCACTCCCTGACCCAGTTTGTGCGCCACTGCGCCGAGCACTACCTGGGCAGCGAGCACAAGGAGATCAGGATGGAGGCGGTGACCACCTGCGCCCAGCTGCTGTCCCCTCTCCTGCAGGTCTCTGATTGTCCAACTGAACCTAACCCTCTGTTTAGTTTAGTAATCTGTGAAGTGCCAGTTCACAGCATTGTTAAATATAATCCCATACAACAGAAACACTGGCATGGGGGCACAAACAGGTTTAGGATATAGAAAAACTGACATAAAATTTGAGGTTACTGGAAATTTGATCGAAAGAAATTTCGTCGACGGTAAATTGATAAACGGAAATTCGGTCTAATCTTTTTTTCAGTTCACACGTTAAAATTGTCGTCAAATTTCTTTTTGAACGAACGAAGTATATAGTAAAACAAAATAATGCGTTCAAAAAGAAATTTGAAGCAAAATTTTCACGTAAGAAACTGAAAAAAATAATCGACCAAATTTCTGTTCCATCAAAATACCGTCGATCAGTTTACTGTCACCCAAATTCCTTTCGATCAAATTTCCGGATACGAAAATTTGCCAATCCTCAAAAGAGTAATTAAAATGTACCATCATCAAAATATTTAGATGGCACATGTGAATCAGTAATTCCCAAAGTGGGCAATACTGCCTCTTGGGGGTCACTGGAACGATCCAGGAGGGCGATAGTAGCCTAGGGTGCATTTGAGGGATTTTAATAAAAATAAGGTGTTGGTGAAAGCATGAAGCAGGAAGTGAAGATTTAAGATGAATTATAAAAACTGTCCATAAACATTTCATCTGTTGTGTAGCATATAGATTCTAAATAAAAAAATATATTTATTAGTCTTGTAAATAATATTTGTAAAATGTTCAGTCAGGCGGGGGTGCTGGACATGAGGTTTTTCCTCCAAGGGGGCGGTGGGCAAAAAAAGTTTGAGAACCTCTGATGTGAATTAAAAGTTTTGTAGCAAATGAGGTCACTCATAAATTCCATTATAACTCCACAATAAGCCTTTAGCTGTTAATTTAAATTTTAAAAAAATAATAAAAAATTCCATGATTTAAATTAAAGCCCAGGTATGAAATTGAATGCTGAGTAAAAAAGTTGACAGTTCAGCACATACAAAAACAACTGTGGAACAAAGTCGAAGTCTGAAAATTCTTTTATCTCCTTAAAGTGTGCAAACTTCAGGATTTATCATATAAAAGGTTTGCAACAAAAAGACTCTTAGGTTCTTTTGGGCCAATCACAGAGGTCATTCATTGGCAGAGCTGTATTCCTGTTGAACTGTCAACAAAATTAATGTAGTATTGAGAACAACTCGTGATGCTTGTTCTTTTTAAAGGACTTTGAGTATGGCTTCTATCTCCAGTTGCTGTCCAGACAGCAGGGCCATGTCAGCATGACAGCCATGACAACAGTGGCAGAGGTTCTCAACAAGCTGTTGGTGGTCGGCATCACAGACTCAGGTATGGTGTGACAGTGACACACACTTGCCTGTGGTGTCAGGTATCAAGTGTGTGGTATGCGTGCTGTCTTTTGTAGTTTTTGTCAGTATCTTAGTGTCGTCAGCTAATTGTCTATGTGCCGTATATTAGTCCTATGTGTCATTTTCTAATTACATGTGTGCTAAGTCTTAGTCCTGTGTCATCAGCTGTGTATGTACTGAATCTTATTCCTATGTGTCATTAGCTAATAACACATGTGTGCTATGTCTTAGTCCTGTGTCATCAGCTGTGTATGTACTGAATCTTATTCCTATGTGTCATTAGCTAATAACACATGTGTGCTATGTCTTAGTCCTGTGTCATCAGCTGTGTATGTACTGAATCTTATTCCTATGTGTCATTAGCTAATTATTACATATCATCTTTTTCAAATGCCTTGTTTACCGTCCTTTGAAACCACACCATGGTATCAGACCTGTTTACTCTTGCGATTTTGGAGTACACTGTACGATTTTGAGGTGTATACACTATATATATTATTATACTGTATGTTTATTTTTTTTTACTTTTAAGATAATGTATTGAATGATTTTGTGATGATGTATGATTGTAAGAGTTTGAGGGTAAACAGGTCTGTGGTAATATACTGTCAAATGTCTTAGCCATTATTGAATCATGTATGTAGCCACTGTTGAATCGTGTATGTAGTCACTGTTGAATCATGTATGTAGCCACTGATGAATCATGTATATAGCCATGGTGGAAGTCTAGATCAATTAAATTGTCCTATCATCGCCAAACATGTCTACCACAAAAAATTATCACAAGACGTCACCGCAGCCTCACTTACTGTTCCAGACCCTGACATCAGGTACAATGTCCTGACCTCACTTGATGAGCGGTTTGACCCGCACCTTGCCCAAGCCGAAAACCTGAGTGCCCTCTTCATTGCCCTGAACGATGAGGCCTTTGAGATACGGGAGAGGGCCATCTGTATGATCGGTCGGCTCAGCTCCAAGAATCCAGCCTATGTGATGCCCTCCCTCAGGAAGGTACTCATTCAGGTAAAAGACAAACCTTGTGGTAGATGCACAGGCGTTACAGTAAGTGGCTCTCTATTCTGTCTTATGTCTTGTGATTTTAGGTGTTAGCAAAGTACACCAAGTGGTTCTCAAACCTTTTGAACCTGACAGCTATAAAATACATTTACCTGAATGTGTTTAGTCTAGTGAGTCCCACCTGAATTAGTTTAGCCTAGTGAGTCCCACTTGAATGTGTTTAGTCTAGTGAGTCCCACCTTAATATTTGTACAGACCGGTTTTGTCTTGCAATTTTGGCGTACAATGTAAGACTTTTACGATTTTACACCGAGACCCGTAGAACTACGATTTAAAGAGACCGGCTTGAAATTATTTACATTCGATAGTTTTTTCTGCTTATAAAAATTAAAATTAATTAAAAAGTACATCTTCAATTATTAGTTTAACTTATGTTTGCATTCTACATCCAGCAGTGAATGGATGGAGAAATACAATTGGCAGGGGACCATCTATAATTATATTGGCACTGAGAGGGGAATGGAGTGTTGTTGATTTAGGATATTTTGTGTTGTGGGGAGGGGGAGGGGGGGTCTAAATATGTAAGTATCTAAAATTAACACTGCCACATTTTCGTATGATTTTGTGTGGGGGAGTGTGGTGATCTGACTTATGACTTATTAGAGAGGAGTGTCTCTCGTATGAGACCTCCTCTTGGCACTCTGTCTAGGGATATGTTATTTAAGCCGAATAACCACACGGACATAACACCTATCTATATACATATAGTATAGACTGAAACGAAGTCCTAGTTAAAGGTGAAATTAACTACAAATATTTATTACACAATAATATTTACAACTTCCTACGTGAAACACTCGTGGTGCTCAATGTATATACATCAAACGGATTTCATCCAATTAGAAAGGTATATTAACACAAAGCAAGTGTCCCTAACATACAGACGGTATCATCATTACTATTGCTATATTGCTCAAGTTCTATGCTCGTTCTTGGTAAACTTAGCCTTTATAGATTCTGTGATGGTCTCGGTGGATCACACAGTGTGGGAGTCCTTCTGTTCAAGAAGCAGTGTCCCTGTTCCGGCCTTCGGTGCTGTTCTGAGCGTAGCGAAGTCGGAGTTCCCGGTCGTAGAGTCCTTGGGATGTCTGCGAGGGGAAGATGACTCTCCCGCGATAAATCGTGGTGGTGAGAGTCCCTGGATCTCGAAGTCCTAGCTGTCAGGTAGTTTGGTGTAGGATGTAGATCATCCCCTAGTTCCAGCTCGAGGTAAGTCGGTCCAGTAGTAGAAACCAGGCTAAAGGCAAAATGATACAAAATTGGATAAGTATCCAGGCGAATATCCATAAGCTGATAAGTCCCGTTCCAACAGCAACGAATTCAGATCGATGTATGGAAGGTGACATAGCTAGTGCATATACATCCAAATGGTGGATGTGATTATAAGTCTTGTCATTGTCGGCGGGAGCATATGTTGCATCGCGACAATGTTAGACCACTCAAACATTTTAATTAATGACATGTGGGACATGGTATCAATAACAATCTTTAAATTTACAGGCCCATAATATACATATTGTCTTCTCGTTAAGAGGGACATGGGCGAGTTGGAACAACAACCTACCATCCCCATGATGGGATGGCGGCATGTCGAAGCCCACAGCAAACACAATAATATAATCCATAATATCAATATAAAGTGAATATAGGCAGTATTAGAATAGGGTCAAACACGATCGAATATTTGAGACATAGCGAATGAACAATACAAGTGCAATACCAAAATCATGGTTGCGTACTTACTAGTACTCTAGGTAGCAGTTGAAGTTAAGTATCATGCCAGTGAAGTGCTAAGTCTAGTCACTTCAAGCGTCCACAATCAAGTGATCAGATCTTAAAGTCATGTACTTGCTAATATCCTAGGATGCAGTTATGTATCATGCTGACGAAGTTCTGAGTGCAGATCCTTCCAGCATTCACCGTCAAGTGATCAGATCATAAAAGGCAGAATCTTGCTTGTTCGGGCTATTTATTCGAGTTCGATGACGATTAGCTGATGGTTCAATTGGGTGATTCACATGAGGGGTCAATTTTCTATCCAATGAAAATCACTTTCACTTTTGCGTGTTTGACCTTCAACCCTCAAGGTTAATCGGACTGAGGTGACCATCCTTTTTCAGGCTTTGGCGTGAGTTCTCTGTCTAGACAATGCATTTCCAGCAAGGGACGATACTCCGCCTTGCTGTCTACAGGGCAAAAATGAGGGGGGGAATGGTATTATTTCCTCAAGGTTGTTCGGTGGGATGGTTGACCGCAAATAGCATGTTCGGGGGGGTGAGCGAACTGGTGCAGGAATGTGATATCACAAGGGAACTCACTCGTGCTGAGCGGCGGCGGGGCTACTTGAGGGGAGGGAAAGGAGTTATTATACAAGGGTTTCCAAGGGCGGCTTTACGATATAAGAAATTTTACAAAGTCCAGCCTCAGATCGTCACAGGGAGGGGGATGTCTCGGCTGAAAGTACAGAAGTTATTAAAAAATTCTAAATTTTTCATCAATGGAAAATCCAAACGTAGCATATTTATGGCAATGTTTTGTAGGAATTATTGCCATATATTTTCACAAATGCTGGTGAGATACACTCAAGTACTCAGTACTAGAGGTATTACAGTAATATTTAGTCCACTGTTTTCAACGTGCTTGGGACATATATTTTGTTGGACTACGCCAATGGTTCTAAAATGTTAGTTCCTGGCAAACTTATGTGTTCACCAGGCTCCTTGTGTTTTATTCTAACAAGTGCACTTTGAAATAGCGCACACATAAACAAAATAAAATAAAGGGTTGGGTAAAAATAAATATAACAGGTATGTAGGTCACTAAGCGCCATCTAGTAGCTGCACACTCAAGTGGGTTTCAACTTGCACCATGCCTGAAAGATGTCACATTGGATTTAAAGTGGAAATAAAATGATGAAAATTTTGTAATTTTTTTACAACACTGTAAGGAGGCCGCAGTAACCAATATAGAAAAATGCTGGAGGTTTACCTAATTATTAATTAATGTCTATAGTGAAACAAGGTGACTGCTGATTGCAATATAAACTTTGGTCATCTACTTTTAGCAGTTACCTTTTTTGATGTCAGGTTATCTCGATTCCACTATACAGGCCATGCGAATAGTTATTGTATTAATTATATATGCTGTATGTTTAACTATTTACTATTAAGGTACTATATTTTACCATTTTTGAGATGATATTTTACAATTTTTGGAGTTCTAGGGTATCAGGTTTTTGTTTAGCCTAGTGAGTCCCACCTGTATATGTTGTGCCAAGTTAGTCCCATGTAAATGTGTCCTCTACCATTATCTTGAATGTTAAAACTGTTGCAACATTCAGATTCTGACAGAGCTGGAACACAGTGGGATAGGAAGGAACAAGGAGCAGGCCGCCAGGATGTTGGGTCATTTGGTGTCTAACACTGCCAGGCTCATCAAGCCTTATATGGTGCCTATCATGGGGGTGAGTGGTAGCTGTATATGGTGCCTATCATGGGGGTGAGTGGTATCTGTATATGTTGCCTATCATGGGGTAAGTGGTGTCTAACAGCCAGGCGCTTCAAGCCCTATATGGTGCGATTCGTGGGGGTAAGTGATGTCTAACAGCCAGACGCTCCAAGCCCTATATGGTGCCTATCAGGGGTAAGTGGTGTCTAACAGCCAGGCTCTTCTAGCCTTATATGGTGCTATCATGGGGGTAAGTGGTGTCTAACAGCCTGGCTCATCAAGCCTTATATGGTGCCTATCATGGGGGTGAGTGGTAGCTGTATATGCTGCCTATCATGAGGGTAGAGTGGTGTCCGAAAGCAAGGCTCTTCAAGCCTTATATTATATGGTGCCTATCATGGGGGTGAGTGGTGTCTAACAGCCAGGCTCTTCAAGCCTTATATGGGACCTATCATGGGGGTAAGTGGTAGTTAGATATGGTGCCTATCATTGGGGTAAGTGGTAGTTGGATATGGTGCCTATCCTTGGGGTAAGTGGTAGCTAAGAGGCCTGCCATTGTGGTAAGTGGTAGTTACATATGATGCCTATCATGGGGGCATTTCCTAGTTATATATGATGCATTTCAAGAGGATAAGTGGTAGTTATATTAGATGCCAATCATGGGGGGGTCAGTGGTAGTTATATCTGATGCCTGTCATGGGGGTAAGTGCTAGTTAGATATGGTGCCTATCATGGGATAAGTGGTAGTTATATATTATGGTGTCTATGATGCGGACAAATGGTTGTTATCTGTAGTTCGGCTTTCAAACTTGAAATTCTACCCTTCATGAGAGCATATTGTTTTTTGTACTAGTCTGGCTTGTCAAAAGGATTCTACTAATATTGTGTTTAAATTACGACATCATTGCAGACTTTGATTCCTAAACTCAAAGAAGCTGACCAAAACCCAGGGGTCATCATTAGTGTCCTACAGGCCATTGGAGAACAAGCTCAGGTCAGTACAGGTCAAAAGTCTGTAGTAGTTTGTAGCTGACTTCATATTTCTTTTATTGATCCAAACAAATGGAAATATTTTCAGCGCAAAAATAAATAGATATTTCCATAACTAAAACAATTTGAACACAAGACATCCACATTAAATTATTTCACTAGTGAAAAAAAAGCAGCCATTCAGTTAACTCCCTTAGTCATAACAGGGACTTAATAGTTCTTATTTAGATTTGTGACTTCAGGGGGAGCACGCTGGATAATTCGTACAGAAAAATGCATTTTTATGTCTTTCAGTCCTCGCCTTGAGAGAAAAAATTCATTCCAAATGGGCCGATCTTAAGTGTCTGTGATGAAGAAGGTGGGATGTATCATCCAAAATTTGTTTACTTTTCAATAACATCTTTCTTCAAATAGTTCTTCAAGTGAAGGATGTTTAGTTTGTGTTGTTATGTTCCTAGCATTCTTGATTTAGTCGGTTTATTCAGTATTTAATATCAGACAATGAATTCTCACACCAGCAGGCAATACTGAAATTAAGTAAGCTTCAAATAGTTGCACTGTAGAATAAGTTAACAACTTGTTCGTTTACACCGAAATTGTGCAGTTTTTTAAGGTAGAAAAGTCTTAGGTTGAATTTCTAATACAGAATTAGGTCGTGCTCGTGCCATGTTAGCTTATTATTAATGGTGACACCTAAGTACTTGTACGCCTCTACTTTCTCTACACTTTGATTTTTTATTTGAGATCTGCAATCTGGTGTTCCCCTTCTGCAAATCAACAACCATTTCCTTTGAGACATTCAGCTGGAGAAAACTTTTATCGCACCAATTGATAAAGCTTGTAACTAAGTTGCGGTATAAGCCTACTCCTTCAGATATGAAGCCAACAATGGTGGTATTATCAGCAAATTTTATGATTCGAACGGTGTCGCTTGGGCCCTAAGCATCATGTATATTTATTTTTTAACAGAGGCTCTCAACTGATGACATTAAATCATCCTGTTTCATGAACAAAGGTTCTCAGTTCATGAGATCTCAAGTTATTTGAAGAGAACCTGTTTTGAGATTTTCTCCCCTGGAAGTTCTTTTTTTCCACTGTACCATTATAATTGTACAAATGTCATCTACTTTGAAAATTAAATTTTTGGGAGATAACCTCCTTATTTAATGTTATCCCAAATCTCAAGGTCATAACTGCTTTCCTTCTTTCACCACCAGGTCAGTGGACCAGATATCAGCCAATGGATGGACCAACTTCTGCCCATCATCTTAGACATGTTACAAGACTCATCTTCGTTACAAAAAAGAGAGGTAAAAGCCATTCTCACTACACATCTTCTCATCATAGAAATGCTATATCCATGTGGATTTTAAGGCCTTATGGCAGGGGCGGCCAACCCAAATGACTTTGCTGACCATTTTGATCATGTGCCAACTCATTCTGGACCGCATGTTATTAATCTAATAAATATACGCACAAAACATGCATATTTATTTAATGCACATAATTCTCAAATGACAATACATCCATACGTGCCGCACAAAAATAAATTTATTAGATTTAACAAGATATAAACCATTAATTTTAAAATTGCGGAATTATAACAAGAATGAACATAAATGAAAATGGAATGAAGAAATTTGTGATACATCTAGCATTCCACGGGAGGGAGGGGGAGGGAGGGGGGAGGAGGGGGAGGGAGGGGGAGGGAGGGGGAGGGAGGGGGGAGGTGGGGTTGGAGGAAAATTATTGTGACGGAATGCATGCCTTATGACATGGATGATTTACTTTGCATATTGTCACTAAAATGATCCATATTAAATTATTATGAAAATTATTGAAAGATCATGTTAGTTTTGTAAAATGTGTAGTCGCCAGTCATTATGATTTGTGTTTTTTACAGGTAGCCTTGTGGACGTTGGGCCAACTTGTGGAAAGCACGGGATCTGTGGTGGAGCCCTACAGCAAGTACCCCAACTTGTTGGATGTGCTGCTCAACTTTCTCAAGACAGAACAGTCCATTACAATCAGGAGGGAGGTCAGAACAGCAAAGCCATTTCAGTGCATGATAACATTGGGGTGGCATTCTGATAACAGAATGTTGTCAGTTATTTAAAGTAGATTCTGTCACACTTTTGAATCAGGACAATGTTGAGCTGATGCTGCTGTTTAATACGGACATCTGTTTAATTGGGATATCTGTTTAATTAGGGCATCTGTTTAATTGGGATATCTGTTTAATCGGGACATCTGTTTAATTAGGGCATCTGTTTAGTTAGGAAATCTGTTTAATAAGGGTAATTGTTTAATTAGGACATCTGTTTAATTAAGGCAGCTGTTTAATTGGCACATCTGCTTAAATGGGGTAGCTGTTTAATTGGGGTATCTGTTTAATTAAGGCAGCTGTTTAATTGGCACATCTGCTTAAATGGGGTAGCTGTTTAATTGGGGTATCTGTTTAATTTGTGCATATATATTTTTAATTGGGGCAGCTGTTTATTTGGGCAGCTGTTTAATTGGGGCAGCTGTTCATTTGGGAGATCTGTATAAGTATAATTGGGGCAGCTGTTTATTTAAACATTTTAAAACCCATACAAGGTCATAGTTTGACATCTGCCAAGTTGCCATTGATTTCTGAGAGTGTTGACATCTTGAGGCTCTAGTGTAAACTGGTCAGCAGAATGCCAGACATAAATGTTCAATATTTTAAAGGTCATTTTCTTTGATTAAATTTGTTCTTAAATATCATCAACATAAATTCAAGAGGTAAAGAGTGCAATGGGACTTAAACGAAATTTAAAAAAAAAAAAATATGTTGAAATGGTCTCCCCTTCCACTGTTTTACTGCTTGTGTGTCCACCTGGTCAACTTTCAACCTAACCAACCAGGTGATTCGTGTGCTGGGCCTGCTCGGCGCCCTGGACCCTCACAAGCACAGGATGAACCTGGGGGTCATCAAGGACTCGGAGGCCGGGGTCAGCAAGTCTGAGCACAAGTTTGGTGGGCAGGACTCAACCACTGGAGGTCAGAACAAATTAATGGGATAGAAGGTAGCTTTAGGATTGTTGGTTGGATTATTATTGAACATGATTTATGCAATCAAGCAAGGGATGCCTCACATTGAATGGTAGAGCAGAAGGGGCTTTGATTCTTCTAGCAAAAAAAGTTTCCAGGAGAATGGTATAGCTTTATCAATGTTAACATTGGGCATCTGATATGTAGATGTTAACATTGGGCATCTGATCCATGGAGCTGTTAAACACTTGACCTCTGATTCCAATAGTATGTTAACATTTGACCTCCGACCCCCCCAGATGTTAACACCAGTGAACTCATGAGCACATGCAGCAGCCTGGAAGAGTACTACCCGGCCATCGCCATCAACCTCCTGATGAGGATCATCCGCGACCCCTCGCTGTCGCAGCACCACAACATGGTGGTGCAGGCCATCACCATCATCTTCAAATCCCTCAACATCAAGTGTGTGCCGTACATCCAGACGGTCATCCCGGCGTACCTGACCGTCTTCAGGACAGCAGATCCAAGTTTCAGAGAGGTGAGTGCCTGTAAATAATCTGTTCATTTATATTTTCAAGTTAAAAAGGAAAGTCAGCTTTGAGCGTGAGTGCTACCTTCAGTACAATTAAGCAAAATAAACTACAAAAATGAAAAAAAAGGTTAATGGTCTCAATGAAGAAAACTTTTTTATTAGAACATTTTGCAGGAAAAAAAAAAATTTGCTAGTATGATAATACTTTTGCTTGATAATTACTGCAGATTATATAAATATATACTCTATAAGAATTTGGGTTTTATAGTTAAATTAATTTTTTTTTTCAAAACAATTATTTCTTTAAGCTCTCTAGAGATATGTGTTTATTTTACACAAATGAAAAATCTTTTTATAAACAAATAACAAGAGTCTAATGTAGTGGCCATGGAAATAAATTTATGTTTTTTTTTGGTTTGTTTCAAATTCTATCCACTTTACCCAAACAATTTGTTCACATGTCTAAATCAACCATAGGCCAGCCAAGTCGATCCTTTACTGTACATATTGTTTCCCATTCCCCACAGTTTCTGTTCCAACAACTGGGTGTCATCATCGCCATTGTCAAACAGCACATCAAGAACTACCTGGAAGATATCTTCAACCTCATCAAGGTAACCCAACTCTGTACATCTTTAATTGACACCTGAAGGAGTACGCATCAATTTAGAATGGACAAACATTGCAGAAATATTTATTAGAAATTTCTCTTGAAAAAAAAAAATCTGATGACAGAGAAAATAACAGCAATTTCTGGCTTGTTGGTCTTATTTTTTTGTCTGGCATTCTGCTTCATGTGCAACAGATTGAAGCTGTTGTCACCCGGTCTCCTTGGCATTCTGCTTCTTGTGCAGCAGATTGAAGCTGTTGTCACCCGGTCTCCTTGGCATTCTGCTTCTTGTGCAGCAGATTGAAGCTGTTGTCACCCGGTCTCCTTGGCATTCTGCTTCTTGTGCAGCAGATTGAAGCTGTTGTCACCCGGTCTCCTTGGCATTCTGCTTCATGTGCAGCAGATTGAAGCTGTTGTCACCCGGTCTCCTTGGCATTCTGCTTCTTGTGCAGCAAATTGAAGCTGTTGTCACCCGGTCTCCTTGGCATTCTGCTTCTTGTGCAGTAGATTGAAGCTGTTGTCACCCGGTCTCCTTGGCATTCTGCTTCATGTGCAGCAGATCGAAGCTGTTGTCACCCGGTCTCCTTGGCATTCTGCTTCATGTGCAGCAGATTGAAGCTGTTGTCACCCGGTCTCCTTGGCATTCTGCTTCTTGTGCAGCAGATTGAAGCTGTTGTCACCCGGTCTCCTTGGCATTCTGCTTCATGTGCAGTAGATTGAAGCTGTTGTCACCCGGTCTCCTTGGCATTCTGCTTCATGTGCAGCAGATTGAAGCTGTTGTCACCCGGTCTCCTTGGCATTCTGCTTCTTGTGCAGCAGATCGAAGCTGTTGTCACCCGGTCTCCTTGGCATTCTGCTTCTTGTGCAGTAGATTGAAGCTGTTGTCACCCAGTCTCCTTGGCATTCTGCTTCATGTGCAGTAGATTGAAGCTGTTGTCACCCGGTCTCCTTGGCATTCTGCTTCATGTGCAGCAGATTGAAGCTGTTGTCACCCGGTCTCCTTGGCATTCTGCTTCTTGTGCAGCAGATCGAAGCTGTTGTCACCCGGTCTCCTTGGCATTCTGCTTCATGTGCAGCAGATCGAAGCTGTTGTCACCCGGTCTCCTTGGCATTCTGCTTCTTGTGCAGCAGATTGAAGCTGTTGTCACCCGGTCTCCTTGGCATTCTGCTTCATGTGCAGCAGATTGAAGCTGTTGTCACCCGGTCTCCTTGGCATTCTGCTTCTTGTGCAGTAGATTGAAGCTGTTGTCACCCGGTCTCCTTGGCATTCTGCTTCATGTGCAGCAGATTGAAGCTGTTGTCACCCGGTCTCCTTGGCATTCTGCTTCATGTGCAGCAGATTGAAGCTGTTGTCACCCGGTCTCCTTGGCATTCTGCTTCATGCGCAGCAGATCGAAGCTGTTGTCACCCGGTCTCCTTGGCATTCTGCTTCTTGTGCAGCATATTGAAGCTGTTGTCACCCGGTCTCCTTGGCATTCTGCTTCTTGTGCAGCAGATTGAAGCTGTTGTCACCCGGTCTCCTTCACTCAATTATGAATTATGAATTCAGCTGGTCTTTGGGATTTGAGTTTTAAAATGTAGAAGTGTAGAGTAGGTCATGGCACACACTATCCTCGACAGTGAGTTATCGCGGCACACTTTTATACGAGTTACTTATACCAGCCATATCACAAAGCCTGAGAAGTTTCACTTGACTTCCAGCTAATCTTGCGCCACACCACTTGGCAGCAGCACAACCTTAGAGAGCCACTGGCGTGGTGGGAGGTTCTTTCAAGATGTTAAATAAGAAATAAGTTCTTGAAAATTTATAGAAAACATTTCTAATAAAATGAACAGGGTCCCTCCACCTGCACGTGTATTAATTGTTTCGGATTGAAGTGTCAGTTATTTACTGTCATCTCATTTATCCAGGAGTACTGGACCAACTCGACCTCCATGCAGAGTGCCATCATCATGTTGATTGAGCAGATAGTCAATGCCCTGGGCACAGAGTTCCGCATCTATCTGCCCCAGATCATTCCACAGATCCTGCGGGTCTTCATGCAGGACAGCAGCGAGAACAAGATTGTCACTGCCAAGGTGAGTAACTCATAGTCACTGCCAGGATGGGTAACTCTTAGTCACTGTTACGATGGGTAACTCATACTCACTACCACAATGGGTAACTCTTAGTCACTGTTAAGATGGGTAACTCATAGTCACTGCCAAGATGGGCAACTCTTAGTCACTGTTAAGATGGGTAACTCATAGTCACTGTTAAGATGGGTGACTCATAGTCACTGCCAAGATGGGTAACTCAAAGTCACTGCCAAGATGGGTAACTCATAGTCACTGCCAAGATGGGTAACTCATAGTCACTGCCAAGATGGGTAACTCATAGTCACGGCCAAAATGGGTAACTCATAGTCACTGCCAAGATGGGTAACTCTTAGTCACTGTTAAGATGGGTAACTCTTAGTCACTGTTAAGATGGGTAACTCATAGTCACTGTTAAGGTGGGTAACTCATAGTCAATGACTTGTCTGTGTCACTCCTGCCCAAAAAGCTGTCCCCACAATTAGATTAAAGAGGAAGCAACGAAAACACCGGAACCCTTGAAGGGAGGTTTTTCAAAAGAATGTCAAAAATTTGACATTAACCTTAAGATGAGACTGTCAATGAGAGCATGAGATTGTGGATGTGTGGTAATCAATTGTCGCCCAATGCACTACTTAGTTCAGGAGCTACTATGGCCAAGAATAATTCTTATTGACTGTTAGCATTTGCCAAGTATAAAATCTAAAGGAGCTTTTTACTCTCCGATTACTTCATTTTAAAAATAATTACAGGCTAGGCAACTCTTGGAACAAAAAGTTATCTTCCCTTTAAAAAAATATCTGCTCTTCAAATAAATTGTCACGAACTGACCTACAGACTTAGTGTGGTTGACATCTGTTCTTGAGGTTTTGGTTTTCAATTATTTTTTAAAAATAGAAAACTTAACACCTCCCAGTGACCCTCAAGATTTCCATGTGATATTGGGGGGTACATTTACTGAGTTGTTCTATAAGATCTCATGTCTCTCTGTCACAGCTCCTGAAGGCCCTCGAGATGTTTGATGGTAACTTGGATGATTACCTCCACCTCCTCCTGCCCCCGGTGGTCAAGCTCTTTGACAATGCAGAGAACCCTATCCATGTCAGAAGGTAGGAAGTCAGGACAAGAAATAAAGTGGTGGGGGGGGAGGTGGGAGAAATATATCTTTGTTTAAAAGTCCCATTATCTGGCAAACATGAGTCTAATTTTTGTTGAGTAAAGGGGGGGGGGAAAGGGGGCCCATTAACAACCCCCCCCCCCCCCCCCCCCCCTTTGGATGTTGAAGCTATTCATGTCAACCCTACGGGGCCTAGAGTGTGCTAACTGGCATATTTGTTCCCAACCACAAACAAAATTTCTCAGAACCCTCATTGCTTGGTAATATATATGATGCTTACTCCTTCACCATTTCCAACTAAACCATTGTATAGTTCTAATGCTATTTATAGAAAGATCAATTGATTGTTGGCTTGGGGATCGTTTAATGAACTCGTACACAATAATATTGTTCTTTTCAATGCTTATTTGCAAAATAGTTATAAAAATTGGATAGCTCTTAAAATGAGTGGTTTTCTCCTTCTCAGGGCTCCTGTTATCTAAAAAATACTTTAACACTCCACAAAGAATTTCATTTTTAAATCATTCAAAAGCTTAACTTGAAAAAAAGAACCAACAACATCGTTGAGAGAGACTGGAAATAAGTTTTTGCTTTCATTTTATTTCTCTGACCTCTGACCCTTTGTAAATACACCACCCAAATAAATGGCGATGTCTCCAGGAGTGCATTGGAAACAATTGATCGTCTGACAGACTCACTGGACCTCTCTGACTACGCTTCACGTATCATTCACCCGCTGGTGCGCACCATGGACTCCACTCCGGCGCTGCACGCTGTGTGCATGGACACCCTGTGCACGCTGGTCATACAGCTCAACCACAAGTTCACCATTTTCATCCCCATGGTGGCCAAGGTCATGGGCAGACAGAAGATACAGCACCAGCGTTTTCATGTCCTCATGACAAGGATTCTCAAGGTGAGCTGTGGCGGGATCAGTATTTAACATTTTAAAATTATTTTCCTCAATTAATTTTTTTTCTGTTTGTTGGGCAAAATCACTTAGTGCATCTTACTTCAGCAAGGATATGTTAACATGTTTGTTAAGGACTTCAATGTATATTGTGATTGTGTTGTTTTATCTATTATGTGTGTTGTTTTATCTATTATTTTTAGTATTTTGTTACATATTGTGTGGAAGGAGATATGATGTATTATTATTGGAGAGTGTTGTCCTTGGAATACTGGTAGTTGAAGATGTAGCTTAGTTGTGCTAATAAATATACTTCATTCTATGGTGCATTGGTTTGTATAATTACTAAAACCCCTAGACAACGAAGCCATTGAACCTTTGGGTTCATTAGTGTGCTTACATGTCTTTATTCAAGGGCACCTGCTTCCCTCTCAAGTTAGATACCACCATCGGTCAGACGTGACAGCAATGGATCTTCAGCCATATGCAAGTGTAGAGTTTCGGGAATTGTTATATTATAGATATAGGAAATTTGAGTTAGTGGTTTCCAATTTATCTGTCCGCGTCTGGATCTTACATTGATAAAAAAATTGCTAGCAGGGAATAAGTAAAACAAAGTATGCGAAAACCTGAACAAAATGAACGCAACGNCCTCTGTAGGCACCTGTTACCCTCTCTGGGCACCTGTTTCCCTCTCTGGGCACCTGTTTCCATCTCTGGGCACCTGTTACCCTCTCTGGGCACCTGTTACCCTCTCTGGGCACCTGTTACCCTCTCTGGGCACCTGTTACCCTCTCTGGGCACCTGTGCAGATTTGTTTACTCTTACGATTTTGGCGTAGAATGTACGATTTTGAGATGTATACATTATATATACTGTGTGTTTATTTTTTACTATTAAGATAATGTATTGAACGATTTTGTGATGATATTGTATGATTTCAAGAGTTTGAGGGTAAACAGGTCTGCCTGTGCCACTCTCTAGGCACCTGTTCTTCTCTTTAGAGTTTAGTACCTTTCTCAAGGTCTCTGTTCCCTTCTCTAGGGGTCTGCTACCCCTCTTTAAGAGGTTAGTACCTTTCTCAAGGTCTCTGCTCTCTTCTCATGTTGCCTGTTTCCTTTTCTAAGTGCCTCAAGATGTATTTACTATTTACTGAATTAAAAACAAATTAATTGAACAATTTAAACAACAGATTATTCCCTCAGCAATGTGACCTTTCTTTAATTTAGTCACCAAGATTTTTCTTGACCTCACTTTTGCTAAAAACAAATTTTTTTTTTTGGAGAAAAGATCAATGAGGAAAAGTTGATATTTATTTCTTAAAGCCGCCATACATTAAAAAAAGGGAATGTCTAACCCAAAAATAACATATCTGACCAACCTCATTTTTCTTATTTTTCCATCTTTTTATCACCCGTGAACTCTCTTCTCTTTACATCATGTGAATGATCAGACCTATAATGCTCACCAGGGGACCACCATCGCCGACGAAGAGGACGACCCAATCCTGATGAAGAAAGAAAGACAGGACCAGCTGAAGAAGAAGGGCAAGGACAGGTCAGACAATGCCCCTGACACAACAGCCATCAAGAAACTGAGTGTCAACTTTGACACGATGAAGAGGGTAAGGGTCGACTCGGAGGGTGATGGTCGAATCAGAGGGTGGGGGTCAACTCAGAGGGTGAGGGCCAACTCAGAGGGTGAGGGCCAACTCAGATGGTGGGGGTCAACTCAGAGGGTGGGGGTCAACTCCGAGGGTGAAGGTCAACTCAGAGGGTGAAGGTCAACTCAGAGGGTGAAGGTCAACTCAGAGGGTGAGGAGGGTGAGGGTCAACTCTGTCAGAAAGTTTGGAGTGGTTTATTGTCTGCCAGTTCAACATCGGGTTATTCTTTCATTAAGAATGCCTCCATTAAGAACTGTTTTTTTCTCTGCCTACATTCAGAAGGCACCAACAAAGAAGGAAAAAAAGCAAGAGAGCTCTTGTGTGTTAAAATAAAAAATAAAAGATGTGTTAGGAAATTATTTGTGGTAGTAATGACTGTTGTTACCATGTACAGTCAGCGGATGTGTGGTACTACAGTCAAGTCAGGTTATGTGTGATGGTGCATACAGAAGGTGTAATATTATACATTCATAAAGAGAGTGCATGTTGGTACAGTTTGAAATTAGCATGGTACATGGTATAGAACTGCTCTCCATGTGATTGCCAACTTACTGTATGGAATTATTTTATATCGATGAAAATTGCTCTAGAGAATATAAGAGAAAATAAAATAAGGTCTGTCATCTGTGACTGTCCAGGCTCTGGAGACTGGACGTCGTGTATCAAAGGAAGACTGGATGGAATGGCTGAGAAAACTCAGTATTGAACTGCTGAAGGAGTCACCTTCCCCTGCCCTGAGATCCTGTCTGGCACTAGCTCAAACCTACAACCCATTGGCCAGGTAGGGCAAACATTAGTATTCAAAGAAAGACAAGTTGAATTTATTCAAAGCATAAACAACATGTCACTTAAAAATATTAATTGGAATAATTAGCAAATAAAAAGTTTGCAAAATGTTGACACAATTTTATTTCATTTATAGTTGAAGTAAAACATTTAGTAACAAATTTAACGCATTTTTTTTACGCCATGTATGTCAAATACTTCTTCTAATCTCACCCAGGGACCTTTTCAACTCTGCCTTCCTGGCATGTTGGACAGAGCTGACAGAGATCAACCAGGACGAGGTCATCGTCAGCCTGGAGAAGACACTGAACTCACAGGAGATACCGGAGATCATGCAGACACTGCTCAACCTGGCTGAGTTCATGGAGCACTGTGACAAGGTGAGTTGTCAAATGTTGTGACAAGGTGGGTTGTCAAATGTTGTGACAAGGTGGGTTGTCAAAAGTTGTGACAAGGTGGGTTGTCAAATGTTGTGATGAGGTGTGTTGTCAAATGTTGTGAGGTGTGTTGTTAAATGTTGTGGTGAGCAGGGTTGTCAAATGTTGTGACAAGGTGGGTTGTCAAATGTTGTGAGGTGTGTTGTCAAATGTTGTGACAAGGTGTGTTGTCAAATGTTGTGATGTGTGTTGTCAAATGTTGTGACAAGGTGTGTTGTCAAATGTTGTGATGAGCTGGGTTGTCAAATGTTGTGAGGTGTGTTGTCAAATGCTTTGATGAGGTGTGTTGTCAAATGTTGTGACAAGCTGGGTTGTCAAATGTTGTGACAAGGTGGGTTGTCAAAACTTGTGATGCGGTAGGTGGTCAAAAGTTTTGACGAGGTCTGATGTCAGATGTGACAAGGGGGGTTGTCAAAGTTATGAGGTGGGTTGTCAAAGGTTTTGATGAGGTACGATGTCAGATGTTGGGATGAGGTCAAATATGACATATTGCGGCAAGGTTGGCTGTCACCAATGTTAGCATACATTTTTTTGGTTGTAAAAATAAAAGACATTGTCAGAAGAAGGAAACAAAAGACCATAATCTCTCATTTTGCAAAATTTATTTAATGTTGTAATGAGGTGGGTTGTCAAATATAATGAAATTGGTTTTCAAATGTGATGAGGTGGGTTGTAAAATGGGATGTGGTGGGTTGTCAAATGTAATGAGGTGGGTGGTCAAATGTAATGAGGTGGGTTGTCAAATGGGATGATGTGGGTTGTCAAATGAAATGAGGTGGGTTGTCAAATGTAATGTATTTGGTTGTCAAATGTAATGTATTGGGTTGTCAAATGTAATGTATTGGGTTGTCAAATGTAACGAGGTGGGTTGCAGAATAGCATGACAAGCGGGATGGCCAAACATTGCGACCAGTTCAGCTGCTGAGCTTATGGAGAAGCTTAAAAACTTTACTATCACCATTGTGTATTTATAGCGGAGCTGACAGACATTTCCAGGATCTGTATAACTGTGTAAGTAATGTCTTGTAAGACATGGTAAGATGAATTTTTGGAAGCATTAGTGATGGCCAGGTCAGAGTTAAATCGCCAATAGACATCTCAGTTTAGTGCAGGAAGTGCCCCAAGATCCTTGAAATGTTGTCTTGCATCACACTCCTCATTTAGGTGATACATATCTGCCACTGGTTTTTTTCTATATTTATTCTATTGACTTTGCGGCAGGGTCCTCTCCCCCTTGATGGCCATCTGCTCGGAGAGCGCGCCATGAAATGTAGAGCTTATGCCAAGGCCCTGCACTACAAGGAGGATGAGTTTCACAAAGGACCCAGCACGCAAATTCTTGAGAACCTCATCAGGTAAGCTTCTTTATAGATCAAGGTTATTCAAAGTTTGGTTTTGAAAAGGGCAGAAAATTAAATATTTTAGGCATTGTGGGCCAAGAAGCAAGCTATTTGAAGTTGGTGAGTGTGGGGGGGGGGGGGTTTCCAATTTTAAAAAATTGCACTCCCACCAAGGGGCTCTCCCACCCCCCCCACCCCCCCCCCCCCCCCCCAGGCATTGTGGGCCAAGAAGCAAGCTATTTGAAGTTGGTGAGTGTGGGGGGGGGGGGTTACAATTTTGAAAAATTGGCATCCATGTCATGGGCTTCTCTACCCCCCCCCACCCCTCCCTCCACCCCCAATACCAAACTTAAAGATGGGAGTTCAACCCCCAAGCATGACAGAGACAAGCAAAATAAGCCTGGGTGCATGGGACTTGTCAACCTTTCTCCCCCCCAACCTTGGGATTTTATCACACTAACAAAAAAAAACCCCACCAAAAGAACCCCACCAAATATGAGTATTTGTAGTTTTCCCCTCTCCCCCCCCCATATTAATTTTATTACAAGGAGACATGTGAAAGACGGCAGGGGGGGATTTTATTACCCCCTCCCCCCCAACTCAGATTGGAAAGCAGCTGCTTCCTTTGCCCCTCTGTGTAGATGCCCCTCTGCGTAGACGCCCCTCTGCGTAGACGCCCCTCTTTGTAGACGCCGATGGCCCATATTGAGGGAGGAGTGGGGGAAATATCTATGTGACTATAATACATTATCATTGCCAAAATATCTTTGTGACTATAATACATTATCATTGCCAAAATATCTATGTGACTATAATACATTATCATTGCCAAAATATCTATGTGACTATAATACATTATCATTGCCAAAATATCTATGTGACTATAATACATTATCATTGCCAAAATATCTATGTGAATATAATACATTATCATTGCCAAAATATCTATGTGACTATAAAACATTATCATTGCCAAAATATCTATGTGACTATAATACATTATCATTGCTAAAATATCTATGTGACTATAATACATTATCATTGCTAAAATATCTATGTGACTATAATACATTATCATTGCCAAAATATCTATGTGACTATAATACATTATCATTGCCAAAATATCTATGTGACTATAATACATTATCATTGCCAAAATATCTATGTGACTATAATACATTATCATTGCTAAAATATCTTTGTGACTATAATACATTATCAGTTCCAAAATATCTATGTGACTATAATACATTATCAGTTCCAAAATATCTATGTGACTATAATACATTATCAGTGCCAAAATATCTATGTGAATATAATACATTATCAGTGCCAAAATATCTATGTGAATATAATACATTATCAGTGCCAAAATATCTATGTGAATATAATACATTATCAGTGCCAAAATATCTTTGTGAATATAATACATTATCAGTGCCAAAATATCTTTGTGAATATAATACATTATCAGTGCCAAAATATCTTTGTGAATATAATACATTATCAGTTCCAAAATATCTTTGTGAATATAATACATTATCAGTTCCAAAATATCTATGTGACTATAATACATTATCAGTTCCAAAAAATCTTTGTGAATATAATACATTATCAGTGCCAAAATATCTTTGTGAATATAATACATTATCAGTTCCAAAATATCTATGTGACTATAATACATTATCAGTTCCAAAATATCTTTGTGAATATAATACATTATCAGTTCCAAAATATCTTTGTGAATATAATACATTATCAGTGCCAAAATATCTTTGTGAATATAATACATTATCAGTGCCAAAATATCTATGTGAATATAATACATTATCATTGCCAAAATATCTATGTGACTATAATACATTATCATTGCCAAAATATCTTTGTGACTATAATACATTATCATTGCCAAAATATCTATGTGACTATAATACATTATCAGTTCCAAAATATCTATGTGAATATAATACATTATCAGTGCCAAAATATCTTTGTGAATATAATACATTATCAGTGCCAAAATATCTATGTGAATATAATACATTATCAGTGCCAAAATATCTATTTGACTATAATACATTATCAGTTCCAAAATATCTATGTGACTATAATACATTATCAGTTCCAAAATATCTATGTGAATATAATACATTATCAGTGCCAAAATATCTATGTGAATATAATACATTATCAGTGCCAAAATATCTATGTGAATATAATACATTATCAGTGCCAAAATATCTATGTGAATATAATATATTATCAGTTCCAAAATATCTATGTGAATATAATACATTATCAGTTCCAAAATATCTATGTGAATATAATATATTATCAGTTCCAAAATATCTATGTGAATATAATATATTATCAGTTCCAAAATATCTTTGTGAATATAATACATTATCAGTTCCAAAATATCTATGTGAATATAATACATTATCAGTGCCAAAATATCTATGTGAATATAATACATTATCAGTGCCAAAATATCTATGTGAATATAATACATTATCAGTTCCAAAATATCTATGTGAATATAATACATTATCATTGCCAAAATATCTATGTGAATATAATACATTATCATTGCCAAAATATCTATGTGAATATAATACATTATCATTGCCAAAATATCTATGTGAATATAATATAGTATCAGTGCCAAAATATCTATGTGAATATAATACATTATCATTGCCAAAATATCTATGTGAATATAATACATTATCATTGCCAAAATATCTATGTGAATATAATGTAGTATCAGTTCCAAAATATGTATGTGAATATAATATAGTATCAGTGCCAAAATATCTATGTGAATATAATATAGTATCAGTTCCAAAATATCTATGTGAATATAATATAGTATCAGTCCCATCTCTAAAGTTTTCAACCAAGTGGAATCCCACTGATTTTTATTTCCCCAGCATCAACAACAAACTGCAGCAAAGAGAGGCAGCTAAAGGAGTCCTGCTGTATGCCATGAAACATAATCATGCCAATCTGGTGAGTTGGTGCATCTTCTTGTTTCTTGGTACTTACACTGACTAAAACAACTTGCCCTAAAACATGGAAGGCACAGTGCAAATTTTATACAAGTACTAGCACGTGTCAAAACAGCTACAAAAGAACCTTTTCTCATTCTTTTCACAAGAGAGATGAGAGATCAAGCATTTTTCTCCAAGTTTCATTAGTGAACATGTATTAAGAATTATTTTATCCTACTGCAGGGCTGTTAGAGTGTCCCTAGAAACATTGAGACCCTAAGATGTACCATGGGTGTCCATCCCTACTTAGAAATATCATGCCTTAATGAAGAGCTAAATTAATTAAGTGAGGTCTTCATTTTGGGAATGCCATTTTTAAAATTTAGAATTAGCCTGCAGAACGTCCCATCTACTGAAGTTACTTGACGAAACATGCATACAAGTAACATCATTTATAAGAATCCCAATGAGTGCTCAATTATTGGCATTTTATTTTGTGTGACTTTATGAACACAGCATTACAGCCACACATAAATAGCTAGAGAATTATTATGGGTGATTCTAAAGATATTTTATAAAAATCACTGTGCAACTTGATAAGTGTAGTGTGTGAAATATTGGCCCAGTTTCCTAAGCAGTGTGCAAATAATTTGTTGGGATGCTGGAAATAAGCAGGATGGAAAGATAAAATACAAGGCACATCAAAGCCAGAAATGAGACACAAGGAAACATCAATGACACGTCATTGTGTCACATCGGTGACAGGTCATTGTGTCACATCAGTGACAGGTCATTGTGTCACATCAGTGACAGGTCATTGTTTCACATCAGTGACAGGTCATTGTGTCACATCAGTGACTGATCATTGTGTCACATCAGTGACAGGTCATTGTGTCACATCAGTGACAGGTCATTGTTTCACATCAGTTACAGGTCATTGTTTCACATCAGTGACAGATCATTGTTTCACATTAGTGAGAGGTCATTGCTTCACGTCAGTGACAGGTCGTTGTTTTGTTGTGGTTTCTCCTTTCAAGCTTTGATGTTACGTTTTTTCTGTCCCAATTCTTTTTGCTGCCCTCTCAGATACTACTTCTCAGCTAAGTGCTATTTTAAACATTTTATTCTCTTTTTTTTTCTGTTGTTTGTTCACTGACAAAGGCTTCCTGCCGACACGTTCGTTGTTTTGTTGCGTTCCCTTTTTAAGGTTTGACCTTACTTTGCTTTACTCATTTCCCATTTGACGTTACCAGTGCGTTATTTTATTTCCTTGACAGTGCACTGAGTTTGACAGTCATCAGACTGTTTTGTTTCACGTTCACAATCTTAAAATGATTTTATACTTTTTTTTTATCGCTTGCCCTCACTAACTGAAGTTAACTCTTCCATACAGAAAGTCCAAGAAAGTTGGTATGAAAAACTCCACGAGTGGGAGAAAGCCTATCAGGCGTACAACAGGAAGCAGGAGCAGAACAAAGATGACGATAACCTAACCCTGGCAAAGATGAGGTGTCTGGAGGCCATCGGAGACTGGTAAAGGAGGAAAATTATGGGTTGGAGATTATGGTACACATTAAACCAGTGGTTCTCAAGTCATTAAGTTCTGATGAGCTTCTCATTCAGGAGACATAGATATATCTCTTACTTAACTATGAGTAATTTTGAAGAATAAGCAACTGGCAAATAGCTATATTTTTGTTCAGCCTAATAAATTTATATATATATTATATTGCCATAAAAAAAGGGGCCACTATCTTATTCTATGTTTGGAACTCCCCTGCTAAGTTACAACAGTGCAATACATTTGTAACAAGTTCACATCATAGCTGGGTAGAAGTCTTACAGATAGCCTTTGAGATTCATTGTTCAGAATCCCTTTATTAGACTTAGAGACCTGTAATGACAGTCGCTTGATTAGACTTAAGGACATGTAATGACAGTCCCTTGATTAGACTTAATGACCTGTAATGACAGTCCCTTGATTAGACTTAATGACCTGTAATGACAGTCCCTTGATTAGACTTAATGACCTGTTATGGCATTCCCTTGATTAGACTGAATGACATGTAATGACAGTCCCTTGATTAGACTGAATGACCTGTAATGACAGTCCCTTGATTAGACTGAATGACATGTTATTATCAGTTTAAGGAGAAAAAATAATGAAATTCTGAGGTTTCAATTGAAACGTCTACAATGTAGGAGTAACATCAATGAAGCCAACATTGTATGACTTAGTACGTGAAGAAAACACATTAATTGTCTAGGTGATGAAGGTGAATTTTTTATATGTAATTTTTTACTGGCTTTCTTGGTTTTGTAGATTAAGAAAAGGTAAAACAATAGACCTGCCAACCCAGATTTTTTCGGAATTATGCAGACTTTTTACCCCTCACTGCGACCTTCCGACGAACCCCTTAAAATTTCAATTTTCCAAACATTTAAATTTTTCACCCGTCATAAAAACCCGAAAGCATCAAAAATAAAAATAGAATAAAATTTAAAAATCGGGTATGCAGGAAGTGGTTCATTTCGATGATGCCACTTCTTTTGTTTTCATGGAAGCGAACCTTCTTCATTCTTCAATTGAAACGATCGTGATTCATCTTTTTACTAGGCTAAAAAATTAAATGGATACATTTGTAAAGAGATCTGCTGAAGAAGCTTTTCCAATGACTGAGGTTGAGAGTGATAGTGCTCCAAACAAAAAAAAAGTCTTTATTCAACGTTTTGAAAGGAGTATTCGAAAAAACACTCATTTCGACCATCACCCCATGGCGAAAAATTTGCATTCTGCAATCTGTGGAAAGTGGTGGGTACAATGATATTAATAAACATATTGTAACAAAAAAAACAACATGCAACTGCAGCTAAAAGCAGTGAATCTACAACGTCCATGTCTAATTTCTTTGCTAAGGAATCGGATGATTCAGTTATCAGATCAGAAGTTTTATTTACCATCTTTCTTATAGAAGGGAATATTTCTCTAGCCAACTCCGATCATTTTAATGCTACAGTCAAAGAAGTGTTTCCAGACTTGCAGACTTTATTTACTTAAAAAGGCTTGTGCATTATAATGTAGATCTTAAACCAATGCAAACACCCACCCCCCCCCCNGCCTGGGGACTTGGTACGTATTATCTCATAGACTATACTACTTGTGGTGGTTACCTCCATTATCTTCTTTCATTTGAGCAATGAAATCTCCATTACTTCTTACCATTGAGCAGTTAACTATGTGGGTGTTACCTCCATTACTTCTTACCACTTAGCAGGGAACTATTTGGGTGTTACCTCCATTACTTCTTACCACTGAGCAGGGAACTATTTGGGTGTTACCTCCATTACTTCTTACCATTGAGCAGTTAACTATGTGGGTGTTACCTCCATTACTTCTTACCACTTAGCAGGGAACTATTTGGGTGTTACCTCCATTACTTCTTACCACTGAGCAGGGAACTATTTGGGTGTTACCTCCATTACTTCTTACCATTGAGCAGTTAACTATGTGGGTGTTACCTCCATTACTTCTTACCACTTAGCAGGGAACTATTTGGGTGTTACCTCCATTACTTCTTACCACTGAGCAGGGAACTATTTGGGTGTTACCTCCATTACTTCTTACCATTGAGCAGTTAACTATGTGGGTGTTACCTCCATTACTTCTTACCACTTAGCAGGGAACTATTTGGGTGTTACCTCCATTACTTCTTACCACTGAGCAGGGAACTATTTGGGTGTTACCTCCATTACTTCTTACCATAGAGCAGTTAACTATGTGGGTGTTACCTCCATTACTTCTTCCCACTTAGCAGGGAACTATTTGGGTGTTACCTCCATTAAATATAACGCCCCCTAAAATAAGCTAAAAAAAATGTTGGTTTGGTTCCCCAGGCCAGTGGGACAGTGTAGAGCAGTACATGTGTTTTATACCACGGACCAGTCACGATGCAGCCTTCTTCAGAGCTGTTCATTCTCTGCACCTTGAGAACTATCAGCTGGCACAGCAGGTGAGTGGGTCAAAATACCTGGCACAGCAGGTGAGTGGGTCATATAACCTGGTACAGCAGGTGAGTGGGTCAAATTACCTGGTACAGCAGGTGAGTGGGTCAAATTACCTGGTACAGCAGGTGAGTGGGTCAAATTACCTGGTACAGCAGGTGAGTGGGTCAAATTACCTGGTACAAAATGTGAGTGGTTAAAATTACCTGGTACAGCAGGTGAGTGGGTTAAATTACCTGGTACAGCAGGTGAGTGTCAATTTAACTTGTACAAAAGGTGACTTGGTCAAATTACCTGGTACAACAGGTGAGTAGGTCAAATTACCTGGTATGATAGGTGAGTCGATCAAATGGTAAAAATATACTACAGATATATTAAATTAAAAAAACCTTTGTTAAAATTTTTTTTATCTTGTATTATGTCTAGTGCATTGACAAAGCTAGAGACATTCTGGACACAGAGCTGACCGCCATGGCTGGTGAGAGTTATAACAGAGCTTACGGTGTAAGTATATGTGCACATCAGTAAGTGGGGCCATAATTACCTGGGACTAAGAATTTGCCGCATGTTTATCTGAGACCAAGAAATACAGGCAATGACAGACCTGTTTACTCTTATGATTTTGGCGTAAAATGTACAATTTTGAGATGTATTTTTCATTTGTACGCAAAGACCCGAGAGAATTCTGATTTTAAGAAACTGGGGTGAAAATATATACATTCCGGTAATTTTTTTTCAATTAAAAAAAAAACCAACCACTGAAAAGTACATTTTCAGTTTTTAGTTTAACCTTGTATTTGTATTCTAGGTCCAGCAGTGAATGGGTCGAGAAATATGAATGATTGTGGACCATCTATAATAATTATATTATGTTTGCCTTTAGAGGGGAATGGAGTCGTGTTGATTTTAGGAGATTTTGTGCACGTGTGTGTGGGGGAGTGTTTAAATCTTAAAGTCAATAAAATTAACACTGCCACATTTTTTTAATGCTAGTGGGGATTGTCATCTTGTTGCTTTGTATTTTCGTAATGAACTCGCTAGACACGGCAACAGTAATATTAGCGTAGTTGCCCTCGTGACAATTTTAGTCAATCCGCACCAATCTCACAGTGAGGGGGGGGAAGGGGGTGGGGGTTGTCGATAATTTAGATTTTACGTTTGGGTACATCACTAGACTCCCTGTGGTGAATTCTAAAAGGTACACTTTGAAATAGGGAATACATAAACAAAATAAAATAAGAGCTTGGGTACAAATTAATATAACACATATAAATCACTAAGCTCTATATAGTAACTGCAAACAGTAGTTATCACTTAAGTGGGTTACGTGGGGGGGGGGTGTGTGTTAGAAAATTTGACTTTTTTGCGTACATACTATTCAGATGGCCCCTTCTCGCATTTGTTTGCTTTGATGCTGTATGATGTAATTTGGTGACATAATTATTTCTTTCAGCTGACACCAGGTGAGTCCAGAAACCCAGAAAACTAGAGAATGCATTTGTCTTAGAAATCTATTTTTAGAATGCACAAAACAGCTGTACGATTTTTAATACCCCCTCTTCCTTTCACCCATTTACAGCTTGTGGTAGTTATCAGACTGTAATATGTTACTGGGAAATAGGCATCATGGATATGGATTCTTCTTTTTTTTTTTAAACAGCTTTTCCTAAAAAATAAATCTCAAATTGCTTGGTAGGATTTTCAAAACGATGCCCTTGTTTGGAAATTAATTCTTATTTCAGTAAGTTTGTTTTATGCTGACCTGACTTCCAGTTTGAACCACGTTAAATTTCACCAGTAGCTTTATTTTAAACCATGGACAGACTGTGATAATGTGATCTGGACGTTCACCTAAATATTGATATCTATAGCAGATACAAAAAAAAAAGGGACAGCAGATAGCAACATAAACATGGGTCATCATTTTTTAGAAGTAACCTTTTTGGAGGTCAGCTTAACTCGATCCCCACTCGAGATGCGATGCTAATAGTTATACAATATATAGACTATATTTATTTATTTACTATAAAATACTGTATGGTCCCATTTTAGGAGATCGAAGATAAACAGGTCTGCAATGATTACCTGGGACTAAGAAATGGGAATATTATTACCTGGGACTAAGAAATGGGGCAATGATTTCCTGGGACTAAGAATTGGGGCAATGATTACCTGGGGCTAAGAATTTGGGCAATGATTACCTGGGACTAAGAAATGGGGCAATACCTTGGACTAAGAATTGGTGCCATGTTTACCTGGGACTAAGAATTGGAGCAATGATTACCTGGGACTAAGCAGGGACTAGCACTCTTTATAAGTACATGTCATGTCCTTTTGTGCATATGTGTCACAAACTCATATACCAGTAATTCTCTCTGTCATGCTTCAGGCTATGGTCAATGTCCAGATGCTGTCCGAGCTGGAGGAGGTCATCCAGTACAAGCTGGTGCCAGAGAGAAGGGAGGCAATCAAACAGATGTGGTGGAACAGGCTGAAGGTAAATTTATATCATGGTGTTTTCCCTTCATTTTTTGGGCTGTTCCAGATTTATTGCTCTGAAACTTATCTAGTAGCTAGTAGTATGTCAGATTTTTACCTATAATTTTATTGTTCTCTTAAAGATGGCACATTTTTACCTGTAATTTTATTGTTCTCATAGGGATGTCAAAGAGTTGTGGAAGACTGGCAGAAGATCCTCCAGGTTCGCTCCCTGGTCATTTCTCCTGAGGAGGACATGGATGCTTGGCTTAAATTTGCCAGTCTCTGTCGGAAAAATGAACGACTGGTAGGTGTGAGGAGAAAGTTAGGATAACCGACATGTCAGCGGCCTGATGGATGGGAGGACTTGTCCAGCTGGACTATGTGAAATGTTGCAACAAAATCTGTTAGCACAGCTGTCACGGCTTAAACAATACTTCTTTTTGCTGGGTGTAATGTTTACTTCAGTGGCCGTATCCATAGCTTTGTAATGTACACATACAGAAATTTCTATTAATTTCAGAGGATTTCATTTTGGAAGTGTACACAAATTATAAGTTATATTAAATAATGTGAAACATTCCAAGAAATAACTAAGAATTCAGGAAAAGGGAATGCTGGACATAAAGCAAAATGCTGGACATAAAGCAAAATGCTGGACATAAAGCTAAATGCTGGACATAAAGCTAAATGCTGGACATAAAGCTAAATGCTGGACTTAATGCACCGTTAGTGTGGTCTACTATTTCATGCTGATTAATTTGTTGAGAAATGTTGACTGAAACAAATCCTATATTGGGTATTCAATGCTTCTTTTCAGGCTCTGTCTCACAAAACTCTGGTCACCTTGTTGGGAACTGACCCGTCCAAGAAACCCGACCGCTTCATTCCCACGACCCACCCGAAGGTCACATTCGCCTACATGAAACATATGTGGAAGGACAACCACAAGGTGATAAATATTGTTCTCAGTTGATATAATAGATATTGGTCTCAGTTGATCAGTTGATATAATAGATATTGGTCTCAGTCTCAGTTGATATAATAGATATTGGTCTCAGTTGATATGATAGATATTGGTCTCAGTTTATATACCAATCACAATGGTCTCATTTGATGCACCCATCACCCTATATGTCTCATTAAACAACATTTTTTTGTGTCATCTCGTGTGATTGACCTCATCCTGCCCGCCCCCCCCCCCCCCCCCCTTGTTGTTGGTGTTTGCTGTAGGGTGTCATCCACAACATGGCATAGGAAGGGGGGGGGCAGAGGGCGTGGCAGAGGGCGCAGCAGAGGGCACAGCTCTTAGTTTCTTCATATTAAGGAGCAGCATTTTTAGGGCTATTACCCTAAGCCACTGCATCCACCATTCAAGGCCATTCTTATGTCCTTAAGTCCCCTCCAGCAATCTTTCATCCACAAGTTCATACAACATACCTATCATACATATCTGTCGTCATCCTCCAGTTGTCAATCACGACCATTGCATCACACCACCTACTGCCATTCACAAGCATTGCATCACTTCTCTAGCTGTTTGTTGATCCATCACAAGCTAACACCATGTGACCATCATTTCTTATTCCCCACAAAGCTTTGCTATTTGTCATTGAATCTTAAATCAGCCCGCCATCTCTTAATTCCTGCCACTTACCTTCCCAACAGAAAGAAGCTTACAGCAAACTGCAGCTGTTTGTGAAACAAGCCCTCCAGACCAAATCTCTGCAGATCATGGGACCGGACGAGGCCGGTCAGAGGGCCAAGCTCAGCCAGCTCACCGCCAGGTAGGGGTCATTTTTGATACTGGGGTGATTCATCTCGGACAGTTTTTTTTATGAATGAACTTGGGATTGGACAAAAAAAATATTCCCTTTTGAATTGATAAATGTTGTCAAGATTGGGACAAATGAATCAAATATTTAGATAAGATTAGACAAGATAAGATAAAATAAGATGCTTTTATTGATCCAAATAAATGGAAATTTGTTTTGATTCCATAGCACATATTGTTTTCAGTTTTGAAAGTCTTTGTCTTAGTTTTTGTTGTTCCCTTAAATTAATCTTTAGAAATTTAGCAATGTGTTCGGCGACTCATTGTGTGGTCAGAACAGCTGTTGGGTTCTTGGGTGTACATTGGCATTGTGAAGAGAGTCTGTTGGGTTCTTGAGTGTACATTGGCATTGTAAATAGAGTCTGTTGGGTTCTTGAGTGTACATTGGCATTGTGAAGAGAGTCTGTTGGGTTCTTGAGTGTACATTGGCATTGTGAACAGTCTGTTGGGTTCTTGAGTGTACATTGGCATTGTGAACAGGGTCTGGGACTTTTGTCTTTGGCTGGTTGTTTTGATCCTGCCATTTGTTTACTAGTTGGCAAATCCTATGTTTCCAAGATGGCAGATGTGAACGTGTGTTAGCTTATGCCTGCAATGTTTAAATTGACAGATGTTATTAAGACAGTGGTTCTTTAATCAAATGTTCCTGTATCTGTCGATAGGTGTTATCTAAGATTAGGACAATGGTCTGAGGAGCTCCACGGCATATCTGAGGAGTCCATACCACAGATCTTAGAGAACTACAGTCTGGCCAAAGAACATGATGACACCTGGTACAAGGTGAGAATCATCGATGAGTTGGTTTCACAACATACAGTACATATGTCACATACAATTATAAACACTGCTGACAGTATCCAATTATATACCATTATAAAATATGCTGGCTTTATACAATTATATACCATTATAAAATTTGCTGATGTACAATTGTATATCTTATAAAAGATGCTGATAGTATACAATTATATACCATTATAAAATATGTTGGCTTTATCCAATTATATACCATTATAAAATATGCTGGCATTATACAATTATATACCATTATAAAATTTGCTGATGTACAATTGTATATCTTATAAAAGATGCTGATAGTATACAATTATATACCATTATAAAATATGTTGGCTTTATCCAATTATGTACCATTATAAAAGATGCTGGAATTATACAATTAGATACAATTATAAAAGATGCTGGGTGAAGGGAAAGAACACAATAAAATGGGTAAAATAAAGAAGAGAAGAGATGAGAGCATAATGTTAAAATAAAGAAGAGAAGAGATGAGAGCATAATGTTAATACCATAATTAACTCTAAGTGTCACAGTCCATAGTCTGTCGATGTTTTATCTGCTAATTGAACCTTGACCTCACTTGGAGATATATATACCAGGCCTGTTACCCTCAAACTCTTAAAATCGTACAATATAAACACAAAATCGTTCAATACATTATCTTAATAGTAAAAAGAATAAACATACAGTATATAAAATGTAGACACCTCAAAATCATACATTGTACGTCAAAATCATAAGATTAAACAGGTCTGCATATACTCACCTTGCTGTTTCCTAGGCCTGGCATTCCCTTGCCCTCATGAACTACGAGGCTGTGCTGTTCTATAAACAGAAGGAGCAGGCGGCCACGGCAGCATCATCTACAGCAACACCGGAAACTTTTGGCGAGGTTCTCAAACTCGACATGGCTGGCTCCCCGAGGCCGGAGTCTGTGAGTTAGTTTAACTTCTGTGTCACTATATCTTTGTGTGTTTTGAAGGGCATGGCTTGCTCTCCCAGGTCTCAATCTGCCAGTTTAACTTCTGTGTCACTATTATCGGTGTGTGTTTTGAAGGACATGTCTGGCATTCCCAGACCTGAGTCTGTAAGCTAGTTTAACTTCTGTGTCATGAAACTATGAATCAATGTTAAGTAATTTTATTAATTTTTTAAACAATTCTATGAATATTACTTTGCAATGACTGCTCCTCACTGACAGCTATAGTTCTTGTCTAGCTATCATTTCCGTACCCTCATAGCATCAGTGGCAATTCTTAATAACCCCCCCCCCCCCCCCCCACAAAAAAACCAAACAACACAACCCCCCCCCCCAAAAAAAAACCCCCCCAAAAAACAACAACCCAAAAAAGCAATAAAACAATTTAAAAACATTAAAAGGTTTTTAGATCAAAGTGAGACTTTTTAATGATGTGAAATTGTGTTCCACTCTATTCAGTCTGTTGGTACTTTAGAAATAGTAAAATCAAGAGCCAAATTTGGTGAATATATAATATGTTGAATCATCCATTATATATCTGCAACGATGCTGAGAAGATATTTTAGCAAGAAGTGAGAAGCAGTCAAGCGGACATGACAAAAAACCCAAATGGTGTGATATTTACTTCCTTGTTTTAAAAGTTTATCCTTTTTGCCAAACTCTACCAGATTTCTGCCAAAATTCAAAAGTACTGCATCCCGGCTGTGCATGGCTTCTTCAAGTCCATAGCTTTGTCCTCACAGAACAGTCTGCAGGACACACTCAGGTAATCCCATGGTTAAAATATTTTAACAGCCCACAGGACACGCTCAGGTAATCCGATGGTTAAAATATTAAAAACAACTAACAAATGAGTGCTTTTGGCCATTGAGAGTTTATGACTTAGCTAAAGCCACACATTTCATGCCAAAGTATTGTACGGGCTGTTTCTAAAGTCTGGGCACATGATTAGACTGTGGTCAGATTGATGGAATTGTGGATGGATGAGCGACATAGACAGGTTGTGACTTCTCCTTTCAATCAGTGCTTATTTTCCTTAAAAGCAGTGCCCTGTGGTTGTCAGTCATCAGAACTTTTTTCCTGTTCACACTCATGAAGTGATCAGAATCTCCTTTACAGAGTTGATGATAATCTTGAATGGAACGTGGTGTCACAGGAGGTGGTAATCAAATGGAAGGTGTTATGAAATACATAAATTAATGCCGTAAAAGGTCAAAAACTTATTGAAAATATGTAGTCTGCCTGCATTTCTTTTCTTATTTTGTTCAAAATGCTTTAATTGGAGAGAATTCATCTATGTCAAAAACACTTATTATGTTACATGACTATCTGTTCAACTTATACAAAATTTGCGTAGAAAAATCCCCCCACCGCCCCCCGTATTTCCTGAAGTTTTATATCTCTCATGTATGCTACTGCTGTCCCAGGCTCCTTTGCTTTGATATGGCCAACGTTCATCTCTTATGTCTGTGCCAGGCTCCTGACCCTCTGGTTTGATTACGGCCAATGGCCCGAGGTGTATGACATGATGGGAGAGGGCATTAAAAGCATTCAGATCGACAACTGGCTCCAGGTGATACCCCAACTGATTGCCCGCATCGATACCCCTAGGTCACTGGTACAGCGGCTAGTACACCAGCTGCTAATCGAGATCGGCAAAGCTCACCCTCAGGTTAGTCTCTAAATGACATGCCAGGTAAATACATTGCTCCTTGCGTGTCACAATAGCTCAGACATTGAGATATCCTTGAAATACATAAGGTAGATTCAGTAGACTTTCTTAACCACATATTTTAACTAAAAGAAATCAAATTTTGTTCTTTGTTTGCTCAGAGAGAGTGAATTCTATTCTAGATGAAAAGAAAAAGTTTGTTCTTTCATAAAATTTCAAGTAAACTGAAAACTAAAATAAATAACATTGATAAAGGCTAATATCCTATAATTAGCAGCCATAATTCATTATAGTTCTATGTACATGAGGTGCCATGCTCATGAAATCTGTGCCAACTTCCTTGTCCAGGCCCTGATCTACCCCCTGACTGTTGCCTCCAAGTCCAACGCTGCCCTCCGCCAGGCTGCTGCCAACAAGATTCTCAAGAGTATGTGTGAGAGGAGCCAGAACCTTGTGGCCCAGGCCATGCTGGTAATGTCTTTGCTGGTTTTTACACTTTTTAATGATTTAAATATGAAAGAATACAACAACTTCCAGTAGATATCATTCACTTCAAAAAGGGAATTAGAATTAAAGGAAAATATATGCATTCTATTAAATGTATCCAATCTGAAAAGTTTTAATGATTTTCTATCTCAGGTTTCAGAAGAGCTCATCAGGGTGGCCATCTTGTGGCACGAGCTGTGGCATGAGGGACTGGAGGAGGCCTCAAGACTTTACTTCGGTGATCGAAATGTCCGAGGCATGTTTGCCACTTTGGAGCCCCTTCACGCCATGACTGAACGTGGGCCCCAGACCCTGAAAGAAACTTCATTTACACAGGTGACATGATGACCTCCAAACCTAGGCATTTGAAACTGTTCTTTATGAGATCATGGTTTGGATAAGCTCTTTGTTCAGATAACAATCCACCCCCACCCCCCCACCCCCCAGAATGTCGGCATTTGTGCATAGAATACAATATATTCTTTTAACCTATATCTTGTTTTATTTTACAGTCTATTATGTACAGTTGTCGTCAATGGTCATATTTATGAGATCATGGTTTGGATAAGCTCGTTGTTCAGATAACAATCCACACCCACCCCCCCACCCCCCAGAATGTCGGCATTTGTGCATAGAATACAATATATTCTTTTAACCTATATCTTGTTTTATTTTACAGTCTATTATGTACAGTTGTCGTCAATGGTCATGTGCATTGCATGCGATAAAAACGTCCCAAAAAACAGGGGGCATTTAAGAAAATCAAAGCTTTTAATGAAGAGATTTTATGGCCACCAAGTTTATGTCATGCGTCACACGTCTTATTTGTGTTCCAGGCTTACGGCCGTGACTTGATGGAGGCCCAAGACTGGTGCCGCAAGTACCAGAGGTCAGGAAATGTCAAGGACCTGACCCAAGCCTGGGACCTTTACTACCATGTATTCAGGAGGATATCCAAACAGCTGCCCCAGGTAAGATGGCAGGACAGCTAAGTAGTCACCAATACAATTTGACTTACCTGCACCAGTGCTGACACTTCAGCAAATACATTGGCTTGAGGCTTCTGAACTTATTATGGCACCATAAATATTAATGTGGTTACCAGAAACTTGTTTGAACAAAATTTCGTAGATGGAAAATTGATAGACAACAATTTGATCAAACGGAAAATTGGTTGAATCATTTTTTCAGTTCAAACATTAAAATTTTCATCAAATTTCTTTTTAAACGCACTATACTATATAGTAAAACAAAATAATGCGTTCAAAAAGAAATTTGACGCAAAAGATTAACGTGTGAACTGAAAAAAAGATTCTACCAAATTTCTGTTCGATTAAATTGCCGTCACTCTATTTTCCGTTGGCGAAATTTCTTTCAAATAAATTTCTGGATACATACTAATGAAAACACTATTAAAAACAGCCCCAAGCCCCCTTTCATACATTTAATATTTACAATGTGTAATTCTTGAATACGTACAATGGTTAAGAAACTTGTAAAGCTCGTTCATATATATATAAGGATTAAGCCCCTTGTAAAGCCTATAGAAAGGACTGGAAATGTGAGTTGAAAGCTGCTGGAAATAAACTCTGATAGGAAAAAATAAGTAGATTTTTTAATGGGTAGTACTTTATTGGCCGCCACTCTGTGAAGGCAATATTGGCCTGCCACACTATTGGGATAATATTGGCCTGCCACACTATTGGGATAATATTGGCCTGCCACACTATGGGGGTAATATTGGCCTGCCACTCTATGGGGATAATATTGGCCTGCCATTCTATGGGGATAACATTGGCCTGCCACACTATGGGGATAATATTGGCCTGCAACACTATTGGGATAATATTGGCCTGCCACACTATGGGGATAATATTGGCCTGCCACACTATGGGGATAATATTGGCCTGCCACACTATGGGGATAATATTGGCCTGCCACACTATGGGGGTAATATTGGCCTGCCACACTATGGTGGTAATATTGGCCTGCCACTCTATGAGGGTAATATTGGCCTGCCACACTATGGGGGAAATATTGACCTGCCTATGGTGGTAATATTGGCTGTTCCAGTGATTCTGAAACGGTCAGTGTGCAGAATGGCCCTTAATCTATTGTCAGGAAAAAAGGAACACTTTAAAGTAAAAAGAACTGTGATCAGTAAGCTAGTTGTCAGTTCCTGTGGAAATGTGGATAACTTGCTGCTGGTGCATCTCACTTAAACATTTGGGATACACTGGCATTGATTGGGCTATAGAACAAATGAACAATATTGTCTATCTAATCTTGGCTTGTGATGATAACATTTCATTTTGATGTTTATTCTTAATTCTACCTGTTCTAAGCTGACTTCATTGGAGCTCCAGTACGTATCGCCAAAACTTCTTCACTGTAGAGACCTTGAACTTGCTGTGCCCGGCTCTTACGAGCCCAACCAGCCCGTCATCCGCATCAAGAGGGTTCAGAGTTCATTGCAGGTCATCACCTCCAAACAGAGGCCGAGAAAGCTGAGCATATTTGGTAAGAATAAAGACATACTAACATCTCTGATTTAGATAAAATCATTTTAAATGATTTAACATTTTTGAAAGCGAAAATTGTCGAAAATAAATTTTGGGAAAGAAATAAAAAATATTAAAAGAGATACAAACTGATGCTATTCCTTTGCGAAGTTAAAACTTTTTTTAGTCAAAATTTATTGTGTAAAACACTTCTTTAAGAATAAATTGAAAATTGAAATGTTAACAATTTGACCCAAGTCTAGATGATACTTAAGTCTTTGTATTATGACAATGTGGTGTATTGACATTGTGGTTCCAACTTTGATGCGTCATGTCATACTCCCCTTTCAGGAAGTGACGGTGAAGAGTACCAGTTCTTGCTGAAAGGTCACGAGGACCTGCGCCAAGATGAGCGAGTCATGCAGTTGTTTGGCCTGGTCAACTCGCTTCTCCGCAACAACCCAGACACATTCAGACGCAACCTGACGTGAGTGTCTCCCCCCTTACTTTAAATTGTCGCATGTTCAGTTGTTAGCTGATGAATCATAGCAGCACTGATTGCCCTGGGTATGCTTAGTTAAATTCCATAACTGTGAACAAACTGACTTGAGGTCATGGTTGACAGCCATAACAACAAACAAAATAAATATGCAAGACAATCATGTGAAGTTTTTATTCAAAACATTTTTGATTTCAAAGAAATTTTAACAATAAATAAAAAAAAAAATTTAGTAGGGCACCTGAGCTAGGCACCTGAGTAGGGCACCTGATTAGGACAACTGAGTAGGGTACCTGAGTAGGGCACCTTAGTAGGGCACCTGAGTAGGGCTCTTGCCTCACAGACATGCCTCATCCTTTAGACCTAATGTGTGTAAGTACAGTTTTCTTTAGCCTGCTTTCACTTGCCTCCTTTCTATCTCCTTGTGTGTAGGATCACCAGATTTGCAGCCATCCCACTGTCCACAAACTCTGGTCTGATTGGCTGGGTGAGAAACTGTGATACCATCCACGCCCTCATACGGGACTACAGGGAGAAGAGGAAGATCTTACTCAACATTGAACACAGAGTCATGCTTAGGGTGAGTCATGCTTAGGATGAGTCGTCATGCTTAGGGTGAGTCATGCTTAGGGTGAGTCGTCATGCTTAGGGTGAGTCATGCTTATGGTAAGTCCCATTTAGCTGAGTCATGGTAAAAGAAAGTCATGCTTAGAGTTAGAGACCGACCGAATGTGAGCTTCTGATTTCAACCGAAATCAAAGCCAAATGGTAAGTTAATGATGACTTTCAGCTGAAACAGAAGGTGAAAACAAAAGATTAACAAGACTTTGGGCCAAAAACGAAGCATTTAGATATTTTGAAACCTGTTCACGCATACGTTCTGTGTACATCGAAAAATGATGAGGGAAGTATTGATATTTATATTCTTTTTATCAAAAATGATATCATCGTGAACTATAATAGATAAACATCTGAATACTTTGGCTTTACCGTTTGAATTAAAAAGTAATTTAAAGTTGTTAAAATGTATGGTAAAAGAAAATTTTGCCCCGGTGGGGAGGAGGGGGAGGCAAAAATTCATGCAAAATAGACCCATGGGCGCCCTTTGCTTTTATAATAGATTTATAACGTGGTGGGTTGCAAATGCCCCACCTTTGTATTAAAAGCATATGAAGTTGATTTATTTGTGAACATCTCAAAATCATACATTGTTCGCCAAAATCGTGAGGGTAAACATGTCTGACAGAGTGACAGTCTGACTTCTGGTAGGCAACTGAAGGCCTCAGTCACTTTTGGTTAAAACTAAAAATAAACCAAAAGTGAACTTTTCTGTTTCGGCCAAAACCAAAACGCACTGAAAGTGATCGAATGGCAACTTTCGGTGTCAAAACTGAAATTAGGTCAACCTCTACTTAGAATAAGTAATGCTTTGGGTGAGTCATGCTTAGGGTGAGTCATGCTTAGGGTGAGTCATGCTTTGGGTGAGTCATGAGAGATTTAGAATATTGGAAAGGAAAATCCTTTTTGAGTTCTTCTGTCAGTTGTGTTTACATAGGTGGGGGGGGGGGTCACTTAAAATTTGTAAACATAAATATCCAAATAATTAATCTCACAGCTCTGCTCACAGTGAGTCATGTGTCATCAGTATCTGAGGTTTTGCTCTGCAATATTTCTAAACATGCCCAGAATAATCTAATGCTATTCCTGTTTCTCTGTGACTGTCCATTTGTGCATAACATTGTTTATGTTGACTGTATGACGTATTTCATGATAAATTTTGGTGACATGAATTGTGTCATTGTTCCCCTTTAATTACTTCCTATTTCAAATGTGTGGGTATCCATATAGTTTCCTACTTCAAGTCTTTTGTGGCTAACTTCTTTTCATTTGTAATATTTCTATTTCCTTAGATGGCCCCGGACTATGACCACCTGACTCTCATGCAGAAGGTGGAGGTGTTTGAGCACGCCTTGGAGCACACACAGGGAGATGACCTGGCACGTATTCTGTGGTACAAGTCCCCCAGCTCTGAGGTTGGTTTTAGGGAGACATTCAATTATAGAAACCAGTCATGGCAACTTAACTGCAGTTTAGATATCCATCAATCCGTTTATCAGGATAACATGGGAGGGGGGCGGGGACATGTCAATAACATTTACTTCTGTACTGTGAAAAGAAGTCGTTCCACTACATGGTTTTGGTGTGTCTTTAGGTTTGGTTTGACAGACGTACAAACTACACACGATCTCTTGCTGTGATGTCCATGGTGGGATACGTTCTGGGCCTGGGAGACAGGTATGTGTGCATAAACAAAATAAGTTCCTATTACTGTTGGTATTTAAATAGTCACCCACTTTTCACCCACCCTCGTGATGTCTAGTTGTATGTTGAATCACACTGACCATTAGTTGTATGTTGAATCACAGAGACCATTAGTTGTATGTTTCAATAGAGCAATGATTTTGACACAAGTTTCAATCAATCAATACTAGCGACCCGTATTTGTATGTTGCAATTACAATCAATAATATTGATAATTAGTTTATCATATTGCAAATCAATTAATAATGAAATTGATGATTAGTAGCATGTTACAATCCATCTTTATTGATGTATCAATACCCCCCAGGCACCCCTCAAATCTGATGCTGGACCGTATCAGTGGCAAGATCATCCACATTGACTTTGGAGACTGCTTCGAAGTGGCCATGGTCAGGGAGAAGTACCCAGAGAAGATTCCCTTCAGGTTGACCCGGATGCTTATCAATGCTATGGAGGTCAGTAGGACAGACTCTCATTCTTGCTTATCAATGCTATGGAGGTCAGTAGTAAAGACTCTCATTCTTGCTTATCAATGCTATGGAGGTCAGTAGAACAGACTCTCATTCTTGCTTATCAATGCTATGGAGGTCAGTAGTAAAGACTCTCATTCTTGCTTATCAATGCTATGGAGGTCAGTAGGACAGACTCTCATTCTTGCTTATCAATGCTATGGAGGTCAGTAGGACAGACTCTCATTCTTGCTTATCAATGCTATGGAGGTCAGTAGTGCAGACTCTCATTCTTGCTTATCAATGCTATGGAGGTCAGTAGTGCAGACTCTCATTCTTGCTTATCAATGCTATGGAGGTCAGTAGTGCAGACTCTCATTCTTGCTTATCAATGCTATGGAGGTCAGTAGTGCAGACTCTCATTCTTGCTTATCAATGCTATGGAGGTCAGTAGTGCAGACTCTCATTCTTGCTTATCAATGCTATGGAGGTCAGTAGTACAGACTCTCATTCTTGCTTATCAATGCTATGGAGGTCAGTAGTGCAGACTCTCATTCTTGCTTATCAATGCTATGGAGGTCAGTAGCACAGACTCTCATTCTTGCTCATCAATGCTATGGAGGTCAGTAGTGCAGACTCTTATTCTTGCTTATCAATGCTATGGAGGTCAGTAGCACAGACTCTCATTCTTGCTTATCAATGCTATGGAGGTCAGTAGCACAGACTCTCATTCTTGCTTATCAATGCTATGGAGGTCAGTAGCACAGACTCTCATTCTTGTTTATTGTTATAGAGAGCTTGTTTACATCATATTTTCTCGTGCGTGCCCTCTGATTGACCCCGCATGAGACGCTGTGTTCACAAAGGGGTGTGGCTTAGGCCTTTGAAGTAACTTGTTGACGCCGCCAACGAATAAAAATAATTAATCTGTTCCAAATAGTATTTGGTAGAATGATTGGGATTTTTCTCGAAATGTCTCGAAGGCAGGGCTTGGGCGTCGGTAGACCCACCTATATAAGGGATTGACAGGCACGGACGAGGGACGGAGATTTCAGATAGATTTTCTTAACATTACGAGGCGTGTTTTATTCTTTGTGTATTTGTGTGCTCCTACTTATATGTGTTTATTTCGCATTATTTATTGGCATCATTATTTCTAATTGTATTAACTGTGTACCGGTACGACATCTGCCATACTGTAAGTTGAAGATTGTAATTTTATTTTATTTTATTTTGTAATTATCTTAAGACATAATAAATCTTAATTAATTGTAACTAGAAACTGTTTTGGGTCGTATCTTTAATATTGTTGATTCTATGGTATCGTCCTTTGTTAGGCACTGTTTACAACGAGCCAATTAAAATTAAAATAGGAGATTAATTTCTCCCAATACAAGTCAGTGCGTAACAAATTGGGTTGCTCGTCCCGGATATAGCGGACTCTATATTATTATTTTTCTCAAGACCCCAATTCTAACAAATTGGGGGCATCGTCCGCGATAACCGAATCCATATTTTATTCTCATTAGACCCCAATTTTAACAAATTGTGGGCTTTTCCGAGGATAATTTTAATCCATAATTTTTATTACACCAATAATAAATTGAGTGTTTTTCTGTGGATTTTGACCCACTGTTTACTTTTATATACTCAGATTAATTTTGAGTACACGATACCATTTTACGACACCAACAACAGAGCTGGTTACAATTTTTTTATTAGTGTGTGCACTAAGCTTAAATTTTTATAAAAAACAGTGTTGTATTTTGCCTCTGTAAAAATGGATTTTGATGTTGAAAACCCATCAGTTGAGGCATTAGACAATTGTTCTAGGAAGGAGCTATTTTCCATTGCTAAAGCTCTAGGAATAAATGTAGCTCATTCGGCTGTAAAAAAGACGATACGAGACATGATCATCGTTCACTTTGTGGATGAAGACATGTTATCTGAAGATGAACTTGCCTCAGTCACACAACCGACTGATCCAAGTATGGAGCTCCAACTAAAGCTCAAACAAATGGAACTAGATGCCCAGAGAGAAAAAGAACGTGAGCTTAAACAGCTGGAGCTAGATAAAGAACGAGAGCTTAAACAGCTGGAGCTAGATAAAGAACGTGAGCTTAAACAGCTGGAGTTGGAAGCACAGAAAGAGCTACAAATCAAATTAAAAGAAATGGAAATAACAGCCAATTTGGGAGCAATGGAAAATAGACTCACGGCTCCAGCCGGTCAAGGTTGCGATGCAATTAAATTTGCAAAAGTAATCCCTAAATTTACAGAAAAAGAGGTTGACCAATATTTTGCGCAGTTTGAGATAACTGCCCAAAATTTTAAAATTCCTGAAACTATGTGGTCCACCTTACTTCAACCAGCCTTGACCGGAAGGGCATCTGAAGTCTTTGTGTCCCTGAATGCGGAACAGCGCGGGGACTATAACCTAGTAAAATCATTAATACTTAAGGCTTATGAATGTGTCCCCGAAGCATACCGTAAAAAGTTTAGGGAACTGTGGAAACGTGATGGCCAGACTCATGTTGAGTTCCTCCTGGACAAGTGGCTGCACGCAACCAACACCGAGACAGACTTCAAGAAATTCAAGAATCTCATTCTGATGGAGGAGTTCAAGAATTGTGTTCGTACTGAGGTGCGGATACATATTGCAGACCGTGGCGAAGGTGACGCACATACGGCAGCAGTGTTAGCCGACGACTTCACCATCACTCGTCAACTTTCCAAGAATCCATTTGACACAAGAAAAGACAGGCACAATAAGACAACAACATCAACTTACAGTAAACCTTTACAAAAACCATTCAAGCCCGGTATGAAAGAAACAAGTGCCAAAGACACATGTGCCTACTGCAAAAAGGAAGGACATACGAGGGATGATTGCTGGAAACTCAAGAAGAAAACTGAGAAGACCACACATCCTGGTACACAACACAAAGTCTCCGCTTGTACGTCTCGTCATACATCTGGAAACACATTTTCAAAATTCAAGAGTTTTTGCTCTCCAGATGTCCATACAAACTTTAAAGAGGTTTGTCACGACTCATCAAAGAGTTCCATCATGAACAATAAGGCTAGTTTTACTGACTCCAGCCAAGTTCCTGCTTCGACTGCGAGTTTTATGAGCTTGTCGCCAAGATCCTTTTGCTCCAAGAAGAGGTCTACCTCCAGAGGGCGTTTTACTGAGGACTTGTGTGCAAGTTTTGACGACTCTACCCAGAGTTTTACTTCCTCTACCCTAGCCGAATGTTCTCAAGACTCCAACAAGAGTTTACCTACCAAGGTCCAAAATTCTACATCAGAAACTACTGATGTCATACAAGACTTCATGCCTTTCATATCGGAAGGATTCGTATCACTGCCAGGTGATTTTTCCAGTCTACAACCAATCAGAATCTTACGAGATACAGGTGCTTCACAGTCCTTACTACTTAGGGACTATAACCTAGTAAAATCATTAATACTTAAGGCTTATGAATGTGTCCCCGAAGCATACCGTAAAAAGTTTAGGGAACTGTGGAAACGTGATGGCCAGACTCATGTTGAGTTCCTCCGGGAAAAGGAACGGCTCCTGGACAAGTGGCTACACGCAACCAATACCGAGACAGACTTCAAGAAATTCAAGAACCTCATTCTGATGGAGGAGTTCAAGAACTGTGTTCGTACTGAGGTGCGGATACATATTGCAGACCGTGGCGAAGGTGACGCACATACGGCAGCAGTGTTAGCCGACGACTTCACCATCTCACATCAACTTTCCAAGAATCCATCTGACACCAAAAATGACAGGCACAATAAGACAGCTGTATCAACTTACAGTAAACCTCCACAAAAACCATTCAAGCCCGGTACGAAAGAAATTGGTGCAAAGGACACATGTGCCTACTGTAAAAAAGAAGGACATACGAGGGATGATTGCTGGAAACTCAAGAAGAAAACTGAGAAGCCCACACATCCTGGTACACAACACAAAGTCTCCGCTTGTACGTCTCGTCATACATCTGGAAACGCATTTTCAAAATTCAAGAGTTTTTGCTCTCCAGATGTCCATACAAACTTCAAAGAGGTTTGTCACGACTCATCAAAGAGTTCCATTATGAACAATAAGGCTAGTTTTACTGACTCCAGCCAAGTTCCTGCTTCGACTGCGAGTTTTATGAGCTTGTCGCCAAGATCCTTTTGCTCCAAGAAGAGGTCTACCTCCAGAGGGCGTTTTACTGAGGACTTGTGTGCAAGTTTTGACGACTCTACCCAGAGTTTTACTTCCTCTACCCTAGCCGAATGTTCTCAAGACTCCAACAAGAGTTTACCTACCAAGGTCCAAAATTCTACATCAGAAACTACTGATGTCATACAAGACTTCATGCCTTTCATATCGGAAGGATTCGTATCACTGCCAGGTGATTTTTCCAGTCTACAACCAATCAAAATCTTACGAGATACAGGTGCTTCACAGTCCTTACTACTTGAGGGTATACTTCCCTTGTCTGAATCTACTGCTACTGGGAGCAACATCCTGTTACGAGGTGTAGAGCTGGGATGCATAGATGTACCTTTACATCTCATCAACCTAAAATCAGACTTAGTCTCCGGACCTGTGGTTGTGGGTGTCCGACCAACATTACCATTGGACGGCATCTCGTTGCTGCTAGGCAATGACTTAGCTGGTGGGAAGGTGATAGCCGAGCCCATCGTTACTCATGAACCTTGTTTAAATGAAAATCAGGAAGAAGATCAAGAATTGTATCCAGCATGTGCTGTGACAAGGGCCATGAGTTCCAAGATCTCCACAAAAGAGATTTCACAAAAAAGCAATAAAATTCTTCCTGAAATTGACCTGGGAAAAACATTTTTTGCAAGTCTAAATGAAGAGGCTAGTAATTACAAGACTCCAACTCGAATGCAACTTATTGAAGAACAGAAGAGTGATCCAGAAATAGTCAAACTTCGAGAGAACGCTTTGACCCAAGAAGAAGCTGAACAATTCCCTATATGTTATTACCTTCAAGATGACATACTTTTGAGGAAATGGCGACCTCCAGACGCAAATGCTGACGAAGAATGGAGGATAGTTCATCAAATAGTAGTTCCTACCCCATTCCGGAACGAAGTCCTGAACTTAGCCCATGACTCACCACTTTCAGGGCATTTGGGAGTAAAGAAGACATATCACAAAATCACGTCGCACTTCTTTTGGCCCAAAATCAAGAAAGATGTGGTTGAATACTGCAGATCATGTCATACTTGTCAGGTTGTAGGGAAACCAAATCAGAAGATACCAGCAGCTCCTCTTCAACCCATTCCAGCATTCGAAGAACCTTTCAGTCGCGTTATTATAGACTGCGTTGGACCTCTGCCAAAGACAAAATCAGGTCACCAATACTTGCTGACAATCATGTGTGCGTCAACAAGATTCCCAGAAGCTATTCCTCTTCGCAATATCAAGACTCCGAACATCGTCAAAGCCTTGACGAAGTTTTTTACATTGTTTGGTCTTCCGAAGTCTGTACAGTCTGACCAAGGAACCAACTTCAAGGCTGGAATATTCAAACAAGTGATGAACCAGTTGGGCATAGAACACTGCTTGTCGAGTGCATATCATCCTGAGTCACAGGGAGCACTTGAGCGATTCCATCAGACGTTGAAGAACATGATGAGAACCTACTGCCTAGAACAAGAGAAAGACTGGGATGAAGGCATCAACATGCTACTGTTCGCCGCAAGAGAAGCAGTTCAAGAATCACTTGGATTCAGCCCCTTCGAACTGGTGTTTGGCCACACGGTTCGCGGTCCCCTTAAACTTTTAAAAGACACGTGGATGTCATCGGCACCCACGGAAGGACTTCTTGACTATGTCCAAAAATTTAAAACTAAACTTTTTAATGCCGTTAATTTGGCTAAAACACATTTAAAAGATTCACAATCTAAAATGAAAGTTTGGTATGACAAAAAGTCAAAATTCAGACAGTTTGCTTCAGGGGACAAAGTGCTTGTGCTTTTGCCGATACCAGGGCAAGCACTACAAGCTAGATATTTTGGTCCTTATGTTGTTGAGTCCAAAATCAATGATTTAAATTACATTGTGTTAACACCAGATCGTAAAAGAAAGAAACAGTTATGTCACATTAACATGTTAAAAGAATATTTTGATAGAAAATGTGATGATCATTGTCCATCCTCAGAAACAAATGTTAACACAATCTCAACTGTAACTTCAGTACTTAAAGAAAATGTTACTGAAACCTTTGATAGTGTCCCAGAAAAAGTTGGTAATTATAAACTTAAAAATTCAGAAATATTGGCCAACTTAGATAAGAAACTAGGACATTTGTCATTGTCAGAGAAGGATGTTGTTAAGTCTGTTATTGCAGATTTTGTTTTACTCTTCCCTGATGTACCTAATAAAACCAACATTGCTGTACATGATGTTGACATTGGCAATGCAGTTCCGGTCAAGCAACACCCCTATAGGGTCAATCCGGAAAAACTTGAAATAATCCGGTCTGAAATAAAATACATGCTTGAAAATGATATAATTGAACCAAGCTCTAGTAACTGGAGTTCACCATGTATTTTAGTCCCAAAGCCTGACAAAAGTTACAGGTTTTGTACTGACTTCAGGAAAGTGAATGCATTCACAAAGACTGATTCCTTTCCGATTCCAAGGATAGACGATCTTATAGATCGAATAGGTGATGCCAAATATGTAACCAAGATAGACTTACTATCAGGTTATTGGCAGGTTCCTCTATCTGACAGAGCAAAAGAAATCTCTGCTTTTTGTACTCCAGATGGTTTATACCAATATAAAGTAATGCCGTTTGGAATGAAAAATGCCCCAGCTACATTCCAACGTCTAGTAAATAACATTATTGCTGACCAGGAAAATTGCAGCGCCTATATTGATGATGTAATTATTTACAGTCAAGATTTTTCATCTCATGTAAACCAGTTAAGATCTCTGTTTAAAAAATTTTTGCAGGCAAATGTAACTGTAAATTTAAATAAATGTGAATTTTGTCATGCAACTGTGGAATATTTAGGTCACATAGTGGGTCAAGGTCATGTAAAGCCTGTTCAAGCTAAGATAAATGCTATTGTATCACTTCCACCACCCACTACTAGAAAACAGTTAATGAGATTTTTGGGAATGGCAGGTTATTATAGAAAATTTTGCAAAAATTTCTCAGTTATTGCTTCTCCTTTAAGTAATATGTTAAAGAAAAATGCAAAATTTCATTGGTCAGATGCTTGTCAGAAAGCATTCGAAAACATTAAAAATATACTTGCTAATGCTCCTGTTCTCATTGCACCAGACTTTAACAAACAGTTTAAATTAGCTGTAGATGCCAGTGATGTTGGCATTGGTGCAGTTCTTTTTCAAGAAGATGACCACAATGTAGATCATCCTGTCTCTTATTTCTCAAAGAAATTTAACTCACATCAGAAAAACTATTCCACTGTAGAAAAAGAATGTTTAGGTTTAATTCTTGCTCTCCAACAATTTGATTTTTATGTCAGTTGTTCTTTACATTCAGTACTTGTTTTTACTGATCACAATCCTTTAACATTTTTGAATAAGATGGTCTCCAAAAATCAAAGATTGTTAAGATGGAGCCTATTTTTACAAGAATATAATTTGGACATCAAACATATTAAAGGCAAAGACAATGTCATTGCAGATACTTTGTCCAGAAATTAATTTTCACTTATGTTATTGTTTATAAGCTGTTAAGAAGTTTTTTGTCTAATATTTTGAGAGTAAGAAATGTACTTTCTTCAATTTTAATGGAAAAAGAATTCCATTTTTGAACAATGAAATTTTTTTCTTTTAAGAGGGGAGGTGTTATAGAGAGCTTGTTTACATCATATTTCTCGTGCGTGCCCTCTGATTGACCCCGCATGAGACGCTGTGTTCACAAAGGGGTGTGGCTTAGGTCTTTGAAGTATCTTGTTTACAGTCGGCTTCCAATTACGCATTGGGTAGATTGTTTTCGGGTAATTTCTGGAATATACTCCTTAACCCGAGAGATGTAAACAACACGTCATAAGCCCTTCTCGAAGCATCTTACTCTACATATATATAAGAGATTGACAGGCACGAGGGGACGGAGATTTTTCACATAGATTTTCTTAACATTACGAGGCGTGTTTTATTCTTTGTGTATTTGTGTGCTCCTACTTATATGTGTTTATTTCGCATTATTTATTGGCATCATTATTTCTAATTGTATTAACTGTGTACCGGTACGAGATCTACCATACTGTAAGTTGAAGATTGTAATTTTATTTTATTTTATTTTGTAATTATCTTAAGACATAATAAATCTTAATTAATTGTAACTAGAAACTGTTTTGGGTCGTATCTTTAATATTGTTGATTATATGGTATCGTCCTTTGTTAGGCACTGTTTACAACGAGCCAATTAAAATTAAAATAGGAGATTAATTTCTCCCAATATAAGTCAGTGCGTAACACTTATCAATGCTATGGAGGTCAGTAGCACAGACTCTCATTCTTGCTCATCAATGCTATGGAGGTCAGTAGCACAGACTCTCATTCTTGCTTATCAATGCTATGGAGGTCAGTAGGACAGACTCTCATTCTTGCTTATCAATGCTATTGAGGTCAGTAGGACAGACTCTCATTCTTGCTTATCAATGCTATGGAGGTCAGTAGCACAGACTCTCATTCTTGCTTATCAATGCTATGGAGGTCAGTAGCACAGACTCTCATTCTTGCTTATCAGTGCTATGGAGGTCAGTAGCACAGACTCTCATTCTTGCTTATCAATGCTATGGAGGTCAGTAGCACAGACTCTTATTCAACAGTTGTTATTAATAACTAAAAATTCAGAGAATTAGTTTTACAAAATAATGTGTGCTATGTTTGGATGAATAGCTTCAAAATTTAAGTTACAAATAGCTATATCTATGACAGTAATAAAATAGTCAGCAGACCCTGTTCAGGGGCAATTTTTTAGATCTCGGGAAATATTTGATTGAACCACTTGTTAAGAAAATATAATGCACTTTTTAAAATTAGTTTAAAAAAAATAAATTCTAAATCAAGGAAGGCAAACTTAACAAATAAGGGGAGTAATATGATTAAATCAGGGCACCAAATGGCTAAATAACAAGAGGCAAACTTCAGCCAGATGACATTTTATAGAGTTAAAATTTAAAAAAATAAAATAAAATAAGTAAACAAATAATCCTAATGGAATAAATTGAATTATTTTCAATGATTATGCCAACTGAAGCATATGCTGAAGTTTTGGTTAATATATTTAATTGATCAGTTTGAGAATCTTTCAGATAAGCCTGATATTTGATGTCTATCAACTGAGTTGATACATCTGTTAGATTAGCCTGATATTTGATGTCTATCAACCGAGTTATTACATCCTAATTTTTCGGACATCCGATGTTTCAATATTTCTAGGTCACAGGTATCGATGGGAACTACAGGATGACCTGTGAAAAGGTCATGGCCGTCCTACGAGATAACAAAGAGTCCCTGATGGCCGTGCTGGAGGCCTTCGTGTACGACCCCCTTCTCAGCTGGCGTTTGGTGGATGCTCACAAGACCAAGGCCGGCGGAGGTGGTGGAAAAGGTGGAAAATCTGGTGGATCAATTAATGAAAGTCACGAAGGCTCAAGTAGGTCATCATGTTGTTTTAAAATAAAAAGTCTGAATGCACTGTCTGAATGCACTGTCTGAATGCACTGTCCGAATGCACTGTCTGAATGCACTGTCTTAATGCACTGTCTGAATGCACTGTCTGAATGCACCCTTCCAGTTGCTCTCAGAAACAGCCAGACTCTGGAGTCCTTTAAAACTCATTAAAAAACACATCTATTTCGCAAACACCTTCTGGGGTGATGCTATCTATCATCTTTTTTTCATTTAATGTACATTGGCTTGTGTTGTTATGGTTGAAATAGGATGAAAGACTTTGACTTGGTATGCTCGTATGTAGTTTTATATTGTTGCGTCTGTTTTTTAAATGTGATAAATTTTAGATTGTTTTTATTTCTCTTTTTAATATGGTTGACTTTGTACCAGGCTTCGAGCTTTTCGGGATGAAGCGTGTTTTTCAAATAAACTTTATTATTATTATTATTATTATAATCATCTGAATGCGCTGTCTGAATGCAAAGTCTAAATGCACCATCTGAATGCACTGTTTGAATACTAAGTCTAAATGCATCATTTGAATGCCCTGTCTGAATGAAAAGTCTAAATGCTTCATCTGAATGCACCATCATAACATTGAAATAATTTTATAAACTTGAGTTGACCAATTAACTACCCAAATTTCCTTTAAAAAAATTTTTTCCCATAATATAAACAGCTTCTGGTGACCTGATGGAGAATCTGGAAGGTTCACAGTCCAGTGGTGCTGGGAAGAAACCCGAGGCTGGTGACCCCGGTGAGGAGGTCAGTGTGGCACCAGAGGTGACCAGCAAGAAGGCCATCAGCATTGTGAACAGAGTGAGGGACAAGCTCACAGGTCAGTTGTCACTAGAGAAATTTGGTTGTCATGGACATTTTTTGGTTTTTGCTACAGACAATTGACTGTTCCTGTTTTTCTTCACTGTGAAATTTGATTGTTCTTCCAATGACTAATTATAAATCTTGTTCCTAAAAGGTCGTGACTTTGGACAAGAGGACCCTGTTGATGTCAATCGGCAGGTTGACCTTCTGATCCAGCAGGCCACGTCACACGAGAACCTCTGTCAGTGCTACATCGGATGGTGCCCCTTCTGGTAGTTTATGACTGGACGCAGTGCAGACCTGAGTAAATTCTGGTAGTTTATGAGTGGACGCAATGCAGACCTGAGTAAATTCTGGTAGTTTATGAGTGGACGCAATGCAGACCTGAGTAAATTCTGGTAGTTTATGAGTGGACGCAATGCAGACCTGAGTAAATTCTGGTAGTTAATGAATTGCCGCAATGCAGACCTGAGTAAATTCTGGTGGTGGATGTCACAATGGAAAGCATATCTTGTGTCCATTTTCTTAGTCAGTGACATGATGGATAGCAGAGATGGACGGGATCAGAATGTTATCCTTGTATGTATTGCCAGTTGGGTTTGAATAGGGCGGGATGACCAGGTTGGAATGTTGTCCTTACAAAATGTCACTGGGGAAATTCACGCCAAACAATAACTTGTTATGTTACTTTGTATATCTCCCTGTTACATAAAGAAAATTGTTTTTGAACTGTCATCTTTAATCATCCATCAATATCATCCAATGTTAATCAAATATTTCACACAATCATCTTGGTTCTTATCCATCAATTTCCTGTTTACAACTGTGTGTGTTGGACAATCTAAACGTTCTTGTCACTGTTGGCTGTATCCAGGGAAAGCTGTATCCAATGATGGCTGTATCCACTGATTGCTGTATTGCCCAATCGCTGTATTCCCTGATTTGCCATTCCTATTTTAAATTGTTTTGAAGATGTGCATTTTTCTTTCTTTGTGAGATTAGTTGCGTGATGAAAGATTTTTAAGCTTACATTTTTTTCTCATTGAAGAAAAAAAGATTTTACTTTATTTACACATTTGCTTATAATTAAAGATTTTGTAGAATTTTTCAAATACTAATGTCAAGTCATCTGACATATACAGTCTCAGGGTCTGTTCCATATGTTATTTAATGTTTGGTTACATTAAACTGACATGTTAGCTTTGGGAATAACATTCCCCGTTTTACATGACTGGTTCACCAATCCTGTAGTGCAGGTCTGCACAACTCAAAATGTACGGCGGCTGAAATACTTGAGTAAAAACTTGTGCGGGCCAAAAGAAAATACGACAGGGGGGAAAGCTATTAAGAAAATAGTAAGAATAAAGAATATTTTGTTACTTTGCGGGCTGCAAAGTGGGTGCTGGCGGGCCACATGTGGCCCATGGGCCGTATGTTGTGCAGGCCTGCTCTAGTGTTCAGTTCCCTCCAGAGACAGTCATTTAGAGGATATGTGTTGTATGTTCTCCATTATTTGTCTGGCTGAGGGGCAGTCATTGCCAACCTGTTCCAGCTGGCACACCTCTTCATTCAGAAATCAACCGACCGTTCTGGTCAATTATATTTAATGAGTGAAAAAGGCAAAGTTAAAGAAAAATCTTCGACTCATTGAACTGACTGAAGCAGGTCGCAGGCTGGAACCTGATCTAGCTTTTTGTGACTCTTGTCTTAGGTGTCATTAAGTCTTTAACAAAATTGTTATATACATTGCATATTTTTCATGTACATTTGCACCTCATTGTAAATAGTAACCCATTGCGGCTTTCATAAAAGTCTCTTCATGCATGAGAGAGTCCTTGATTGTTCTTTAATTGTTTGGGCTAACATATTATACCTTCATTGAAAAAGTCTTAATGGAAGCTTGATGATTACATTTTATTTTAAGAATTATATAAAAAAAAACAACACAAAGTTGCATAACAGAACTAGTTTAAAAAAAAAAAAGTTTGTATAGAAACCAGAGTTGCAAAGACATGGATGAGAAGGATGTGTGAGACAAGGATGTGTGAGAAGGAATGTCTTGAAAGTGTGCAGTGAAGGCAGGATGACTATAGTTTGTTGCCTTTTGTCTTGTTCACTCTGAATCACAGAACAAGGCAGTGTTTGATTTGGATATTTGATGGAATATAAATGAAGTTTTGCCACGAGGCAACCTTTTGTTAAATAATTATGTCCACTGTTTCTAATGTTTGACTGTGTCAGAAATAGTTCACCGAATGTTTGACTGTGTCAGAAATGGTTCACCGAATGTTTGACTGTGTCAGAAATGGTTCACCGAATGTTTGACTGTTAGAAATGGTTCACCGAATGTTTGACAGTGTCAGAAATGGTTCAGCAAATTTTTTACTGTGTCAGATACGGTACACCGAAGACATTTTTAATATAAACTCGGTGCACCACTAGAAAGAGTGATTAGATAATCTACTTTCTGCAGGTGAATTGAGGTTGTCAATGTAACTGTATAGATGATTCTTTTAGGTTGGTTGCCTGTAGGGTTGCCACAGCTAACTGAATGAGATTTTTTTCTTCTTCTCTAACTAGATTTTACATGCATGACTTCAGCTGTAAAGCTTACGTCAGCTATAAAGTTGACTTCAGCCTAACATGTGAATTAAAATGTACACATGACTTAAGACGGGTTTTAATACTGGCAAGAAAGTAATCATGGACATAGGGGCAATGAGATGTGTCCTGTGTACACCATATGTATGTTCAAGATAGCATGGCATCTGTACAACACACTGACTGATCCAAGCATGATTTGATTGGGTGTAATTTTGGTTTAATTTTATGTGACCAATTAAATTAAATTTGCTTTTGTTCCAATGCTACTAAAAATGAAAATACAATCAAGAGGGAAAAAAATTGATCAATTTGTTTCTTTCTCCAAAAGTGATTGTTAAAAGATGATTGTTAGAATCTTAAGAAATTAATTTTCTTTGTGCGTATGAATGAGACTGTGTATGAATATGAATCAAGGAAAACTTTCTTTGTGTGTTGCAGAATATTTATTGAACATTTCTTAACATGTTCAACCTTACACAGATGATAATTTTATGTTGTGTTCTATTACAATATTCCCATTTTTTCCTATGTCCCCCCCAATTCACAGAGTTCTGTTCAACTAATCATGTTTAAATAATAAAGATATTGGATATCAGAATAATCATAGTGACTTATTGCTTACTGATAGAAATCACAATTTTTTTTTGAAAAAAATTGTAATATTGTTTTTAATATTCCACTTTCTGTCTGAAAGGCATTTTGTAACAAAAAAATAAAATCAAGTAATTCATTTCTTTTTCTCATTAGCCATGTCCAAGCACTCATGACAAAATCATGACATCACTTTATCTTTTTGTCTCCCTTGTTGACACCTGCCTTTGCTCCAAGACTTGGACTTAAAACTTGTAAAAACATTTCCCTGTTCATGAAATGTTCAATATTTTTTTTGTCAACATCCCTCTTCACGTTTCACCCACATCATTCTTCTATTTATTTCTCTCAGCTTCCCCGAAGCCCTCTACATACATTGTTATGTGTGTTTAGCAGACACTAACGAAACAAACTAACGACATAATAATAATACAACCATCGCTAAAATACTGATTTTATTGTGAAGACAAAAACTGGAAGGAAATTGAATGAGCTAGTGGGGTTAGCAGTCACCATCAAATATGAAATAATGGTAAAATTCTATTTTCAGAATATGATTATCAGATAAATGATTTAAAAATGTATGTTTATGTTCTTCATGAAAAACAGAAGTACTCGTGGGCGCGGTGTGCAGATTCATTACGTCCTTGAACAAAAGACGTCATGTGATCAGGAAAACTATTTTTAAGCAAGTCACATGATTTTTATGTTCCAGCGTGTGCAAGCTATTGATGAGATGATGTGTTCAAACCCTAGGCGTCTTTAGTATACAAGTTAGTCGCTAAATAACTGAAATGAATGTTTAAAAACAACCCACCCAGGGGACTAATGCATATCTTCACGAGAGAATCAAATAGCTTAATATCATTTGTAGTAGCTACATCTGGCTACATCTTAGCAAATGACCTTAACCATCGTACAATAAGCTTTTTGTGACCGAAATGTTGTATTGAGGCCCACCAGAGTTGCCAACCCAAACTCACTTGTCCGTGAAAGTACGTAAAAATGGAGACAAAAAAACTGGAAATCTCAGCAAATGTGATTTCTTCTTGTTTGCTTTAAACCAATCTTGTACAATCGTTAGCAGGAGAAATAAAGAGCAGCTGACCAGACCAACCAAGGCTAAAAAAATTGGCTCATGCACCATGCTCATATGACATATAATCATAATATGACAAATAATCATAATGATATAACGTACTCATATGCTTATTCCGATATTTGAGTTATTAAAAAAAATTAAAGTAAAAAAAAAACATCAAATTTTATATCAAAAGTTCTGTAAAATAATTGCTTTTTCCCCGTAAAATCGTGGAGATTTGGAATATTTGTCACTAAATTAGTTTTTTGATTGAACTGGCCACCCTGACGCCCATGTGAGCACCGCTGTAGGGTTCGGCTACAACGGGTGATCTCAAGCCGTTGCGGTGCTGTTGCCACCGGGAGTTTCGTTGTCTTCAGTCAGAAAGTTTAGGAGATTCTGTAGCTGAGCCTGCGCCATGACGTTTTGACCTTGACCTTGTCCGAGGAGTTGACCCTGACCGTTACCCTGACCTTGTCCTAGGAGTTGACCTTGCCCGATACCCTGACCTTGTCCAAGGAGCTGCCCCTGTCCGTTGCCTTGGCCGAGAGGTTGCCCCTGTCCATTGCCCTGACCCTGGTGTTGCCTCTGAGCAAAGTTGTTCCGCTGCCTCTGGCCTTGGCGGTGACCTTGATTACCTTGACCTTCGAAAGGTAGGTTTCCTTGACCTTGAAAGGGACCAGGGTGTTGTTGCAGATTGGCGAACTAAAAGAAACAACGACGTGTTTAGAAAGTAAATAAATAGGTATAGATAAGAATATATAGATCATATGTAGAGAACCACATAGACAAATATATGTCTTAAAAAACAAATTCCCGAGTGGACTCGTCCGCCACACTCTCACTGCGCACCGCGATGCGTTCTCATTCAGCACTTCCCCGTCGTGCAACAAATGCATCCCTATAGAGTCAACACAGCTAAGCATTGTGGATATATGGAGCGCCATCTGGAATTATTATTTTATATTATATTATCCATCTATTCCCGTAAGGTGCACGCGCAAAATGGCTGTGTTGTACCATATATATATATATATATATATATATATATATATATATATATATATACCCCCTTTGTCTTATATGAGCTATTTGAATATCATTTCCAAGAAATACTCCTAATGTATATATATAGCGCGATATATATATTTATTTTTATATATTATAATATATATCTATTCCTGTAATGTGCACGCACAATATGTGTGTGTTATAATATATATATATATATATATATATATATATATATATATATATATATATACCCCCTTTGTCTTATATGAGCTATTTGAATATCATTGCCAAGAAATACTCCTACATGTATGAATGGATCCAGTTCCCATTAGGATCCCGTTCCCAAATGTGATACCATTTCGTTGCGAAAAACATTCATTGGGATCCCGCTTCATTGGTATCACGTTTCCTCGAAGGGATACGTTCCCGACCCTGTAGGTATCCCATTCCTGATGGGATCCCGTTTCCCGATCATATCCCCATGGGGCCCCAATCCCGATGGGGCCCCAATCCCGATGGGCTTCCGTTCTCATTGGGATCCCGATCTCGGTGGGTATGAAAGGTCTTGCTATCAAGCTGGGCCAAGATCCATCAATTCACATATAGCTTATAGTGTTGTCCAAGGCTGGTGGTATTTATAAAGCTTATATAAGGGCAAGTGAATCCAAAGGAGTGGGTATTATGAGTTCAGTACCCTTCGGTATTTGAATATAGTTAATAAAATGTATGAGTTATAAGTTTGGGTTGAGATCCATCCATTCATGTAGGAGTATGTCTTGGTAATATTACTTATATAGATTATTTAAGGAAGAAAAAAATCTAGGGCCCCCGGCCCCAAAAGGAATATTATAGAAAGTTCAAAACCTCCTAGTATTGAATTGTGGATACTTACAATATACATAATATAAATAAATAAATTAATTAATTAATTAATAAATGTAAATAAATAAATAAATAAATAAAAATAAATAAATAAATTAATAAATTAATAAATTAATTAATTAATAAATTAATAAATCAATAAATTAATTAATAAATTAATAAATTAATAAATTAATAAATTAATAAATTAATAAATTAATAAATTAATAAATTAATAAATTAATAAATTAATAAATTAATAATAAATTAATAAATTAATAAATTAATAAATTAATAAATGAATAAATTAATAAATTAATAAATATAAAGTTTTTTTTACGATGATTTTGATGAGGTCATTCAAAGTGATGTGGGACCAGTGCCTAGTGTTTAGCCTCAACACTTTGAGAACCACTTGCATAGAAAGAATACTATTTTACCTGAGGCACAACCACGAATGTCCTCCCGTCTTCTGTTGTGAACGGCGTCCCCTGGCTGAAGACCCCTGGTGGGTTGCCGGGGCTAGCGAAGGCCTGGGGCTGTTGCCATTGGGTGTTTGGTGCAGCAAAGACGGGTGGCGCCGGTGGGTACTGGTTGGGGAACACCCCTGGGAAACCCGGTTGTTGCTGTTGGCCGCCATTCTGTGAGAGATGTGATGGAAATAGCAAAGGTGAGATGTGATGTTAATAGCAAGGTTTGAGATTGAGTCCCCAATCACTTACTCTCTGGTTCATATCCCTATTCCCGTAATCCCCAATCACGTACTCCCTGGTTCACATCCCCTTAATCTGCAATCACTTACTCTCTGGTTCATACCACTGTAATCCCCAATCAATAACTCTCTGGTTCATACCCCTGTAATTCCCAATCACTTACTCTCTGGTTCATACCCCTGTAATCCCCAATCACTTACTCTCTGGTTCATACCCCTGTAATCCCAATCACTTACTCTCTGGTTCATACCCCTGTAATCCCCAATCACTTACTCTCTGGTTCATACCCCTGTAATCCCCAATCACTTGCTCTCTGGTTCATACCCCTGTTATCCCCAATCACTTACTCTCTGGTTCATACCCCTGTAATCCCCAATCACTTACTCTCTGGTTCATACCCCTGTAATCCCCAATCACTTACTCTCTGGTTCATACCCCTGTAATCCCCAATCACTTACTCTCTGGTTCATGATGGCGGACAGCGCCAACACAGTAGCCAATCCCGTGTTGGGATTCTGTCCATCACCATCGCCGTCCAACTGGGTGAGTAAGTTGATTAGTCCTTGATTAGGAAGCCCCGCCCCAAGTCCGGCTCCACCCAGTCCCCCAAGTCCAGCGATGCCGCCGCCTCCTCCTCCTCCTAGCCCACCAAGACCCGGAAGGCCACCAAGGCCCGGAAGTCCACCTAGACCCGGAAGTCCACCTAGACCCGGAAGTCCACCTAAAGCCCCCAGGCCTGTCGGGGCGGCAAAGACCTCAAGTTGTCTGAAAAGTTGACAATTAACTCATTTGAGTAACTAATCAATGTTAGAAATGTTATCATACCATCAATAATATTTTAATCTGTTATCATCGTAGTCTTCTATCGTGTTCAAGTACTAGAGCAGTGTTTCCCAAACTTTCGACATCTGTGTACCACTGTCTGTAATTTTTGTACCACTGAGTACCCCTAGTTAAAAAAAAAAATAATTTACATACTGGTTCTGGTAATGTTTCGTTGCTGCATCCATGTACTGGCATCTTTGCAACGGTTGGGGATATGATGTTGCTATTCTAACAGCTCCTAGGTGATGCCAGGACAGCCTTGAAGCTTTCGACCGATGTCGAGTTCACAGTGGCATTGTTCAGTTGGTTCCATGCTATTATTGTACGTGGGAAGAAAGATTGTTGATACTTCACTGTGTTGCACTGAGGCACTTTGAAGCATTTGCTATTGTTTCTGGTGTAATTGTTTATGGGAATGTCAGTGGTGAAGTCAGTGTTCAGTGAGCGTTTTACTCTGATCAGTCTACCCGGCTTCTGTGGGGTGAGGTACGTGCCTGCTGAGTTGGCTGGCACCAGTCCCATGATCACTTCATATAAGAATATCAGGCGGAGTCCCTCTCGTTTTTCTTTGAGGGGGGATGTCAAATCTTTTTAAGAGGCCAGTGACAAGCCAGGAGTGGTGCATTTGTAGTCTCGAGCGATAAAACGCACCGCATTACGTTGAATTCGCTCCATCGTGTCCACGTCTTGCTTAAGGTGTGGGTCCCAGATGATCGCACCATATTCCAGTAGTGGACGGACGAGTGCGAGATAGGCATTTGGTTTGCAGGAAGTTAGGCGTGGCGCAGATTTCTTCGGATGAAACCTAGGGTGGAGTTGGCTTTTTTTGAAATTTTGTTTTTATAGGTGTAACCCTTTTAGGTTATTTGAGAAAAGAATTCCAAGGTATGGACTATTGGATACTTGTTGGAGGATTGTCTCGTTTAGTGAGTAAATATGAGTTGATGTTTTTTTTTTCTTGAGATTTTATAGTGTAGCATTTGGTCCCATTAAATTTCATGCCCGATTTGTCCACCCAATTCATAAGGCACTTCAAATCTGTTTGGTGGTGGTTGTGGTCATCGTTGCTGTTTATCTCTCTGTAGATAAGACAGTCATCAGCGAACAGCCTCACTTGAGAATTTACTGTATCGGGTAGGTCGTTTATGTGACAGAGAAAGTGAAGGGGGCCCAGAACTGTGCCTTGTGGAACTCCTGAGTCTACGGTGGCTTTCCCTGATTGGACGCCGTCCACCATTACTTGCATGGTACGTTGTGTTAGGAATGTTGAGAGCCAGGAGTAAAGATTGCCTGTAATGCCGTAGTGGTGGAGCTTATGTAGAAGAAGGCTGAGTGGAACAGTGTCGAAAGCCTTGGAGAAGTCGAGAATTGCCATGTCGACCTGAGTACCTTTGTCATATACTTTAATAACAATAAAAAAAAATGTTTTTGTCATTTGCAGTGCTTACCTACACCAAACTCTTCCCGTACCAACAGGGATACGCGTACCACACTTTGAGAAACATTGCACTTGAGCAGCTGAACTAAAAAGTTATACTATATATTCGTCTTTATTGGGAATGCCCAGCGGCTTTCAATACACGCGGTCTTACCGGTTGCAATCCACTTGGGCTTGCGGGCGACACACCCTGAACAGAAACTCGAAACGCTGATTGGCTGGGCATCGCAGGAGGGACGGCACGCCCTGGATGCACCGGAAGAACGTGGTGCACTGCTCGCTGCTGGGATTGGGGAAGTCGCCGTTGGGGGCCGAGCACAAGTTAGCCTGTGACGTCACAAGACTCAAGATGGACGCTGGAAGAAAAAAAGAAGCACGCGCAGAAAATGCAAATCAGTAAAGGAATAAGAATCAAAATACAGGTTAAAAAAAAAAATGGATCTGATAGCCAAAATGCCATTTTAAAAATTTAAATAAATGGAACTTCCTTTTGATTACATTGCACATATTGTTTTTTGTCTTAGAAGTTTTTGTTCTAGTCGATGTTTTTATTTTTAAGAATTGGTTTTTAACAAGGCCAGAAGAGGGATAGGTGAACCAATGGCCAATGGGGTATTAGTTATTTAAATGTGTTAGGTGAACCAATGGCCAATGGGGTATTAGATATTTAAATGTGTTAGGTGAACCAATGGGGTAGTAGATATTTAAATGTGTTAGGTGAACCAATGGGGTAGTATATATTTAAATGTGTTAGGTGAACCAATGGGGTAGTAGATATTTAAATGTGTTAGGTGAACCAATGGGGTAGTATATATTTAAATGTGTTAAGTGAACCAATGGAGTAGTAGATATTTAAATGTGTTAGGTGAACCAATGGGGTATCAGATATTTAAATGTGTTAGGTGAACCAATGGGGTATCAGATATTTAAATGTGTTAGGTGAACCAATGGGGTATCAGATATTTAAATGTGTTAGGTGAACCAATGGGGTATCAGATATTTCAATGTGTTAGGTGAACCAATGGGGTATCAGATATTTAAATGTGTTAGGTGAGCCATTGTGTTTAGATTAACTGTGAGCTGTTAGGAGAACCATCGTAGTGTCATATTTGTATAGGCGTGTGGTCAGCCATTGTAGTGTCAGATTTTTAAAGGCGTCGGCAACACTTATTGAGGACAGTACTTAAGAAACACAGCTACAACCACTTCAAGTCCGGGCATTTGAGATGCGGGTGGTACTTATTTTAGGGAGACATTTTAGATCCATTTTTATATACTTTCCAATAACTTATTTTGTAGGCGTAAACTGTATTCATCGTGGTGTGTGTTAGGGGCGCAAAAGTTGAGAGACGCCCCGGGAGTCCCAAACTCCAACTACTCCACTGACGATGATTCGCGATGTAACGAGTTGCTTGGCTCGTTCGTTTACCAGAAACTAATACGACTTGTCTAAGGTCAGATGGAACAACTAGACTATTCAAAACTCGGTAAGACTATCAAAGGTTACCACTGTATCCAAGGTTACTACTATATCCAACATTACCACTGTACCCAACATTACCGCTATACCCAACATTACCACTATACCCAACATTACCACTATACCCAACATTACCACTATACCCAACATTACCACTATACCCAACATTACCGCTATGTCCAAATTTACCACTATACCCAACATTACCACTATACCCAACATTACCACTATACCCAACATTACCACTATACCCAACATTACCGCTATGTCCAAATTTACCACTATACCCAACATTACCACTATACCCAACATTACCACTATACCTAATATTACCACTAATATCCGACATTACCAATGACAGAAGGACCCTTTAACATGACCCGTCCTCCAAGTTGAGGAATATACACGGGATGAATCAGGAAGACTACATATTTATTATGTAGTGGCATTGTGACATCTAATTGTTTTGTGACATGTAGTTGTGTGACATGTAGTGTAGTTGTATTGTGATATGTAGCTGTAAGGGGGACATATAGTTATAGGTTTAAAGGGAATGTAATGAGCTAATAAGATAAGATGAGATAAGATTCTTTTATTGATTCAAACAAATGAAAATGTGTTTTGACTGCATTGTACCTTTTCAGCACATAAATAAAACAATTTGAACACAAGACATTTATAATAAATTATTTAACTAATACAAAAAAAACAACAGAAATTCAGTGAATTCTCTTAGCCATACCAGGGACTTGTTAGTTAGTTCTCATTAAGATTGGTTTATTTGTTATTGATTAATCTAGTTTATAATATTGAGACAGAATTGGTCAAATTTGATTTTCAGTCGTCGCCTATTTCTTTAATATTCACTAAATTGTTCCAAAAAGTAAATACATAGATAAATGTGTATGTCTTGTTTTAACAAAAGCTGTCATGTTACAACTTCCAATCCCGTCTAACAAATCACTTGTATATCTTAGAAAATCAATACAGCCAAAAATACATCTCATATTTACCTGCTGTAGCCAGAAAGAACATTTTCCAGAAAACCTGTGCACAGAAATTTAATTATAAAATGAAATAGGCGAATGTCGTCAAATTTATAAATTATTTTTTTCCCACCTCCCGATTTTTTTTGAATAAATTTAATATTAATTGACAATATTTGAAATAATTAAAATTCTTTGGCTGTTATTTTAGGGGGACAAAAATCACAATGAGATCTTGGCACGCACGCCTTTTGATGGCCAATATTTCCTGGCCAAAAAACACAAACACACACACAGACACACACAAAGTTCACCTTGGACTGAGCTCTGTTTCTGCGTAACACAATAGACCAGGAAAGGAAACAAACGTCATTGAAAGACAACAAAACTTAACGCACCAACATTCAAAACACTTTCCAGTGTTTTCAACATACCCCATTGGCTGCCTCGTTCTCAAACGTGCCAGGAGCCAATAGGAAGACATGGGACATTAGCGTCTTTGTAACACGCAAACAAAACAAAGAAAAGCAACCTATGCTTGGTTCAAGCTTTGGAAAACGCTACATTTCGTGATTCTGACCTTTGTGTGTGAGGCCCAGCTTAAACCGGGGGGAGAGAAAAACAAACAGAGCGTTGAGTTTTCTAGTAGGTGAGAGTTACGTGCCCAAACAAGACACATTCGCCAAAACGAACACTGACCAACCATTGGACAAGGGCATGCAAGGATCGTCACGTCCAGTCACCGCACTCTAGTAGAGCTGCATACATCTTCTGTGGTCAGGCTCGGCTGAAGGCTGGCACGAACCTAGAGGGTTGCGGTGGGCAGTGGACGATCACTAATCGCCATAAATATATATTGCGTTCTTTACTTATTTGAAGTGTCAACCATGGAAGTGGGGGCGGGGGTTGTCATAACTAACCAAATGAGGGGGTGGGCGCTATAAATATTTATTTATATATTCTACATACGACGAATGAGCGCACCACACAGCCTCTGGCTCTACTGATAAAGTCACGTGATTAAAACAAAAGACAAATCCACACGTGACGTCACGCTATTTTGACCGATTTCCCCCCCCCCCTCCAAAACCTTTTGTAACATAAATTAACCAATGTCCCCCTCCACTTTCCCAACACTTTAAAAAAAAAGAAGAGTGAGGTTTGTTAACTAATTATAAAAAGTGCAAAAAGTGCAGTAAACTATACATAGGAGAGACAGGTCGTCGCCTTGGGGACCGTTTCAGAGAGCACCTCTATAACATAAATAAACACGCTCTCTGTCCGGTCTCCAAACATTTCAATAGCCCCAACCTTGATGGTATCTCAGACATTGCAGTTACTGGTATACTCTATACTAGTAACACTGCAGATAGAATCTATATGGAGAAAATTATGAATAACTAGATTTGGTACGTTGTCTCCATATGGAATGAACCAAATCCACAATTTTACTTAGCTGCCATGTCTTTTTCCTGTTTGGTTTTTACAAGTATGTTAAAATCACTTCCTTTCTACTCCTCTTTACTTTGTTTTGGTCTGGTTTTAGCGCCCTCTCCTATATTTTTTCTGTTTTAGGTAGGATATGTATATTGATATTATAACAATTTAATTTATACTTAAACAAAACACATTTAAGTGTTTGTACTGATGAAGGCATGTGCCGAAACGTTTAATTGTGTGTAATGTATAATTATTATTAAAGAGTAACTTATATTGTTCTATTGACACAATTTGTTCGTGTCTTATTAATCAATGAGGTTTGTTAAGGATGGCTGCAATCTCTAGAACGACATAAATACTTAACAACATACTCTCCACTTCCAACTACCATAAATCAAAATGGACATAACTAAGAGACGTCTTGTTTGTACTTCGTGTTAATATCAACATTTTTTTATACCAGTCGTAGCCCAAAGGGACACACTCATGATATGATCGTTTTGTTTCGTACATAACCTTATCACAGCAACAGTTTTAGCTCGGCAATTCAAAAACTCACGTTGATAAACTCCTCCACTTCCGTTACGTCACGTCCTTACGACCAAGAGCTGAATTGTCTTGTTTGTCATACCTCTACAATCTTGCAGCAGTCATTACGTCACAAGAACTTTTTTTCTGTTAAGGGTCATCGCATTAGCTATATAGATAGTGTCTGTTGTCAATTTTGACGACCCCCCCCCCCCAAATAGAGTTGGCAAAAATTGTCCACAAAAGGGCAATATGGTAAATAAGGAACATAGAGATTTGACCAAATGTTGAATGTTAACCCTAATGCTACCTGCTCAGTCTAATCGGCTGACAAATAGGCAAAAGGTCAGCCAGCTTAGAGCGTCGTTGACGTGAAATGGAAAGATTTGGAAAGGAAAATTATGTTGAAGAAATTTAAAGGAACCAACACAGACATGAAAGGATTTAATGGTATCATTCTGTGGAAGCGGATGTGTTGCATTTGGCCATGCTGTTACAGTGGTCGATGGTGGTAGTAAGACAATGGCTGGAACAATGTTTACTTCATACAGGGGCAAAGTGGGTTCAAAGATTCAGAGCTTTAAATTTCCACTTGGACAAAATAAACTCTTAAGTTTCACTTTCTTATGGTACAACTGGTTACAGTTTTATAATCACTTTTCTTTCCCCCCCCCCGGCTGATATTCTTTCTTTTATTCCTATTAGTAATTCATTTCTTTAAAGATCCTAGATATTTGAAGTGATTTACCTTTTCAAAAGTCTGGTTTCTAATTTTAATGGCTTCATCTGTCTGTTCTTCTCTTATCATAATTATGTATTTTTTGAAATTTTTTTTGGGTTGTTAACTTCCAGCCCTGCTTGTAGTGATGCGTCTTCTGATTCATTCAACGATTTTGACATGTCTTTAATATTTTTCCCTTGTAGCAGTGCTATGCCATCAGCACATGCAAGATACTGCAGGGGTTGATTGTAGAGAGTGCCTATTGGTTGTGGGTATTGGGATTCCCACAGATAGTATCCTGTCATTGTTCCTCGAGTGTCTGTATGCAAGTTTATTATAGAGACCGACTGAAAGTGGTTTTCTGATTGAGGCCGAATGTTAAAAATGACCTTTGGGCAGAATCCGAAGCCGAAACCAAAAGCTTAACGAGAGTTTCGGCCGAAACCGAAGCCAAAACCGAAATATTAACATATATTGAAATTCGTTCACGCATATATTCTGCATACATCGAAAAATGAGGGGGGAAATATAATATTTACATTCTTTACATAAAAAATGAGACTATCGTGAATATTGATGAATACAAATCTAAACAATACATCTACTTTGGCTGTTAATATTTTAATTTAAAATTTAAAGTAATTTAAAATAAAAAAAATGTTTTTTTTAAAAGTAGTATGGTAAGAGAAAATTAGGAAAAGGAAAAAAAAAGGGGGGGGGGGGCAAAATTTATACAAAATAGACACTAGGGTGCCTTTTGATTTTATAATATAATTACAACCTAGAACATATGCATACAATAAGTATTGTGGCTCTAATAGAGCCAATTGTCACCTAAATATCAGTTATTAAAGGCTATTAAATATCCCCACAATGTTTAGCGGTTATCGTCATAATAACGCTTTGTGTTTTCACGAATAGCTGGCAAGATATCGCTGTATTTATGTTTAGTCTAGTAACAACACACTAGTCTTTCCGTGCTGGTGACGTAATTATTTCGTTCGGATACCAACCTCCCTCAGCCCCATTGATGGGGTAACAATTTCTTTTAACCAGGTCTCTTAAAATTGTTGTTCTGACGGGTCTCAACGGAGAATCGCAAAAGACATCTAATTTGGTCGCCAAAATCATAAAAGTAAAAAAATTAAACAGGTCTGAAGTAGGCCTACTGCATAATTATTATACAAACATTGGTGAGCATGATAATGACTAATCAAAATGAATATCACAAATGAATGAATTGAATAAAGACAAGTTTGCACATTTTGTTTTTGGAAAAATTTAAACAAAATGAATTATTGCCCTTCCATAAGATTCTTTGACAAAAATGGTTACATTTGTCTAGGCTTATTTGAAATTTGATGTGTTTGGACATAAATTGCAAGTAGGTCATTGTGGAGCTGTGAGCAGTTTTCACAGAGTATTAGTCATATAACATACGATGACTGCAAGACGTCGAGCAATAATGAATTTCGGATTGCCAACCTAGAGACAGAAAGTCAGCCTGACTTCTGGTAGAGGACCGAAAACCTCTGTAACTTTCAGCTAGATGGCCAGAAGTCTCTATCACTTTAGACCGAAACCGAAACGAGGCCAAAACTGATCAAATGGCAACTTTCGGCACCGAAACCTAAGTTGAAATTCGGTTGGTCGCTAGTTTCTTTGAACTCTCTTTGTCTATTGTTATATTAAATATCATACAAGACAGTAAGTCCCATTGTCTTAGGCCTCGTCTAATCTGAACTTTTCATGAATATTTACCCTAAACCTTGATTTTGATTTTTTGAGTTGTTTAATGTACATCTATCAGACTTGTCATTTTGTTGGGTATGCCAAACTCCTGCAGAATCTCATACAGATATTTCCTCTTGATGTTGTCATAAGCCATTTTAGAGTACACATAGAGTTGATGTACTGGGATATTATATTCAAAAATTTCTCTAACAGGCATCTGATGGTGAAATTCTGATCAGTCGTTGATCTGCTTTGTCTGAATCCACATTGATAGTCACCTGGTATCTCTTCAGCTTACGGTTGTAGTCTTTTGGCAATACGTTTTGTCAGTATTTTGTATTTAGTAGAGAGAGTCCTCTGTAGTTTGTGCATTGAAGTTTGGAGCCTTTCTTGTGTATTGACATTGTTAGTGCTGTTTCCCATTCTGTTGGAATTTTATTTACTTGACAATTTTAGTTGTAAGTTGATGTGTCTGAGAGTGTAATTCTCTATCTCCGTATTGAATAAGTTTTTCTGTGATGAGGTTTTCACCATGGGCTTTGTGATATTTCATATAAATGATTACTTCTGTAGTTTCTTCCAAAGTTGGGGAGGTCATTAAAGGGTCTGGTTTCCAATATAATGTTTAATGAGCTTCATCTTGTCCATTGTCTGCATTTAGTATGCCCTCAAAATATTCAGGCCACCTCACCCCAGCACTTTACTATTTTCGGTAATAAATCTCTATTCTGGCCTCAAACATTTGAGGTATGGCTTGGTATCTATTATTTTCATTTTTTATCTTCATGCACATTTCTTTAATATTTACTTCTATTAGCAAATCAAATTTTTTCTCTTCCTACACATCTTTGTGGCTTACCTTCTGGCGTTCTTGTATGTTTGTATTTGTCTTTCTGATTTGCCTTTTGATCATGGTCATTCGTGCTTTGTTCCTTACTGTTACAGTCTCTCTGCATTCATTGTCAAACCAGCTTTATACTCTACTGTTAGTATGCCCGATCCTACTAATTTTTCTGCTGATCTTTTCATAGTATTTTTATACGATCCCACTGTTCATTTATGTTGTTTTCCCTGTTTATTTCCCCCTGTGATGCTTCTATTTGTGCTTGTTTATTTTGGTACGCTTTTGCGACTAGTGGGTCTTTGTAAGTGTTTGGAAATCTTATCGCTTTTCTCTTTGATTATGGCCATTGTGAATTATGTTTATTCTCCGCTTATATTTAACACTTACAAGTAGAAGGCCAGAGTCTGCATCTGCGCCTCGATGGTATATCTGATACATGCCTCCGATCGATTAGAACATGGTCAATTTGGTTGTGAGGAATTTCATCTGGTGAGTTCCAAGTACCTTTAAGTATATTTTTGTGTGGAAACTTGGTGCTGAAAACTGTCAGCCCTTTTCCTGAAGCAAAGTTTAGGAGTCGGATCACAAAATCAGGTCCATGTCCAGTCACGTGTCGATTTCGAGTAGAATCAATGAAAACAGAAGTGACTTAATTAGACACTCCTAGACTTTCTAGAAAGGTAAACCTTGGTACCACCCAGGCAGTAAACCTTAGTGCCATCTAGGCATTAAAAATTGGTACCATCAAGGCCAGGCAGTAAACATTGGTACCACCCAGGCAGTAAACCTTAGTGCCATCTAGGCATTAAAAATTGGTACCATCAAGGCCAGGCAGTAAACATTGGTACCACCCAGGCAGTAAACATTGGTACCACCCAGGCAGTAAATCTTAGTGCCATCTAGGCATTAAAAATTGGTACCATCAAGGCCAGGAAGTAAACCTTAGTACCATCTAGGCATTAAAAATTGGTACCATCAAGGCCAGACAGTAAACCTTGATATCAACCAAGCTAACGCCCCCCAAAATGCCAAAAAATCTCAAACTAGGGGTCCCTACTGGTGTGGGGGGTGTCTTAAGTTTATATCACACAAAAATAGACATTTGAAATCATCCTAAAACCTTTTAATTTGATACCTCTGAAGCTAATAATACTAAAATACCTAAACATTTTAAAATAATTTTTTCAAACATTTCCTAAGGGGTTTCGGTTACAGTTTGGAAAAGGAGGTCATGAGAATGATTGCAAGGCTAAATGGGAAAATCCATTAGGTGAAAATCCTTAAGACACATGATGTCACTGGCATTCCTCGTCACTCTAATACTCAGTTCACGCGATCAAAATTTTGATCATACATTTGTTGCGATTTTTGTATGAAGCCTCATCACAAGTTCAAAATACTATTCGATCAAATTCCCATTTGTGGCCAAAAAAAAAATAAAAAACAAAACAAAAAAAGAAGAAACCACACACAAAATGGCGCGTTCATAAAGTAATTGGTGGAAAATTTGATCATGTGAGCTGAGCACAAAAACGAGTTGGATTTTTGCACAAGAATTGAAATTCCGACATTTTATTTTTTACGAACAATGTGCATTGAACAAGAATATATATATGTAAGTAGTTAAACCATATATCAAAGCCACCAATTTAAGGAGAAATTCTTGTATTTTAATAAAGTTTGATAATTGTGTTGAGCTCCATCTAATTATTTCTTTAAATGGGAATAAAAGAATTAGTGATCTCTCCCTATCAAGTTCCCTGTGACATCATTAGGTTTGGTATACGACAAAATTCTGTTTCTTCCATTGGACCACCAGTAGGCTTGGTTTTAGACAAATTCTGTTGCTTACACTGGACCATCAGTAGGTTTGGTATACGACAAATTCTTTTTCTTACATTGGAACACCAGTAGGTTTGCTTTTAGAAAAATTCTGTTGCTTATATTGGAACACCAGTAGGTTTGGTTTTAGACAAATTCTGTTGCTTACATTGGATCATCAGTGTGTTTGGTATACGAAAAATTCTGTTTCTTACATTAGACCTTCAGTAGGTTTGGATTTAGAAAAAAAACTGTTGCTTACACTGGACCACCAGTAGGTTTGGTTTTAGACAAATTCTGTTGCTTACATTGGATCACTTCCCAGAAGTTAAGACGTTGAGTTCCTAATTATTTGATGACTCTTGTTTCGTCTACTGACAAAGGCAACGGCTGAAATATTCACCTGATTGCTATGTCTTTTCCTTACAAGCATGTACCACTCTGACCTCTGCCTATCTGACCTCTGCCTATCTGACATCTGCCTACCTGGCTCTACTATTTCTTACAGCCTGATGTGCCCAACTGTGTTTTTTTTATATTGTAGGGAAAACAAAGCAAACAATGGGCCCAATGTTTCTGTCGTACTAACGAAGTCACACAAATAAACCAACGCCAATGAAACAAATGTTAACAAAAATTACCAAATATTTATTTTAATGTTAAATGTTAACCAAGTCATTGTACATTGATTCGTCCATGCATCCAACAAACATCGACCACTAGTTTAACATGAGTTTGTTTAGCAAAGATTATCAACAATCAACAAGATATCTACCATTTTATGGGATAGATTTTAATTTTTACACACAATCGTGTTATTTGTAAAATTTTGTTTGTACAAAGCTTTCACCGAATAATTCGTCAATTTTATTTGCTGTCATACAGCCGCATGTGTATATAAACAGCCGCATGTGTATACAAATAGCCACGTGTGTATACAAACAGCCGCATGTGTATACAAACAGTCGCGTGTGTACACCAACAGCCGCATGTGTAAATATAATGTTAATATTCTATTCTGAAACGTATCTACTTGCTGAAAGTCTCCCTTTATTTGAAGTGGTGCCTCACTCTCATTACACCTGATTGGAAAGATTGAATTATTTCTTATTAATGAGTACACAAAAAAAAAACCTTCTCCCATTTGTTGGTTCTGTCTATGGATTGTACCAAAAAAAAAGAGCCAAGAAGAGCTAATAAGAGCCAAGAAAGAGCCAACAAGAGTCAACTTCTTGAAATAGTAGCCAACATCTTGCAAACCGCCAAACTAAAAAGATCAAAATACAAAAATCTGTATACAACAATTGTGACCAATGCCGCCAGAGGGCGCTAAGCTCACTTAATAAAAATTCCCGATCACTGCGCTAAATGAGATTCTTACGCCTTGCGTGTGGTTCGTTTTTTGTTTGTTTGACAGAAACCGTCCTCAATTTAAACATGATGTAATAAATCTTCGGTGTATAAAGCGAGTGGGACATTAGAATAGATCTAGTGATATAGTTGAGGGGCGTGGAAAAAAAAAGTGAAAACGTGTACGGTAGCGAAGCTGGGAAGCACTAATTAGGATTTTTACAAAGTGCGTTATTTGAATGCATGTTTTGTCAAGTAGCTTCAGCAGACGGCAAGTTCACTGTTTGGCGGCTGTGGCTGGAAACAAATAAATATCTAATTACCCCACACGTTTTTTTTTTTGTTTTTTTTTTTTTGAGACGATCAATGATGGACTACAACATGTTCTTAGTGTTGGTCTGAGATCCATCACCAACGGAACTAAGACAACGTCCAGATGCAACTATGATATATTATAATGCTATAGCGACTATTTCAACTTCATATCTGTGTCTTGGTTTTCAAACCCATTAATTATTGTTTTAGTTTCATTGCTGAAGTTATCGTTGGATCGAGTTCAATGGATGACTCAGAAGGAAAAAACAACAACACCTCAGCACAGCTGTTGGCAGTCAGGGTGTCAAAGAGGATGTTACTGTCCTGGTTGGGGCTGACCTTGGTACGGGACCAGGATTGAAAGGGCATCTTGACCTTGGGCTGGCGCGGCTGGCTGAGTTTGACCCAGGGCCGATGGTTGAGCTTGAGGCTGAGGTTGAGGCTGAGGTTGAGGTTGAGGCTGTGGTTGAGGCTGTGGCTGGGCATACTGACCTTGACCGACCTGTACAAACTGTCCTTGAACTTGACCTTGGACCGGGCTAATCTGCTGAGGGTAGCCGGTGCGGGCGGGTGTGTGGAGGATAGACTGTCCTTGCTGGTGAAAGAAATTTACAAAAAATAAAAATGGAGCATGGGGCACAAAGCAAGGGAGTATCAGTGTAATGCGTTCATTGACCAGTGTTGTGAACTCGTTTTGGGAACATGGACGAGGTGTGTGTCGAATAGTTGTTGATGATTAGTTGGTTGAATAGTTCAGTGTGGGCCATTTGTGATTGGTCAGTTTATCCGAGAGCCAGTTGTGATTGGTCGGTTTATCTGAGGGCCAGTTGTGATTGGTCGTTTTATGTGAGGGCAAGTTGTGATAGGTCGGTTTATGTGAGGGCTAGTTGTGATTGGTCGGTTTATATGAGGGCCAGTTGTGATTGGTCGGTTTATCTGAGGGCCAGTTGTGATTGGTCGTTTTATGTGAGGGCAAGTTGTGATTGGTCGGTTTATGTGAGGGCCAGTTGGGATTGGTCAGTTTATTTGAGGGCCAGTTGTGAGTGGTCGGTTTATCTGAGGGCCAGTTGTGATTGGTCGGTTTATCTGAGGGCCAGTTGTGATTTGTCGGTTTATGTGAGGGCCAGTTGTGATAGGTCGGTTTATGTGAGGGCCAGTTGTGATTGGTCGGTTTATATGAGGGCCAGTTGTGATTGGTCGGTTTATCTGAGGGCCAGTTGTGATTGGTCGGTTTATGTGAGGGCCAGTTGTGATTGGTCGGTTTATGTGAGGGCCAGTTGTGATTGGTCGGTTTATGTGAGGGCCAGTTGTGATTGGTCAGTTTATCTGATGGCCAGTTGTGATTGGTCGGTTAATGTGAGCGCCAGTTGTGATTGGTCAATTTATCTGAGGGCCAGTTGTGATTGGTCGGTTTATTTGAGGGCCAGTTGTGATTGGTCGGTTTATCTGAGGGCCAGTTGTGATTGGTCGGTTAATGTGAGCGCCAGTTGTGATTGGTCAATTTATCTGAGGGCCAGTTGTGATTGGTCAGTTTATTTGAGGGCCAGTTGTGATTGATCGGTTTATCTGAGGGCCAGTTGTGATTGGTCAGTTTATGTAAGGGCCAGTTGTTATTGGTCGGTTTATCTGAGGGCCAGTTGTGATTGGTCGGTTTATCTGAGGGCCAGTTGTGATTGGTCGGTTTATGTAAGGGCCAGCTGGATTGGTCAGTTTATCTGAGAGCCAGTTGTGATTGGTCGGGTTTTGCAGTGAGGTGTTTAAATGATGTGTGACCACGGGGTGCCGGCGTTGTGAGGATTTTTGTGAAATTTTCGTTATCCATTGTGGAGTGAGTGTAAATCTTAGAATAGTTTTGTGTTCCCTAGACAACACAGATCCCATGAAACTACAGAGTTGTTCCCTAGACACAATAGATCCCATCGAACTACAGAGTTGTTCCCTAGACACAATAGATCCCATCGAACTACAGAGTTGTTCCCTAGACAAAATAGATCCTAACGAACTACAGAGTTGTTCCCTAGACACAATAGATCCCATTGAACTACAGAGTTGTTCCCTAGGCACAATAGATCCCATCGAACTACTGAGTTGTTCCCTATGCACAATAGATCCCATCGAACTACTGAGTTGTTCCCTAGGCACAATAGATCCCATCGAACTACAGAGTTGTTCCCTAGGCTCAATAGATCCCATCGAACTACCCGTTCAGTAGACGCACGCACGGCGGAGATTGCCACGTAATGAACTCGTCCTAAATAGAAAGTTCGCTATGACCATTTAGGTCTTAAGCCAGGGGCATAGACCCCTCCGGTATTAAACCAGGGGTCTAGAACCCTTCGGTCTTAAACTAGGAGTCCAAGGAGTCTAGACAACCCGCCCCCCCCCCCCCCCCCCCCCATGATCTTGAAGAAATTAATCCTTTCAAAAGCTAAGTTTAGGGCTCAATGACATGCAAAGCTTATCGGAACTTAAAATTACGTCATCAAATCTAATAATAAATACTGCGCTGCCAACTGTGCGGGGTGAGTGGACAGAGATAAGATTGTGCATAGTGTCTTAACAGTTTACCTGAGGTGCAAACTGCCTGCTGACGGGGGTCAGTCGACCGTTGCCGGCTATCTGGAGCGTGTTGGGGTCGATTCCGGCTGGAACTTGGACGACACGAATTTCAATCTCTCTCTCTTGTTGTTGCTGGGAAAGATGTGTGGTCAAATGTGTGGTCAATGTGTGGTAAAACTGTGGTCAATGTGTGGTAAAGGTATGGTCAGTGTGTGGTCAATATGTGGTCAATGTGTGGTCAGCACACAGAGAAGTCCATGATAGAGGTCACAAAGAGGAATCGATAGTATAGGTCGCACAGAGGAGTCGATAGTATAGGTCACACAGAGTAGTCGATAGTATAGGTCACACAGAGGAGTCGATAGTTAGGTCACACAGCGGAGTCGATTGTATAGGTCACATAGAGAAGTCGACAGTATAGGTCACACAGATGAGTCAATAGTATAGCTCCCACAAACAGATTAATTAGACACGAGCAATTTGTGTCAATAAAATAAAATATTTTCAGGTTTAACAATAATTTTATATAATACACAAGTACACTTTTGTACTGACGAAGGCATTTGCCGAAACGTTTACTTGTGTTTCATGTTAAATTATTATTAAAGCTGAACATATATTGTTTTATGGACACACATTGTTCGTGTCTGATTAATCTGTTTCAAAGCTTTATCGCAGTCAAACACTCCCACGAACAGGCTTTTTCCTTTGACCCTTGACTCCCCCCTCCCGTCTCCCAAATCACATTTTCCTCCGTACCCTTTGACCAGGTTCACCGTCTTTCTATCTTTATCTATTGACAGCCATCATCATTACATCCCAGTTCTTACAGAAAGAACGTCCATTTTAAGAAGTCGCCCCTCCTTCAAAACTCACCATTGCACCACATCACCTCACGTAGACACATTTTTAAAAACCCTTTTTATCAACCTTTACCTTATCGAACAACTTATCAACCATTTCATTACTCTATAGATCCAACCACTAATCTTAAAATGCCAAAATCCGCCCCCCCCCCAAACTTACCACTTCTCTAATATCCTCACTTATCACCTTACTTATCCTATCACTTTAGTTATGACCAAAGTCACCAACCCACCTATCACCTTACTATCACTTCACCTAAGACCTAGGTCATCGACTCCTTTATCAGCCATTAAAGTCTGAACATACCAGGTAGATGTCTACATAATAGAAGATCACAACTTACAGTGCCGGGAGGACGTAGATAAGATGGAACAGCCGGAGCTTGGAAGCGCTGGAGCTGAAGTGGACAGTCCACCTCTGTAGCTGACCTGTTCGAAAGCGGACAACCATACATTTCAATTTAAACCCATAAGGAAATAAAGCCCTTTTCTATTCAGTTGTCTTTAAACCCCATGAAAACCTAAAATACATTTTGGAGATTTCCGATTCTCCTCGTACCGGGAAACAAAAAGATTGACCCTGACATAATGAACAACCTTATTAAGGTTACCTGCATCTTGCCCTGTCGAAGTCAAACGCCTGACCCAAAGGACACCGCAGGCTGTACTGCCTGGCCTTGTAACAGCGGAAGAAAGCTGTGCAGCTGTCCGAGGCCGGGTTGGGGATGTCTTCGAGGGCGGCCCCGCACCCGGTGCCATAGGCGGTTTGGGCAAGGGCGTGGCCAGCCAGCAGGACGGCAGCTGTCAGGGACAAGAAGTCAATTAAAACATTTTAACATGGTCACTAGTTTAATAATTTATCTATAGTGACCATTGGCCTCCCGATAGCGCCGATGAGCTCTTAGGCCGTGCCACAGATGAACCCCTCATGGTTAGAGGCATACTCGCTACTGATTTTCATTTACTCAATTTTAAAAACATTAGTTTTGTCTAAGCCTCTGCGTAAAGACGCCTACTCTTTCACATTCGTCGATTCTCAGTGCAGCAGCTGATCATAGAAGAGAGCGGCACGGGAAAAAATTGGCTAAAAGTATTTAAAAATCCCTGTTTCTCGCCCCCCACCCCTCCAATTGGTTGAATATTTTGGCTTCAAATTTCATAACAAACCGGGACCCAAGGTCTCATCACTTAGCGTGACGTTTGATCTCCCAAAAGGTCTCATCACTGACCATGACGTTTGATCTCCCTAAGGTCTCATCACTGACCATGACGTTTGATCTCCCCAAAAGTCTCATCACTGACCGGGAGATTGATCTCCCCAAAGGTCTCATCACTGACCATGATGTTTGATTTCCCAAAGGTCTCATCACTGACCGTGACGTTTGATCCCCCAAAGGTATCATCACTGACCATGATGTTTGATTTCCCAAAGGTCTCATCACTGACCGTGACGTTTGATCTCCCAAAGGTCTCATCACTGACCGTGACTTTTGATCTCCCAAAGGTCTCATCACTGACTGTGATGTTTGATCTCCCAAAGGTCTCATCACCGCCGTGACCATTGGATCTCATATGTATATATATTATATTACATTACTAACCATGGCTTTGTGCTTTTGCAATGCATCCCGATCCATGTCGGTAAACTCTTATAATGTTTAAGGAACTGCCAGAAAAGAATTAAAAATAACATGCCCAGAAAACAGCCAGCAACTCACCAGAGAAGGCGAAGGCGAGGAATGAAGCCATCTTCGAGATTGGTGATATTCTGTGGGAATAATTGGGTGTTCTCGATGTGGCGGTATTTATACCACACCTTCAATAAAAAGAACCGCGCGTTGTATTCTCTTGGTAATATTAAAATGTACAACCCGCCCCCCCCTCTCCTAACCTATCAACAATTAACGAAACAATTATATAAACGTTGCCTGAGATCGCTTTGGAAATATTAAAATTGATTAGGGCACACTGTCACGTACGAGAACCCCCCCCCCTCTCCTCTTTCCCTCCCTCCCTCACTCCTTCCCTCCCACCAAACAGAAACGAACAAGAGAAAATCACCTGCAGAAAAAATAATATGCGTTTACCTGACTTTTTTAATAATGCGGTCTGAATGGTTTTATGAAAAATTGCAGTACTCAAAGCGGCTGTGTTAAAGAATGCGTAAAAAAAAAAGCTATGCCAGATTGAATAAACTTTAAACATTGTAAGTTTGAAATCAGCAGCTACCTATTCGGCAGCTATGTCAACAAGGACCGTTAGCTTGACAGCACGTACTGATGAATTGAGAATCTATTATATTAATCTATCTAAATATCTAATTAAAGAATGCTATTGTGGTGGTGGTAAGGATGGGGGTTGGGTTTTCAGGGAGGAAACATAATGAAACTATATATAATTTTAAAAAAAAATTTGGAATTTGTGAAGAGCTTCTCAAATTGGTGGTCCATGGACCGGCACCGTTCAGCAGACACGCAGTCACTCAGTCCGTAAAAGGTGAATAGTTTAAGAGAAAAAAAAAAAGACATTTTGAGAATTCATTCGCGAAGGTCCCTACTACAGTACGGAGGACTTCTTACCGGTCCGTCATCTTGAAAATTTTGAGAATCACTGCAATAGTGTTTGTTATACTATAACAAAAAGGCTGTGTGACGTGCAGAAAAACCGCGTTTTGTGTTATCGAAGCGGTAAACAGTATGATCCTAACACCCAGTGGTTCTCGTGTGATTCAGGGATGCTCTCTGCAAAATTTAGGAACTACTAGTACTAGGTTTTATGGGTATTACTACGACAGTGAGTCTCGTATCAAGGGTGCAACCGTTTGTAGGTTCGCAGTTTGGGTTGTTATCTCAATGGTGTCAAGTTGGACATTGCATACGCTAAAGAGCGCTATTACGCCAGTCTTTGGGGCGGTGTTTATCAACAGCGGTGGATTTTTTTTTTTTAATGTTGCTGACTTTTTGGTTGATAAATATTTTATGGTGGCAACTCAGAACTTCAATGCGTGTAACCACTAACACTAGATTCAATGCGTGTAACCACTAACACTAGATTCAATGCGTGTAACCACTAAAACTAGATTCAATGCGTGTAACCACTAACACTAGATTCAATGCGTGTAACCACTAAAACTAGATTCAATGCGTGTAACCACTAACACTAGATTCAATGCGTGTAACCACTAAAACTAGATTCAATGCGTGTAACCACTAACACTAGATTCAATGCGTGTAACCACTAAAACTAGATTCAATGCGTGTAACCACTAACACTAGATTCAATGCGTGTAACCACTAAAACTAGATTCAATGCGTGTAACCACTAAAACTAGATTCAATGCAAATAGATTGTTGACATCGGATGTTTGGATTTTCAATCAACAAATTTATCAGACATTTTTCAGCAGTTGAAACAATCCCACCCCGCCCCCCTCCTTTTTTTTTCCTTCCCATTTTACAAAATAAAAAAAGCCAAAACAACAACGACAACATAACAACACTTGTGGGTAACAAAAAACAACAACACAACAAAAACTAACAGCAACGTGCAATTGCCCCCCCCCCCCCGCCCGACACATTTCGGCGTCCCACTCCCACCCTCACTAATTACAACGGTGTGCATCGAGGTCACAACAGGTGAAGGTAGAAATACTTAAGGGAGGCTATTCGAGGTATGTCTCCACACGTGATAATCTCTCTTTGGTTGACGCGGTCACCATTCCTGGTCTGTTTGTCCTCGGCTTTGTGACCACCGAATTCTGTGGCCTGAGGAAAGGTGAAACGTTCTGAGGGCTTTCGTTTGGTAAGTGTGGGGAAGAGGGACGGGGCGTCATTTGGGTAAGACCTTTTGACTTTGCAGGTTTTATTTAAATTGCGATGTACTGTGGCGCCTCCAGTAATAAACAACTTTTTGGTTTTGCCCCCCCCCTCCCTCCCCTGAAAAAAAACCTGAAATGACGCCACTGAAGAGGGGAGGAGGGATCCTGGAGAGGAGTTAAAATGGTATGTATTTATGGTATATATTTATGGTATGTATTTATGGTATGTATTTATGGTATGTATTTATGGTATGTATTTATGGTATGTATTTATGGTATGTATTTATGGTATCTATTTTGTTATGTATTTATGGTATGCATTTTACGACTCTTACTTGACTGGACGACATATTTAGAATATTACGACAATGATTTTTTTAATACATTGCAGTCAGGAAAAGCAACAACATAAGGGAAGAGTGGAAACAATTTTATGGTCTATATTGATTGGAGGTGAAGTGTCATAATAGTCGATAGAATAAGAGAAGGTCAGAGAGAAGACCATAGAGAAGCTAAGTGACAAGGTCAAATGAGAAGGTTAAATGAGAAGGTCAGTAACAAGGTCAAATGAGAAAGTTAAATGAGAAGGTCAGAGAAAAGATTAAGTGAGAAGGTCAAGTGAGAAGGTCAAGTGAATAGGCGAGTTCGAAGGTCAAGTGAGAAGGTCAAGTGATAAGGTCAATGATAAGATCAAGTGAGAAGGTTAGTAAGAAGGTCAATGATAAGGTCAAGTGAGAAGGTCAGTGAGAAGGCCAGCGATTAGGTCGATGAGAATTAGTACAATACACGAAGGTCTACTTTTAAGTTTAAAAAAAAAATTCTTTCTATTTTCTGTCATTTCCTAGTTTACCCGGTCTGCTGTAGAATGCTCTTGGCCCAAAAGTTCATCTTGCATTGTCCTGTATTTCAATTTCAGGTTTCTTCAGACATTGTTCTTGTATGCGAATTGGTACAATATGACATTTCTAAATTACGATGGAAGAATTAAAAGATTCACCCCCCAAAAAAAAAAAAAAAAAAAAAAATAAAAAATATAAAAAAAAAATAAAAAAAAAAAAAAAAAATAAAAAAAAAAAAAATAAAAAAAATAAAAAAAAATTACAATGGAAAAATTAAAAAATTCACCCCCCAAAAAAAAAAAAAAAAAAATATATATATATATATATAAAAATAATAAAAACAAATAAATAAAATATAAAAAAAATAATTAAAAAAAAATGAAAATGGAACAAACCAATATACATTTATAAATAGCTTCATAAAGTCTTCATGTCATAACTTGCGCTACGTGCAATCTCTAATTTAATGTTCCCTATAATATAATGTTCCCTATAATGTAGCGTTCCCTATAATGTAAATTTCCCTATATGTAATGTTTCTTATAATGTAATATTCCTTATAATGTAATAGTTACTCTGAATGTAAGCTTTAAAAAAATTTCCAGGCGTTGTAATAAAATCATCGGAGATCATGCAAAAAAAAGTTATTTCTATATTTTCTGTTGAGTTGCCTCCCTTGCACTGCTTTACCAAGTGAATCTCTTTCTGCATACTTGGCTTCTAGTGTTGCCGTGCGGCTGCTGCATTTCTCCCAACTGGCCCTCCACCTTCTCGAAATGTTGTTTTTATTAATGGTACTGAGTGAAAAAAACAATTAAACGACCCTTTAAAACAAGATTATTCGTATCAATCTTGAATCAAATGAAATTTTTGAGCAATGGGGGATGGGGCTGAAAATGTGTCAAAACATGCGTACAAGGAACGCACTTTAGAAGAATCCACATTTATTCCCCCCCCCCCCCCCCCCCCCCCCCCCCCCAAGGCTCACAGCCCAACATTTTTTTCACGCCCCTGAACTATATTAATGTTCTAATGGCCCATCCGCTCTCACACCGTCTATTTATTTCCCCAACTCCTTCAGAGAATCAAAAGAAAATATTGCTCACTAAACACACTTGAGATATTTTCCCTTAAAGAATCTAATTTAGCGCAGTTATCCGGAATTTCAGTTCACCAACCAAGTCATTTTTTCCTCCCCGTTCCCATTGAAAAGCAGGAAAACTGATATTTTGGGGGTTGGGCTGAAAATTGGACAAACATTCATCTCGATGATCGATAGGTTGATGGGACGTGGGTCAATTAGCCGTCCCAAGATTTTGCCAGCCAGCCACCCACAAACAAAAGTGAAGTTAATTTAAAGGATTACAAAAAACAAAAAAAACCTGTCAAGCAGCGAGCGTCATGCGTGCCGGTTGAACTCAGGTACAAAAGTTGCATTTTTTGGAGGTGACTGTTATATGAATCAATAAAAAGCTACGGTTTTGGTTTAGTTCTGTCTAGATGTCTGTTTGTACTCCTATTGTTTAAGGCTGGCAGGTATGGTGTTGGTCTGTTTGTAGGCCTATTGTTTAAGGCTGGCATGTAGGGTGTTGGTCTGTTTGTAGGCCTATTGTTTAAGGCTGGCAGGTAGGGTGTTGGACTGTTTGTAGGCCAATTGTTTGAAGGGCTGCATTAATTATAGAAAATGAGAGGTTAACTCTCGTTCTGTAACACTTGGACCCACCGGGCGTTTTCTTAGCTGAGAAGCAGTTTCCGAGAGTGCAGCGAAAGTGCTATTTTAAATTAAAAAAGACAACTTTTGTTCTGTTTTTTTCCTGTTGTTTTTTCGATGACGAAGGCTTCCTGCCGACACATTCTTTGGTTTGTTGCGTTCCTGAAAACTCATGATTTCTCCCATATACATAAGAATGAGCTATGCTGACATAACGCCAAAGAGCCGATACGATTTAAGTACGTTCGGATTCCTAAAAACAATCATAGTTATTTTCTATTATTTTACGGAACTCGAATAAAATTTAAATGCGCAAAAAATAGATTAAATCCGCTTTTATTTTAGTAAAAATTTAAGTAGTATTATTATAAATTACGAATACATTTAAAGTATCATCTAAGAACCTTTTTAAAGCATTTTATATGTGTTTGAAAGTTATGAAACAATAAAAAAATAATAAAATCATGGTAAAAGAATTACACCGTAATCACATTTATCGGGAAAACCCAAGCATCAGTCGTTTTTAGTGCGTCTTTTAGTGCGTTGTTA